CGCGAGGTACATGCCAAGCGTCGAGCCAATCAATATGATTCTCCAGGTGCGCGAGTCGGTATCCTCAATCTGCGCCAGACAGTACTCGGCCCAGTTGTGTGCCAGGTCGACCAGCAAAATAAGGCCGAGAATGAGGAAGAGCATCGCACAAATCAGCGAGACGTAGTTTCCCCAGAACACAAAGAATTCGTCCGGGATGAAGAAGGTCAGGACAATCAAGCTGAGCCAAGCGATGATCTTGGGTCCCCAGAAGCCGTTCTGGATTTTCGCGCGAGGGTGCTTGGAGGAGTTGACTCCGAGGAGAAGTCCAGCCAGCATAAGGTGAAACAAGCCGAGAGCAAAATTGATGCGGTGGACAGCAAGCCATCCATAGCAATCTCCGTTTCCGCAGCTGATCTTGACGTAGTTCAAGGTAAGGTGTTGTAGTTTTTCGATTGCCCATTTCGTGAGCATTATCCACGAAAGGATCGAGTTGATGAGAAGGATGATGGCATATCCGATACGGGTAAGAACACTATAACAGCCCATGTTAGCTCAGCGATCTGAACGCCGGAGAGGCTATCACCACCAACCTGTTGCCGCATTTTCCGCACGCACTGCAAAGAGCGGAGCATGCCGCAGCACCACAGCAACTACCAACGAATCCGAGGATCTGTGTGACGAGAAGATGTGGTTAGTATGATGGATCATAATCTTGAGGTCGTGATCTCGTGGTGGGGAAGGCAACATACAGTGCCTAGACTCGGCACCGCGAGCAGCGGCAGCGAGAGAAGCGCGCCCATCGCGACGGCTGACTAGTTTCGGTTTTCGGATTGACTTAGGCCTGTTTGCAAAGAAGGAGAGTCGGGGTGTGCTCGCAGATAGAACTTGGCGCAAACCGTATGCGCTCGATAGTTGAGAAAGAGAGGTTTTGTGATAGGTTGATAGGTAACGAGGTCTTGAATCATCCAGGATCCTGAGGCGTCGTCAACTTGCGACCAGACGTCAGGGCAGTTGGTTCAGCGGGCGGGTAGCAGATGACACACGCGGCTGGCAGAAGCCCGCCTCTCAGAACCAATCAACTATCGAGCTAGCCATTCAAGCCACACTGCGCCACCGTACATTCAATTCGACCGACTTCAACCAGGTGCAAGCGAAAGCCTCACTGCGTAACACTCAGTGTTGTTCCCATCGACACAAATTGCATTCTTAACAATCTCGTCATTTGATGACATCAAAAGGCATTGAAAGCAATTACAGATCCGCGTACCATCTAACCACTATTGATTCGCAACCGAACCACGTGCGCTAGTGCTCTACCGCGAAACTTCCCTCCGAATTCGATAATCTCGATCATCGGACGGAATGCGACTTTGCACTTTCGGATCCGGATCCACGGACATGGATCCCGGGCAAGCCGGCATCCCGTCTCCCGAGGCCGGGGCAAGCGGGGACCCGCCGGCATCGTGACTCCAGGACCCGTTTTTGAATCTGGGGAGCATCCCGCTGTCCGGGTCCATCCATGCCAATACCCATTACCCAACTCGTTACCCAATTCTAGACCTACGGTGAGTGGACACTAATGACCAAACAGTCATGATGCTACGTGGGTTACCTAATGACGGTCTTGTACCACGATTCTGTTACTCAACTCTCATCTCACACCGTTGATTCAGGCACCGATGCATGTGCTCCTCCTCTTCACATCTCAGCCCTCCTCCATCGGCTGAAAGAGAGATTCAGGAGAAAAGAGACCATTGACGGGAAGATGGACGAGTGATCATGTTTCACATGGACTGGAACCCGTGGATTATACCTGGGGTCATAGGCCAAAGACGGCTGTTCAGGTCCTGTATCGGAACCGCCGCCAGCTGCCTGTCGGCCTTTGGCCAATCACAAGATGGCATTTGGAACAATGATCCCGGGAACTCTCAATCAGCGGGCCTGCGTCACAGGGGCAACCGCTAAACAACGAACCCCCATCCTCCGATCCTTGGAACTAATTACAGGTTAGGAAAGCCTGTCCTACAACGAGTATAACACGGGCTGATAGTGTCAGATAAGGCGCCTGTTGGAAGTCCTTAGTGACGACAACACACATTCTCCCTCCCCTCCCAACGTTGACTTGATCGTATTTTCTCCATCCTGTCTCTGAATTACCATTCAAGACTTGCTGCCGAATCTCCCATCGTCGTACTAGCTTCAACCGGTTCCAGTTCCGGTTTCCGACACCTCTTGCGATCAGGGCGCCCTTTATCGCAAAGGCGCCGCGGGGATGCTTCAGACCGTTCGATCGTGATACTTGACCGTTCAGGACCCAGGAGTCTCTTAGGGTTGTCACCATGACAACTACAACAAAAACAATGCTCGACCAGCAGCTGTACCGCGCCCGCTTGGTGTCGAGCATAGCAGCAACGGCTATATCATTAGCATGTGGAACAAATGTAGGCGATCTCCCTGATCTGTCGTGCAACACAAAAGCTACCGCATGGGACTGATGCTGACTCTTTGCGCCTGTGCATTCACGATAGTACGTCTACTCAGCATGGGCTCCTCAGTTCGCGGATAAGTTACACCTCACGACGACGCAAAGCAACCTGATCGGACTGGCCGGAAATTTGGGCATGTACTCGATGGGCGTTCCAGTTGGGATGTATGTCGACCGCCGAGGTACCCGCCCACCGGTCATTGTCGGCGCCTTACTGCTGGGCTTGGGATATTTTCCTTTCAAGGCCGCATACGAAACTGGCACTGGATCCGTTCCCCTGCTTTGCATCTTCAGTTTCTTGACTGGATTTGGAGGATGCATGGCCTTTGCTGCCTCAGTCAAAACCTCGGCCTTGAACTGGCCTCATCACCGCGGAACAGCAACGGCCTTTCCGCTGGCCGCCTTTGGTCTTAGCGCATTCTTCTTTTCCGTCTCTGGAAGCATCTTCTTTCCCGGAAACACTGGCGCCTTCCTCATGTTCCTTTCTGTCGGCACTTTTGTCCTTACCTTCGTCGGATTTTTCTTCATGAAGGTCTACCCGCATACTTCGTACCGACCGGTCCAATCCAGGCCTGGGCTCTCGAGCTCCCAGCAACTGCACCGGACGCTATCTGAGGAGTCAAAACACCGCGCAGGTCGCAGTTACGTCGACGAAGAACCTGGTATGTTGCCCACTGTTTACACCACTCCTAGTGGCACTACAGCACCGGCCCTCAGCGGAGGCAACGACGAGCTCGTGGAGCCCTCATCTTCTCGAGACGTCAGCCCTCCTCGCCGATCCAATGATATCGAAGCAGCCTCTGCGGAAACACAAGAGGAAATTGCCGACGAGACATCGTCTCTTGTGTCCAGAACGTCCTCACTACCAGGCGATGTATATGTCGAGAGCAGTGTTGATATGGATCGTTCGCATCGCGTAGATATTCGTGGCTGGGCCTTGCTTAAGAGTCTCGATTTCTGGCAACTGTTCTGCATCATGGCCATCTTGGCCGGAATTGGTTTGATGACCATCAAGTACGTGTTGAACCCTTGCTATTCCGCTCTGCAATGAGACCAGTCCGCTAACGTTTAACAGCAACATCGGCCATGATGTAAACGCTCTGTGGAGATACTACGACAAGACAGTTGATGATGCATTCCTCGTTCATCGGCAACAGTTGCATGTTTCCATCCTCTCTGTTGGGAGCTTTGTTGGTCGATTGCTCAGTGGTAAGAAAAGCCCCATCCCATGCTAAGAACTATGTAAAACTAACTCTGCATTCAAGGTGTCGGATCAGATTTCCTCGTCAAGGTACTAAAGGCCAGCCGTGTCTGGTGCCTTGCGGTAGCAAGCTTGATCTTCTTCATTGCTCAGCTGTGTGCGCTCAACATCCTCAACCCACATCTACTCGGCTTCGTCTCCGGTCTCTCCGGCCTTGGCTATGGCTTCCTCTTCGGCGTTTTCCCATCCATCGTGGCTGAATCGTTCGGTATTCATGGGCTCAGTCAGAACTGGGGCTTCATGACCCTCAGCCCTGTCGTATCAGGCAACATCTTCAACCTGTTCTACGGCAAAGTCTTTGACAAGCACAGCATCATCAATGACGAGGGAGAACGCACCTGCCCTGCTGGTATCGATTGCTACAAAGACGCATACTACATGACGCTTGGTGCTTGCGCTATCGGTCTTTGCGTGACACTTTGGACTATCAGGAGGCAACATAATGAAAGACTGAAAGAAGCGAACAAGACAGTTGAGGATTAGACGTCTTCGCTGTTGATTTGTTGGCTTTCTCGTCGCCGAAGACAGAGTCCACTTCGTTCTAACAATGAGGAGGAGTAGCGGAGACACATTATCAGATAGCAGTTAAACGGCGGGGAAATGGTTTGCGTGACAACTTTATTACATACAGCGGGTTTGTACATATCTGGCGTTAGAAGGTTATACGGGGAGAAGACTAAACCTTGGGTGTCGCGGCGGCATGTCTGAAGATTTGGGGGGCGCTATTCTAGATCACCATCTTACAGTTTCATACGAACTATGAACTTGATGAAATTAAACTACTGATCAGACACAAGTCCACTTCCCATAATCTTTGGCACACAAAGTCAGCTGGAGAGAAAATAAAAGATGAAAAGGGTGTGGCCAGCTTTGACCCTAACCCTGGATCATGAAGGAGAAGGGGCCGCGGATTTGTTTTGCAATGGCCCCTCCACCTCCTTCCCGACAATCAATTTTATTTGTTTACTTTTGCAGCGCAACAACAACCTTCAATCCTGTCGTTTTGTCATCCCATCGCACCCTAGTTCCCCCGAGCGGACGGCTGTCGCAAAGCCAAACACGCATCTTTACGACCCCGCCGACCTTGCAATTGCCGCCAATTATTCGCACAATTTCAAGCAGCAGCTATCGACCTGCGCGTCGCTAGTCGCATTCCATTGCGCGCCAATCATCGACAGCGCGATCGACGACAGCCTCCGCCAGACGACGCCGGCCGGAAACCCACATATTAAAGATACGTCTTCTGCACGTTTCGCATCACCTCGCAGTCCGATGTCAAGGGCGCAACACGACACTCATTTGCTGGGACTGGTGGATTCGGATTCAGAGGACGGACTTAGCGGGCCTGCATCTACTCGCTTTGGCAGCAGCAAACCCGCAACAAAAACAAAACCAACATCAACAATAACAAAGCCGAAATCGATCCTCAAGCAGACAACCACAGCAGCGATCATCAAGAAGGAACCCGTAAACAAACCCACCGCTGCGTCAACAGCCAAACGAGCGACACCCAAAACAGCAACAACAACAACAACAACAACAACAACAACAACAACAACAAAAGCCGCGACAACAACGAGACAACAATCCGCCTCCGGCGCAGGCGCAAGCACAATGGCTCCCGCCAAACGAAAGACCGCTTCCACCCCCTCCGTGGCCAACAAGCGAACCGCCGCCACCACCGCCGTGACCGCTTCCGCAAACAAAGTCATCAAAGCCTCCGCGCAAAAGACCAAACCCCTCACAGCCCGACAAAAAGCCGCTCTAGCCCGCGCCGCGCTGGCAGAGAGTTCAGGAAACGTTACCGCGACGCCCTCTACCGTAGGAAAAGCGACTCGTGCAAGTGGAAGGGGAAAACGCGCTGCCGCTGCGATGGCTCCCGTGGAAGAGGAAGAGATGGAGTCGACCGAGCAGACCGAGACGATTCTGGAGGAGGATACGACCATGCACGACGTTACTGTTACAGAGGAAGTTGAGGAGGCACCGAAGGAAACAACGACAAGGGCGACGAGGGGCAGGCCTAGAAAGACTGCTGTTGCGGAGACGCCTGTGCCGGCCACAGCAACGGCGACAAGAGGTGGAAGGGGGAGGAAGAAGAAGGTGGAAGAGCTGGTGGTTGTGGAAGAGGATGAGACGACGACGACACAGCAGGAAGAGATGACGGAGGAGATTACACATGAGGAGACTCAGATTGAGGAGGAAGAGGAGGAATCGCTGCCTATTCCGGGAGCGTGGCGTAACGGGCCCGCACCAGCGAGCACATCTAGGAAGTCGTCTTCGTTGGGGCTGGGGTTTAAGGCACATACAGCTACGGGAAGGAATGACGACGTGGAGCTACGGCGGAAGTTGGGCGAGATGACGCAGAAGTATGAGGCGCTGGAGCTGAAGTATAGGGATCTCAAGGAGGTTGCGGTGAAGGAGGCGGAGAGGAACTTTGATAAGTTGAGGAAGCATTCGGAGGAGAGGACGACTGGTATGTTTATGTCTTCTTATTTCCTTTTGGAAACCTACTGGGTGATAGTCGCTAACAAACCTCACTACAGCCTCTGGCCAACTAATCGCTGCCCTCAAAGACGAACTCTCCTCGAAAAAGGAAGCCGCCAGAGAGACCACCCGTCTCCAAAAGCAACTTGAAGCGTCTGAGTCCCAATTGTCAACCCTCAACGCCAAGGTCGCCGAGCTCACCAGCTCCCTCACAAAGTCCAAGACGGAAATCAACGCTCTCAACATCAAGCTCACCGCCTCGCGACAAGCCGAAGCCGCGGCGGCCGCCAGGATTGGCCAACCCCAACAAGTCCCCGGCAGCGCCATGAAGAACAAACAAAACGGCAACCGCATGCTCACCATGGGCAACTCGGAAGCCATCGCCCAAGCGACGCAGCAGCACCAATTGAAGGAGGACCTCTACTCGGATCTGACCGGGCTGATCGTCAGAGGAGTGAAAAGGAATCAGCAGACGGGCGAGGATGTGTACGATTGTATACAGACGGGGAAGAATGGAAGTAAGTCAAGCCGCATTTTACCCTCTCCTCAATCTCCTTTTCCCCTAGTTTACTAACAAATCCTGACTAGCACTCCACTTCAAACTCGCGCACATCAGCGCCAACACCGCCCACATCGATGCGGACGAGACCACCCAGGTCTTTGACGAAGACCAGTTCCACTACATGCCGCAGCTCGATACGAACAGGGACCGCGCGCTTATTGACCTGTTGCCGGATTACCTGGTTGAGGAAATCACTTTCCCTAGACAGCATGCGGCCAAGTTTTATTCGAGGGTCAATAAGGCTTTGACGGAGACGGTTGCGCCGCAGTAGTCTGTAGGTCCTCTAGGAATTGGGATTTCGCTGGGTCTAGGATCGGAGAAACGAGAATTAAGTGCTTGTAGGGAAGGTGTTGGTAATATAGTTTTGCATGTCTGGATACCCCCGTTTTACTTTCTTCTTCTCTTGCTCGGGCTTCTTTCTCTCTTGCTGGGCAATCGTTGGGTTGGGTAGCTCTGACCTTTGAACCTTTGGGAATTTTGAGGCGTCCTTCTTTTTGGGAATTTAGGCTATGGAGACAAGCTATTGCTGTTTGTCGAGGGTGGCTCTTCGCTAACAGTTCTGTTGTTCTACAATAGCACCTTCACTCGGTTACTGTAGGATTATCTTGTATCGTTATGTCAGCCTTCTCAATGTTGGTCAGCCTTCTCACGACTGTGACTTGCCTTCTGCCTCTGTCGATGTCTTGTACCTCCCAAGGCTGAGTTTTCTCCTCAGTCTAGACGCACGGAAGCTATGACGAATGTTCTGTGCTCGGACGATGCTTGGCTCGTCGCTCATGGCTGCCGTAGAGATCCTGTGATGTTCTCGAGCCCCAGGACCCTCATTCCGGAAACTTTGGAGGGGTTAGTCGTCACTGCCGTTTCCATTGACAAACCACAATGTGCAGACAATTTTACCAGACTTTTGAGAGCTTTGACAGCTCCAGTCAAGCTCGAGCTCCAGCGACATAGCTCTACTCACCGTGGCCCGTTCACACTTACTCCGTTTTGCTCGTTCACAACCGCTCTTGCCCGCTCTTGCCCGCTCTTGCCCGTATTAACCCATGATCCCTTCGTTCCTTCCACTATCTCCAGTCTCAACCTCTCAACAGGAACTTACGTCACACATCACTACCACAAACCTCTTCCCTACCACTCTCTCCTTCCATTATCGTATCCAATCCGGAGTCCCATCAGTCGTCACCAACCTCCCTCTCCCATAGCCATATAACTGCCCCATCTCACTCCCGCATCTTCTCTCCACCCCGTCACCGATCACCACCTCTACACTACCAAAAAACAACTCAATCCATCAGCGCAACAACTCAACAACACAATCAGACCGAACACCACCAAACCACCCACAACCCACAAGCAACAATGTCCGACATGGACTCAAAGAAGGTCAATACCATGGTCGACAAGAACTCCGGCTCAGGCACCGGCACCAACAAGGGCCCGACCACTGGCTCTGCCTCTTCAGATACCAGCAACAAGCCCTCGATGCAGGCTACGCAGACCTGCAGCTGCAACACAACTGGTAGTTGCACTTGTGCACCGGGACAGTGTGCTTGTCCTAATTGCCCGGTACGTTTTTCATCTCTCATCTCCTGTCAGCGGCTTTGGCGTGTTTTGCGTGTTGGATGTCTTGCGTGTTGCGTTGCTTTGGTGTCTAATTGTTGCTTTGTGGATGAGGATGGTAATCTGCTCTGCTCTGCTCTGCTCTGCTCTGCTCTGCTCTGCTCTGCTCTGCTCTGCTCTGCTCTGCTCTGCTCTGCTCTGCTCTGCTCTGCTCTGCTCTGATCTGTTTTACACACACAGTTCGGGTAATCTTTTGATGAGAATTTCTGCAAAAGGAGAGCCATTGCTAACCTCCTATGTTTTGTTCCAGACCGCAAGCAAGGAGACTGCCTCTTGAGGGTTATTGCACGATGAACACACACCTCGGGCGATGATTGCTACCTCGCATCGACGTTGTTTTAATTTCTTTCTTGGTTTTCGGGTCTCCATTGCATCCATCAACTGGCTTCAGACTTCTCATTCGGCATGATTGAATGGGGAAGGACAGAAAAATGGGTAAAACATCAGTGTGACGGTCATGCGTAACTTGATCGGTGGAAAATAGCAAGGCCATTTTTGGCGGGATGGGTGAGCGTTGGATGGGTTGATGGATGATTTTACTACTTTTATTGCTTTCTGTTTTTTGCACCACGTACACGAGTGTCTTTATTATTCCTAGCCTGAGCAAAGAAATGCCGTGGGCCGTCGGGCAATAGGTTAGTTCAGAGCAGGAAAGAAGGTTGTACACACTTGGGGTCGATGACTCGGGTTTACCCCTATTGTTTGCTAGACACTTTGTTGTGATCTGTTCACTGGGCAACGACGGCATCGTGACACCTTACATGATTCGGACGTAACCTTGCAGACGTACAAAACGGCAAGAATCTCAGATACGAGAATTGTGCAAGGCTTCGTATCACTGATTGGGAATGTGATGCTTAAAGCCATTGGACTGTTATTACTGCAATGTATGGTGACCGCATGGATATGAAAGATCGACGAGACCCTGTTTGGGTACCTTGTTAACACAATAAAAACGTTGATCTAACAGATTTGTGTATCCCGATATCTTGTTATATGAACCTAGAGTATCATTTGGCGCAAGGTCCTAGATGAAGTAATGCATTGACTGCCATTGCCTTGTCAGTGACCACCCAATCATCCGTCTCTTCCCTTCCGTATACCAGTAACCATGTGAAGAGTATAGTCCAGGATAACCCAACATTAACCTCCAGTGTTGTGATGCATACGATCCAACCCACACGAAATCTAACTGCACAAATACAGCATCAAGCCAGTTAGTTAGTTACCCGGGTACTCCTCTATCCATCATAGCCACCGCCCATAGATGTTTTCCTCCCAAGATACTCCACAGTCTCCATATTCTAGAACAGACGTGACACTCAAGAAAGCAGCTTCATGATATCAGCCATCCTCGTCTCCTTAACCTTCTTCTTCTTATCCTGCTTCTCCTGGAACGCCTTGCCGACCAGCTCTCTCTTCTCCTTCTGGATATCCAGCACACGTTCTTCGATCGTATTCTCCATCACAAGTCTGTAGACATTGGTCTCCCTGGTCTGACCGAGACGATGGACGCGATCAACAGCTTGATCCTCGATGGCGGGCGCCCACCAGCTATCCGCAAGGATAACGGTGTTTGCGGAGACCAGGTTCAAGCCCACGCTGCAAACGCCCAAGCTGGCCAGCAGGATGCGCGTGTTGGGATCATAGTCCAGGGCGCGGATGGCAGCGTCGCGCTGAGCTGTGTTCATGCTGCCATCGATACGGGTGTATGTGTACCCCGCCTCATCCAACTGATGCTGAATGATGGTTAGGAAGGAGGTCCACTGGGAGAAGATGATGACTTTGTTGCCCGCATCCTTCCCGAGGCTGTCCTTGACAAGCCTCAGCACGGCATCGGTCTTGGAGCTCTTGGTCTCGGATTCAAGTTCCTCTTCGTCCTGGGTGGCCAAGTGTTCGGGCGCTGGTTCAAGAAGTTTGTCTTCTGAGAGGGGAGCGCGGCACATAGGGCACTTCTGCTGAACTTCAAAGACCTTGTCAATACAGCCTCGGCAAAAGACGTGCTTGCAATGCGTGATGACCGGGTTGTTCAATGGTTCAATGCAGATAGGACACTCTTCTTGGCTCTCAATGTAGAGCTGAAGCGCCTGTTGCAGAATGACCTTGTTTTCAGGGGTGAGGTCAACCACGTCTTTATCTGCGAGAAGATCGAGAACCTCGGTGATTCGCTTCTTGCATAAAACCCAGTGGTTGCAACTAGACTTGGTTAGCATGGTTATTGGTCTTGAGACGCGAGGACACTTACGTTTGCCGAAGACGAAGAAGCCTCTCGAGGACTCCCTGAAATTGTCCCTGGGAACGCTTGGACTGCCTCCGGTAGTCTTCAAGAACTCCTTGTGCCTCGGATCTAATTCATTTGTTAGCTCGCTGGTAGTGTAAAGATCAGAGATCGTGGGAGAACTTACAGCAAAGCATCATACTTCTTCTGCTCATCAGGCCAGAAGGTGATACTGACAGTTTGCTCGGTCTTCTCCGGAAGCTTTAGGTCGACAAAATTCATGTCCTTCTTTCGGCGAATGCAAAGATCTCTCATCAAACCTCTCAACAGAGCTTCTCCCTTAGGCTCCCCGTTGGCAAGCGGCCTGCTGAGAACAGTGTTGAAGATATCTGGCTGTTCGATTCCGCCTGTTATGCGGAGGAACTTAACCATCGAATGGAGATCCTTGACACTGTTGACACTATATTGGGAGTGTGTCAGTACTGCATTGGAATACGCGAGCCTTGCGTTCTTCAACTTACATTGGAGTTCCAGTAAGTACCCATCTGGACTTGGCCTCCAGCTTACAAGCATTCTCAGCCACCTTGGCTTTGGCATTACGGATGCTGTGCAGCCTGTTAGTATTGTACACAAAATTCCAAGTCTTGCCTCCATTGAACCTATCTGTGTCCTTCGTCTAGGACTACCCTTCTCCAGCGAGTCTTGACTAGAGCCTCGTCGGACAAGGTTCCATAGCTTGTGATAACCACATCCTGGTCATGGAGCGTATCGGCAAATTCTTTGCGTTTACTTCCATGATACATGACGATGCTTGGCTGATGCTCTTCGTGAATATGGCGTCTGATCTGCTGCTTCCAGTTGCTCATCACACCAACGGGGGCAACGATGAGAGTAGGGCCGGTACCCAGGCCCTCGGTCATGATGAGACTAATGATCTGGATGGTCTTGCCAAGGCCCATATCGTCGGCACATATGGCGCCTGACATCAACTCGGGAGCAGTCTTGTTCTTGAAGCCCGTTGCCATGTTGTAGTACTTGCCGTCAGCGGTATGCTGCCAAAGCTGTACAGAATCAGTGGACCCCTTTGCAGGCAGTTTAGGATTCTCCTTGGAGATCATCCAAGCAAGGCCCTGAAGCTGATATAGAAGCAACTGCGCGCGCAGCTTCTCTGGCTGCGGAGCCTTAGGAAGGTTGGCCAGGTCTTCCTCACTCATGGCAAGTGACTTGATCATATCACCGCCGGAACGGAAATTGGTGACCTCGCTCATCTTAGCCAACTGTTCCATTGTAATCTTGGGCTCCGGCTCTTGCGTTTGGCTAGGGAAGCCATGAGTACCATTGCCCCTGAGTTCCAATATCTGTCTCTTTCTCTGTTCCTCATTTGCCTTGCGTGTTTGTTTGAGTTCGGTGGCTGTAACAAGCTTGTCCTTCTTCAGCCGTTCCTCAAGGTTGGCTCGTTGAAGTGGCGCGCTCGTGCCGTAGAAGTAAAGTCGGACAGGGCAGTCGAAAGATCCTTTCTCTCCAGTAAGCATGCCCTCAACTACAAGGTCACCCTTGTCCTGGGTTGGATTAGAAACCAAAGTGGCCGCAGTGATTCAAGGGGTTACACACCATGTAAGGGGTTAGCTTAGATGCAACGGCCCTCGGGATATGGCCAATCTGTCTACCCAAAGCATTGTCCACACGAATGGCATTGGAGTCGTACGGATTTTGAGGTTCTCGCTTGCAGACAACTACTTCACCGGGAGAAGCTACGCCGTTGTAGTATCGCACACCAACAATCTTGCCGTCTGTCTTGTATTAGCACGGGGAGCAGGCAGAAACCGGAAGAGTGAAGTATACGGACCGAAATGGCCATAGAATTCGAGTACGGGGCCAGGATCGGCCTGGGTAAGGTCAATAACCTCGGGCTCATCGTCCGACTCGAGTATATCGGGCTGGGTGCTGAGCCAGTTCAGGGTGTCGCGAATGGCCTGCACATGCGCGGGAGGACGATGCTGCGAGCTCGGAATTGCATAGCTGTTCGAGGTTGGTTGTGTGCTTTGACTGCTACGTGCTGTGTGAGCGCTGGTTGTCTTCTGGGTACTGGGTCTGCTCTGGGAAATTTGTCTGCTCTGGGATCTCTGAGTGCCCGGTGTCGATAGCCAGGGAAGTTGCCGGCGTCCGGAGCTAGTTTGGCTCGACGAAGAAGAGCGATTGGTGGTGGTGTATTGTGGGACGTACGGTGTGGACTGTGTAGAACGGCGGGACTGAGACTGGGAAGACGAGCTATTACTGTTTAGCCGACGCCGACGTGTGGCATCGCCGCCGTAGTCGGAATCGACGTAGGATCGCTTCGGCATTGTTGCTCAACTTTGGCGGGATACGCGTCAAGACGATTTGAGCCTTGGCAATTGTCAGAGAATTGTGGGCTGTGAGAGACAGATTCGCCCAAAGAAGAACAAGTTGGACTCCTCCTTTTTCTTTTCCGAAATCGCAGCTGTGGTGGTGGGAAAGGACTTGGAAAGAGCGATCAACCCTACTACCTACAGGACGTGTCGGGGATTCGAAACACCGAGACAGCGGATGAATTTCCCCACATTGACTGGAGAACGAACGCGGGACCCCAGTCGCTGTTATGCGAACTCACGTGATGCGTCTAAGGGATTGGGTCGTCAAGGTAGGGAAGATAAGATAAGCTGGACGGTCTGGGCAATGACATCACTTTCCAAATGGTGAACAATGCCTTCAATTGTTGACAAAGAGCAAACTCGTGAGGTATTGAGACTAGATTGGGTATTCAAGAAGATTCTTGGAAGGGTAAAGATGGTTTCACTTCAGATAATTTGTGGTTTGATAACATTGGGCTCCAACAAGAGTCATGAGGAAAGAATCGGAATTGGATATGCTAGCGTGTTTGCGATTATGATCAAACAAAGCAAGCCTTCAACCACAAGGTTGAAGAGCATGGTGATTATGCAAGGGCCCGAACGCAGCCATGGGAGTACAAGTAGCATGGATCCTTCGAGGTATACGGACATTAGCAATGTCTCGAGAAGCGAGAAGAAGGAAAAGGCATTTCAAACGCTACCAACTCCAAAACGTACAATAAGTTCATCGTTCTCCGTGAAAGTACACAAAGAACTAGAGAACTTCCAGCATCCATGTCTCCATTAGAATCCTAATATAGCGAGCAGCCTTCCAAGCGCTGCTTATCACAACCACATCGAAAATGTATGCCGTCCTGTCAAAGAACGACCCGTGAAAGACCGTCATATCCATCATACCCATCATGTACGCATCGAGATGCGCTCCGAACGCCACGAGACAAAAATCAGAAAAAAAAACCAAAGGAAGGTATCCTTTCTTAACCGTCCCTGTTGGTGAAACAAAAATGCAATGGTTAGCTTCCACTCGACCTCGGAGCTTTGAAAATGTTCGGTCATTTTCTTGGGCGGAACCCGTCGATTTGTTTGGTGGGAATGGTTAGGAAACTCTGTCCAGCTGAACGAAGCAGAAGACAACGCGCTGCAAAAGCCAGACGCTCGTTCGCTTGCTCGCTAGATTGGGCTGAAGTGAAGAGGAAGGAAGGGGCGATGTAAAAGTTTTCAGACACAAACAGAAAGAGGAACGAACGGGGTTCGACTAGGGCAAAGACCCAAGTCGCCGCACAACTGGAAGCACGGAAGGAATGACAGGAAAAGCACGAGAGGGGGAAGGAATGGAAATCACGTACAGCAAAGCAAGCGTCAAATCACCGTGGATGTGCGCCTTCAGCTCAATCTCGATCTCGAGGTTCAAATCCAACCTCAACTTGAGCGGGTTCTTGCCTCCATCACCACCACCGCCTTGCTGCATCTGCTGCTGTTGCTGCATCAACATCATCTGGTTTTGCTGGTGCTGTTGCTGCAGCGCTTGTCTCTGGCGGTACGACATTGGCTCTTCCTCGGAATCTTCTTCGTCGGCGAAGCGCGGGCGACGACGACGACGAGGCTTCTCAGCGACCTCCTGGTTGCGGCTCTTCTTCTTGTTCTTCTTTTCGTCGCGCATGAACTTGGGCTGCGGAGCCTCGTCACCCTTGGGTGTGGACGGCTGAGATTCTGAGGGAGACTCCTCAACGGCGACGGTGCGGCTTGCGTTGTGGCCGTCTGCCTCCTCTTCATCTTGATCTTCTTGTTCGGAATCGTTCTCCGAGTTGTCGTCGTCGTCGTCATCATCATCGTCATCGTCATCGTCATCATCCTTCTCGGCGTTGTTGTTTACTTGGTTCTGATTGTCTCCATCTTTGTTATCACCTTCCTCGTTGTCATTGACGCTCTGGTTCTCGTTGTCTTCGTTGTCGCTCTTATTGACGTCGCTGATAACTGGGTTGGGTGCCGTTGTTTCATTTTGGGATTGCTCATTTTTCTCATCCTTCTTCTCTTCAGCATCCGGCTTGGGGACCTGGTCGTTGTTGTTTGGTGTCTAGGCAGTGTTAGTTGCACGCCCTGGTCAGTCACTTGTCAGTCCTCCCAAGCACAGATACACTTACAGGATCCATCTTGTTGTTTACAGGTTGTGGGTATCGAAGTTTGTTCTGTGCAGAGTTGCTATGAGAGGTATCACAAGAGGTGATAGAAAGGGAAGTAAATTGTTTTGTTTACACAATGGGTGTTCCTAGAGAATAGCAGGGCAGAAGACTAAACAGCAACAGGAAAGGTTAATCTAGGTTTAAAAAACAGGACATATCTCCAGTGCAGAGGTCCAACAATTCCGGATAATGTCCACACGGCAACCCAAGATCATCAACAGGGTCCAACGCGAACACACGGAGCAAAAGACGAGGACCCTGATGCAATCATCCATCATCATGTCTTGGAGAACGGAAACACGATTTTCATTCCCACCATGAGACCACCACATGCCCACGAGCTTTGTGGCCCCAATGCAGGTAGCTCATCCACCCACCATCATCCACTGCACCACGAAGGTGACCTACCCCAATTCCCCCAGAGTGACGACATGGGAGGGTGCCGTTTCCTAAACTCAAGAACCGCCAACAAGTTTGGGCGGCTCATCATGGAGGCTGTAATGCCGTCCAGGAAAACGGAGCATACGGTAGTAAACACTTCCGTTCTCTTGTCTAAATCGCACACCCACCTGCCATGTGTCTGAAGAAGCCCTGTACAGCAGAAGAAGTCGTCGCAAAGTTCTGGTACGGCGATAAGCGAGCTATGACGTCGATCCGACCTAAAGAGCGGATCCTAGTTGAGGATCAACCATTTGGTGGGTGGGATCACGAACTTTAGCTGCATGAGATGACATCGAGGCGACAGGGGAGGGGGGTGCAGCTACGACCACGGTCAGGGCCGCATCACCAGTAAAAGAGACCGTTTCGAAGAGACAGAGAAACGGAAGCACGATAACTCGGTCGATAGTATATGACGGTGTCTAAGAAGGGAGCACCTTGTTGCTTACCCGAACATTCAATCAACCGAACCGCCATCACCATCACCAGGCGTACCTCAACTTCTTGTTCCAAACCCAAAAAAAGATACTCACTATTAACAACTCGATCAAGCGAATCCCAGCTACGGAGGCAAGGAAATATGGTTATCGGCCTTCTAGTCATTGCTGGAATTCCCACAACAATAGGTGTCTGCGAAGCCCTGAGCGCCCAGAAGAAAGCCAACAACGCAGCTAAAGAGAAAGCCAAGTTCCAGTTGACAGCCGCCATATCCTTGGATGGAGGACCACCAGAAGAGTGTTTTTGTGTGTTGAAAGATGGAAGGGTAAGTTCAGCTCCAGTCGCCTGTCAGCTGTCATCCATAGTCCGGACGAAGAAGCGATGAATGACATCAGCCCCCCCATTTCGTATTCCCCACCGGGTACCCTTGGCTTACACCTCTGATAGTTATGGATCGACCATCCCGACTATCCCATGCCAGGCCACAAGTTCATGGGGTACTACTTCACCTACCCCTCGGAAGAGAAGCACCTGGGCATGGTGAGCACAATAGCAGACGATCCACCCATGTTGAACTGGATATACTGCGATAAGGACACGGGCATGGTTCGACATGGCGGTCGTCAAGCCACCATTGGACATACCATTGGACCTTGGTTCTGGAGCAACGACGAGACATGGTTGACGCTCGAAGGGGATACCCTACAGTTTGTTGCTGTACAAGACGAGGAAACCCAGAGGTGGTGCGTTTACTGGGACAAAGATAGGAAGATCAGGGGGTCAGGCGGTAGCTATGTTGGGGATGAAGACTATTCAGACGAATCTTCAGAAGAGGAGGAGGAGGATGAGGAAGAATCAGAAGAGGAAGACGACCCTGAGTTCAGCGAAAGTGAAACGGAGGAACTCAGAAAACCCACCAAGAAGACATCGGAGAGGGCACCCAAACAGGAAGCTGGAAAGGCCGAGGACAAGGAAAACGGAGGTGGAGAGGCCGAGGGAAAGGTGACTGACGAGAAAACGGAGGACAAGCAGGATGGTGGGGAAGTTCCTCCTTTTCTGCAGCAAGTGCAGAAGCCTGTGAAATGGGTCCCGATCCTACTGCGTCGTCGAATGCAGTTGGGGATGGAAAGTCGATACGTCAAGGGCGCAAATGGCTAAAACGCCGCGGTACGGATGTGATATGATGAGATGGTGGGCTCACTGTATAAGATCGGGATATCATGAAAGTTAAGGGTAGCGGTAATAATAGGGCCCTGAAAATGTCATCAATGCTAATTCGTGAAGGTGTTCTCCGACGAATAAGGTAGCTTATCCCGGTCTTGTCCCATTTATGCAAGCCTGAAATCAAGAGAACAGAAAACTGGATTCGAACTCGCCCCCTGACCCCGCTGATGTTCACCTCATCGCCAAGAAGCCGACTAACAAGAGAAAAAGAAGGGGTGGATGGCTGCACGAGGCGCGCCAACAGCCGACTTACAGCACAGATGATGGGAAAGATTGGCGCATGATACATGCAGTCCCGTAACGTAACTTTCAAGGGACTTGCATAGCGTACGCATGAGTGACGGGAATGGGTGTCCCAATGTCCTCACCACCAAAAGACCGGGAGGTAACCCGGGGCAGAGGGGACCCCAATGACTTCATTGTTGAAGCTTGGTTCTCGTGAACCCTGTTTTGGTCATCGCTCTTTGGACCACACCTCGAGATACTTCCTTTTAAGACTTGCTCTTCTTTTTCAGTCTTCCTGAAGATGTTTGGAACAAGACAATAGTCCACAATCTAAGAAGACAACAACAACAAACTCGGCTTCCTGTCTTTCGTTGATCAGACAGTCAAGTCAACACATCACCAGCCGTCCCTCACACCCGCCTGACTTCCATCCAACAACACATTCATATCAACACCAACACCAAATAAACAACCGCCAAAATGTCCACCCAAAGCGGCTCCGACACCAACAAGAAGTCCAAGCGCCAGCAAAAGAAGCAAGCGCAAACCTACGAATCCGAGTCCGAATCCGAGGACTACGCCCCTCCTCCCCGTCGGAAGCGCGGCAAGCAGCAAGGACCTCTCGATTCGCTGGCCCTCGACAACGTCGGCAACACGGTCGGCGGTGTCACCCAGGGCGTGACCGGTGCTTTGGGCGGCATCGCTGGCGGTGCTGTCCAGAACCAGCAACAGGGTGGAGGCGGCGGTGGAAAGTCCGATACCCTGCGCTTGAGGCTGGATCTCAACCTTGATATCGAGATCACGCTCAAGGCCAAGATTCATGGTGATTTGGAATTGGCTCTCTTGTAAGTGTTTTGATTTTTTTTCTTCTTCCTCTTCGTTTGTGTTCGTTGCTTTTTTTTTTGCTTCTGCTTCTTGACGACCTTGCCCCCCCCCCCCCTCTTTGGCTGCTTTGTTTCCCATGGCTTTTGTCATTCTGGTTGATAGCAATGATGAGAGTTTGGTTGTTGAAGCATGTTGCGTTCCATTCGTTGCGTGCGATGCCAAACAACTTTTCTCCCATCTCTTGCTATTTTATCCAAATGACCAACGCCAGGGGAATCTTCTCAGCCTTTGACACCATACCATACCATACCATACCGTTTTTCATAAAAAGACATCGTCCCATATACCCGTTTTCAACCATCCACTCGTTTCTTACCTTGTACTGAAGGTCGATGTAGAGAAACTTGAGTTCATGTCTTGAAAGAGGCGCCTCATCAACCCTCCCTCCACCGTCGTCACCGCCTGTCGCCATATTGTCTGCACCGGACGGAGCAGGCCGATTTTCGTTGTCTCTCCGGTGTAGACATTTGTCGTCAGTCGGTCGGTGTCAGGGCGGAGTGGGGGAAAAGAGGGAGAACTGGTTACGCGCAGAACCAAAAAAAAAAAAAAAAAACCGCGATTTATGCTGTACGATTATGGCGTTGGGATAGAAAGAAGAAGAAGGAGTTGGAGAAGAAGAATGGGAGGCGGGAAATGTTCAGCAAGCGGCACAACTTCCATCCATCATTCACCGTTCCATCAAAGTCAAGAAGCAAGAAGGGCGAAAAAAAGAAGAAGCAAAGCAAAAGGTCGCTGAAACATTGGGGCTAATTCCTTAGGAACTGAAGCAACTAGTTTCCCCCGGTTCATATTTACCCTGCCGGCCGTTTTTCCTCCCCCCTAAGGCCTGGCGGCAGCGGAAAAGGCTTCTCTCTTGATTCGGAATGGGATGGAGTTTGTCGGATTGGATTTGGGATTTGGGATTGGGATTGGGATATGATCATGAGTTAATGAAAGGGAATCGGAAGAGAGGGAAGAGAGCGAGGGAAACTCTCGTCGGTCGGATTCACAACATTGTCAAAGGAGTTCAACGGCATTATTCTTTGGTTCAGAAAGGTTTTCGTTTCTTTGGGGCCTGTATATCTCTTTTTCATTACAGCGCTATAATGCCTATAAACTGCTGGAGTTTTTGACACACATTCCCGTCTGCTGCCCATTATCGTGACTGCTGAATGCTTTGTCTCGGGGGCGTTGTTCCAGCACGATACTCTTCGCACATGAGACATGAACCTGACGCCCGATCACGTCAAGGACAATGTCCACTGTCCAGCACGAGCCTGTCACTACATCGTGATCACAAACCAGGGCGACAGATCTTCGAGTCTCCCATGCTAATACCCGCGACATGGGAACCTAGGTAGGGATATTGAACCGCCGTTCTGTCACCTAACCCGGGCCGAAGGTGCGCCAAGACATCACTGCACTAACACTTACACTCAACCACGGGGCAGCAAGGACCCGCATCGGACATTTCCATCCAACTTGCTGCAGTTACCCATCAATTTTCTCACCTCCATCCTGCTTTCCCTTTGTCCCTGTGTCACGGGAAGACGACAACTTCTTCTTCTTTCCGCAAAACCCTGAGAGGTACATCGCGGGATCTCATCTTTCACGTTCCCTGAAGTCTGTCACCACAATCTCACATGGCGGACCTGGACCTGTCAAGATTCCGCTAGGGCGTTTCAGGCAGGAGAATGGAAGCGGCAGAAACCTGTTTCTTGATGCTCGCTTAGGGTGGGCCACGACACCACCTTCCGGGCCTCGCGTTGTTGTTTGTTAGGTGCTGACTTTGTTTCCTTACGAATTTTCAACAGACCCTCTGAATCCTGGTTAACTGAAATAAAACAGCAAATAAATATAATACCTTCTTTTTGCCAATACCCAAAGGAACTTTTTGGAGCTTGGATCCGTGAAAAGTGGTCCAAAATGATGCACTCTCTGACCAGGACATCATTAACCACTAACAAATCCCATCTAACTGGTCACCAAAATCCCACTTAACGGAAGCAAGCCAAGATGTCCACACCAACCACTCCGTCGACAACTAGTGAACCCAGAGAGAGCTACCACATCAAGTTTAGTGTGATGTCATGATCTTGCTCGAAGCAAGGCAGCGCGTCTTCGTTAAGCGCAACCATCGTACCATATCCTCCCTCCATTATGTCCAAGAAAATTATCGTACGTTCATTCAGTCAGTCAGTCAGTCAGAAACCGCTTCTCGCACCCGACATTCGAATTCGTACAGCTCTCCGCAGACGACGACGACACATCCAAACGGACACAGACAACGGACAGACGCGCGGACGTAACAGTACGGTACTCCAACATTGCTGTGGCTCACCCCCTCACCACCACAGAGCTACCACCACCCACCATCAACGGAACCCTGCCCCTGGAGTCTCGGCCCTCGAAGAATCCCAACCAGGGTTTGCGCTGCTTCATCAGCCTGCAGTCTTTTACCCCTCTTCTCCAAATTCGAAGCCACCGTATCATTTCCTCACCAACGTCTGGGCACGGGCGCGGACGTGGGCGTTGGTTGCGGCTGACAGTGGTGGCTAATTACCTACTTTTGTTGTGTTTTGAGACTCGGACCGGTGCTGTTAATGTTACTACTGAGAGCCCCATACACTCCATATCCATTACGGTACAACAACAACAACTACTACTACTACTACTACTACAGACCACACACAGCCGCTAGCGGAATAGTCGTGCATAGCGTCTACACTGCCTTAGCCCGCGGCTTGGTCCTGGTGGAGTATCATCTGTGCAGACCGCTTAGTAGATACCTCGTCCAGCTCGGAAAGTCTCTCCTAAGCAAGCTGGCTTGGTCCAGGAAGAACAAGCTTCTAAGTCAGCTACACCGTAGCATGACCTCGAAATTCTCGTCGTCGTCCGATCGCGACAGCACAACCACCACCACGGGTGGCGGTCAGCAAGCCGCTGCTCCCTCCTCCTCGTCCGCTCGACAGAGCAGGGACGAGGCGGCGGCTTCCCATGGCGGCGTTGGTCGTCCCAGGCCTTCTACAGCTACTTCCCGCGATGGCGGTTTCGCCAGCGACGAGCGGTCGCGGGATGATGGAGTGATCGACTACGTCGACGAAGAAGAAGAAGAACAAGACGACAGCAGAAGTGGAAGTGATGTCGAAATCGAGGATATCACGGACGCGCCGCAATCACCACAACCACCAAATTACTCACGGCCGCGACCACCAATGTCACCACAATCACAAAGCAGCAACAACAACTCACCAGCACCAGAAAGACCGGCACCTCCACCACCACCAAAATCACCAAAAAAGAAGACATTGCCAGGCGACCCAGCCTACGTATCACCCATAGGCAAAATCGGTCCAATAGGGAGCATCCCGAAGATCTCCTCTTCCCCCAGCAACAGTGAAAAGGGCGGCATCTCCGTCTCCCCTGGCTCGCGGCCCCAGCTCCCTGCCTTCATCGGCTCCTACCTCAAAGGCAAGACCGTCGACGAGTATGGGGACATCATCGACCCGCAAACAGGCACGATCCTCGCGCGCGCCGGAGGCGATCTGCCTTCGATTGTGGGGAGGCAGGTATCCAACAGCCAGGGTGATATCTTGGGAGACGAGGGGGAGTTGCTGGGGTATGTGGAAGATGTTGAAATCGGAAAGAAAACAGCTTCTCCTGAAAAGCCGATGATGAGTCTTGCGGAAGTCATGAGCAAAAATAAGGCGACGCTGATGGTGGATCATGAAGGAAACATCTTGGATGCGCAGGGGAACGTGGTGGGGAAGTTTTTTGGATAAAAATAATCCGATGCATAAAGAACGGCAGGAGAAAGAGGAGAGGGAGAAGAGGCAGAGGCAGAAGAAACAGAAACAGAAAGTGATGGGGAAGGGGAAGGGGAAGGCGAGAGAGGAAGAACAAGAAGAAGATGGGGGGATACCTGCGCCGCCGCAGTATGAGGAGGCTGATGAGGATAAGGATGAGGACGAGGAGGAAGGAGAGGGGGGTCCTGAGGATGAGGAAGAAGAGGAAAAGTCACAGCGGGAACAGCAGTCAAGACCGCCAAGGAGGACGGAAGAAGAGAGGAGAGCAAACGCGGCCGCGTGGAGAAAGGAGAACCCAGGGGAGAGCCCGTCGGATATCTTTCTGGATGTCAAGTCGACGACCGAGGGCATCCAGTTGACGATTCGTATTCCCACTGTGTTTGGCAACAATGGGCAGCAGTTGAAGCCGAATATTTCGTTTTCTTGAGTCCGTCCAGCGTTAGTTGAAAGAACGTATTTTTGAACATGGAAAGGGGAAACTTGGAGCAGCAGGCATTTTTGGGGGTTTTGCGAGAGACCGAAAGTAAGGAGTTGTAATGCAGAATGAGAAGAACGGAGATAGAAAGCTACCAACAATACGCATAAATACGGTAAAGTCAGACGGTCTCTTAGCTGTAACAGAATGGAGGAAAGGAAAAATCAGGTAAAAATAGCAGTTACAAGTGGGACCAGGAAAAAGGACGACGGGCATTCCCCTTCCAGCGAGCTCCAGATCTCCTTCTGGAAAGAGAGAAAGCGCCCGCTCTGCCACGGTGAGTGAGCGCGGGGGAAACTCCGTTCGGAAGTTGGACCCTGGCGTGACCGGTAGGTAAAAGCCAAGACATGGAATCAAGATCGTAGGGCGGAACTTGGAGGAAAGAAGGTAAGCGAGGCCAAGTTTCCCAGAGGTCTCTACCAAGTCCCTGAAAGTCCCCCTCCTCCCCGCCCACTGCCGCCGTCAGCCACCCAACCACAACCCACCATCTGAAATCAGGTTTTCTGGAACATGTGGAAGACGGGGGCTAGAAACCTTGATATCCACTAAGTCCGTTCCGGGGCAATGATGGACTAACGGCCCGAAATCGAAGTGAAGATACAGCTCAGCACGTCTCCGTATAGTGTACACTAGTGTACCTTCCATGGGGTGACATGACGTTGCTCCCGCGTGTGGTGTGGGTTGCGTAAGCTTTCAACAACTTTCTTTCCGCGCTTGTTGTGCCCTTCCAACATCCAACAACAACTTGGAGCACAACCGCTCATAGGTGCGCCCTCTCTATGGTAGTGTTTCTTCGACATGAAACAAGCTATAGCCCAGTTCCAATAAACTGGGGATATGGTACGATATATGTCGATCTTCTTACGAGCAAGGCGAGAAGAATCCACTACACTATACTACGACAACGTGCTCCGTCCGGACTTGACTTCTATTTGTGTAACATCCCGCGTGGTTAAAGATCATCAGAAAGAAAGACGATTAATGGTGGCGAAGAAACGCGCGGGAGAGCTAAATGTAAACAGGATAGAATCTTCAGGACTTGGTTGGCTCGAGGTTGGGTACCTGAAAATACGGACGGAAGTAAAAAAGAAAGCGTGGGGATGGAACCCCCTGCCGTAGGCAACGTGGAGGGGGTGGGGATATCAAAACACTTACACTAACTACAGCACACTAGTAAATTCTCCGAAATCAAGGTTAACGACCACCTCACTTTATTCACCTCAGCTTGATTATTGCTGTCTCACTTCCATGCTCAACGGCAACGGCGGGATACACGCCATGAAACCGCAGCTTTTAGCAGAGCTACACTTTAACCAAGCTTTCAATTTGCCACAATGATAGAAGAAACTCAAGCCACACTTTATGTGAAACTGGCCTTGAGAGGGGAACGACATCCCATCTAGGGAAGTGCTCATCATGGTGTATGCTCCGGGTATGGCTCAAGCCTTGTTCGATGTGCCGGCTAGGTAGAGAATGTTGGTCGAGATCTAATGAAGTCTTTAGATGCTTTCTTCAACTCCCCAACCCACAAGCCGCTGATATCCTTCCTCAACGACATTATGCATTACCTGCCTGCTACATGGTCCATCCCGGAAATTTCCCCAAACCTCAAGGTTGTGTATGTATGTGGGGAGGTGCATTGCCTGTTCCGCTGTGGCTCCCCTCCGTCATGTCCCCCCCTCGTGCGTGCTCCATTTGCTTTTTTTATGTGTTTGGTGCCCTATCGATCGATCATCATACCTTATGAACGCTGAAGATGAAGCTGGGATAAGAAAATGCCATTGAAAAAAAGACATAGGGATAAACCCGTTTCGGTAAACTTACCGAAACGGCAGAAGCATCGATTCGCGAGGAACAGGTCGGACAAAAGCATAACCGATGAAGTCATTCTGCCCCATGTTAGATCCGGCCATGCATGAGTGGCATGTCAAGTTCTCAAACCCTTTTCTCTCTCTGCTCCCTGCCATGGCCTCTCGCAAACTCCGTTCAAACAATTCGATATCAATGGAGGAGCAGGTCGATCCTTCCACTAGTCCAAGTGATTATCTCGCCTTCCTCATCCGATCTTGACAAAACGCTCTCGGGTTTCATACGGTCTTTATGCCTTTAGTGGAAGGACCACCTACCGTTGCCAAGATACCTTACCAGCCAGGCATGCTTTTGAAGGAAGGAAGGAAGAAAGAAAGAAGGAAAGAAAGGTACGATGGAGGCAACAAATGCTCAATCAACTTGTGTTCTTTCCATACTGTACACCCCCTTTTCGAGACGGCCATGAATGATGCTTCTCTGATGATGCTTTTGCTTTGCTTTCTTTCTCTTCCAGGTTCTTGGGCCCGCCTCGCCTCGCTCGAACCATCCCTCCATCATCACATCCAGGTAAATCCTTTCCTTGGCTCTCAAGTGTGTTGCCTGAGCTTTTCAGCCTTTGGCGAACGATGCCGTACCTACCTCTACACACTATAGTCATTCGAGACAATCTCATTGGGTCTGTGGTGCACCACTTGCACCACTTACACCACCTTCCACACACTCTTTGACACACCCACCTTGATGTTGGAAGTGTGTGGCGTTCACGTAACCCTGCAACGCTCCCGAGTGGCTATCACCTAAGAGTGTGAATGGGTGATGGAAGGGATAGTGCCTGCCGGACAGAGTTGGAAGGAACAGGAGGGGAGGGGGGATCTGACTCGACAGACAGACAACTGCGAAACTGACCCAAAAAGACTTCTTGCTCTCTGTGTCGTGACGTAACCCGTTAAACCGCAATGACGTCCCGAAGAACGAAAACTCGAACTTTCTGAACTGCGTGCATCACATACTGACGCAGGAAGCAAGGGACAGAGACAGAAAACATAAAGACATTTAAATATCACCTCGTAGTTCCATTGTCTGGGGGAATCTTGAAAAATCTTAGAATAGCTTCACACACTTCAGCAACAAAACAAACAAGCATTGCCTTTTACCATCCTGAAGTTCAATAGCAAGACAACTATTATTGCAACTTAATACACTTATTACTTATAACCCGCATGGTCACAACCTAACTTTATTCCCCAAAACCCCACAACAAACACACACACGCACACACACAACATACCACACACGACTTGCAACCATGAGCGACATCGCCAAGAAAACCCTCCCCGCTGGCGCTCAGCAGCCCAAGAGCGCCAAAACAGCCGACACCACCTCCCAAGCCGAACCCTCCGCTCCTCGCTCGGCCCAGGCCGGCGAGGAAGGTGCCTCCAATGTCACTGATTCCGAGTCCTACTCCCCAGAGGCCGGGTCCGAGTATACCCACGAGAAGCATGGTGGCGACGACGAGCACCTCGAGGGCATTGAAGAGGAGCCGGGAGAGATCCAGATGAAGGACGATGAGAAGCCTTCCAGCGATGATTTCGAGAAGGTGGAAGGAGAAGGCGACGATGCGCGGACGGAGCTCGAGGCTCAGTCTCGGGAGCAGCCGGACTTTGATGCCGATGATGATGATGATCAGACTGAGGAGACGGAGTCCAAGGCTCAGACTCAGACTCAGACTCAGGGTGACGAAGCTGCTTCTGCCATTCCTGCTACTGAAGAGGAGGACAAAAAGACTGAGGGTCAACCTGCTGGGTCCGAGTCCGAGGCTACCTCCGGAAAACTTCGCTGCTCACCGAGCAAGCCAAGGAAGCTCTCGACAAGGCTTCGGAGGACCAGCCCACTGAGGAAGCGCGCGAGTCTTTCCTCCAGTCGGCCAAGAGCGGTCTGACTGCTGGAAGCACCATGACCGGCGCGACCAAGAAGACTGGCAAGACGGCCACCTCGCAGGCGCCGACGCAGTCGCAGGATCAGGCTTCGCAACCCCAGACTGAGCAGGAGGACACCGCCACCGAAACCAAGACTGCTCCCAGTGAGTACACCGCTACCGCCCCTGATTCTCAGGCACAGCAAACTGGTACTTCGCACCCCAGCGACGAAGTCTCTGGCGAGCAGCAGTACGCCCGCTCCGTCACCTTCGACGAGTCGCAAAACAAGTCGCAGGAGGCTCCAACCGAGTACACCGGCGACGACTCCGCGACTGAGACTGCCACGCAAACCGGCACCGCCACTCAATCCCAGTCCCAGACCCAGCCCTCCCACCCTTCGGACGAAGTCTCCGGCATGGACCAATACACCGGCACGGGCACCACCACCTATGACTACGGTAGCCACACCGCCACCGCGCCAACCCAGACAGGCGAAACCGGGCAGACCGGCACGGGCACTACTACCTACGACTACGGCGGCCGCACCGAGACCGCGCCAACCCAAACGGGCGAGACCGAGCAGACCGAGCAGACTGGCGAGGGTGCGCCCACCGGCGAGTCCGTCACCGTCGCTGAGGATCTCGACTTCTCTGTGCTCAAAGGCGGCAAGGTCAACAAGGGCGGCAACATCATCGACTCTGATGGCAAGATCGTCGGGCGCGTCGTGTCGGGTATCCTGCAGTACCTTGTTGGCAAGAGGGTCGACGAGAACGGAGATATCTGGTCCGACAACGGAAAGGTTATCGGCAAGGCCGAGCCGATTTCCGACAGCGAGAGGGAGGACATGCTCAAGGAGCCGGCGCCGTTTGAGTCCTTCCCCGATGCCGTGGTCGATGGCAATGGCATGGTTGTCAGCAATGGCGAGTGGGTTGGTAAGGTCACTGAGGGTGATTTGAAGGTTCTCAGAGGCAAGAGCGTTGATGCCGATGGCGATATCATGGACAAGTCCGGAAACGTCATCGGCCGCGCGGAACGCTGGGAGCCGGAGCCCGAGGAGGAGCCTGAGCCGGAGGCTGAGGTGGATAAGAGCATCTTGGCCGGCAAGAGAGTTAATAAGGCGGGCAATGTGGTTGATGGCTCGGGAGTCATCTATGGCCGCGTGGTGGAGGGTGATGTGAAGAGGATGGTTGGCCGTATGTGCGATAAGAACGGCAACATTCTCAGTGAGAGCGGTGATGTCCTCGGCAAGGCCGATCTCGTGCCCGAGGGCGAGCGTGAGGGCATGAAGGAGGGTTCCTTCTCTGAGCTCGATGGTTGCACTGTTGCCAAGGATGGAACCATTGTCACTCCTGGTGGTGATATCGTCGGCCGTCTCGTCAATGGTGATCCCAAGGTCCTCTTCGGTCGTCCTGTTGATGACGATGGTGATGTCCTCGACAAGAATGGCAACGTTCTCGGCCATGCTGAGCGCTGGACACCCGAGGAGGTTGAGAGGAAGAAGAACCCCATGTCTGGCCACAAGGTCAACCGTGAGGGCAACGTTGTCGACGAAGACGGCAACATCATCGGCAAGTTGACCTCTGGTGACCCGCAGTCTTGCTCTGGTAAGGAGGTCGACGATGACGGAGACGTTATTGACTACAAGGGCACTGTCATCGGCCACTGCACCCTCCTCGAAGACATCAGAGACGAGGAGTCGCCCGAGGAGAAGGAGAAGAAGGAGCAGGCTGAGAAGGACAAGAAGCTGGCCCTTCAAATGGCTGTCTGCATCGAGCAGTGTCTCGACAAGATTCGTCCTCTCTGCAAGATGATCACCGAGGTAAGTTTCTCCCGTGTTCGATTCAACCACTTTACCTAGCTAGCAGTCACTAACCAGCTACTCTTCACCAAACAGAAAATCGACAAGGCCGAACGCACTCCCGAGGATGAGCGTGACGAAGAGGCGCTCGTCAGGGAAGTCAAGCCTTTGATCGAGGAAGGCGGTCGCATCCTCACCGAGGCCAAGGGCATCATCAAGGGTCTCGACCCTGACGGCCGCATCGCAGCCAACGCCAAGCACAAGACTGCTGCGCGCGAGGCCACTCCAGAGGAGTACCACTTGGCCGAAGTCCTCAAGGACCTCACTGGTGACGTTACCCAGTGCATCGAAAACGCCAAGAAGAAGCTTGAAGACATGCCGCATGCGAAGAAGGAGCTCAACCCTCTCTGGGGTCTCCTCAACGAGCCACTCTTCCAGATCCTGGCTGCCGTTGGCTTGCTCCTGGCCGGTGTTCTTAACCTTGTCGGCAGATTGGTAGGTCTTCATATCTCTACTCGTCATGCCCTTGCTCTGGCGAATTTTGCTAACAGAGGTCTGCAGCTGGGCGGTCTTGGTCTTGGTGGTCTTGTTGATGGCCTTTTGGGTACCCTTGGTCTCAACCGCGTTCTTTCCGGTCTCGGTCTTGGTTCCGTTACCAAGGGCTTGACTGGGGCCGGCAAGAAGAAGAACGGTGGCCTCTTGGGCCTTGGTGGCTAAATATGTGCTGGATAACAGGGATGTTGTAGTGGTGTGCAATGTTTGGATAAGGTAATGATGTCTCATGTTATGATGAAGTCCTGTTATGATCAGTTAATGTATGTTATGAATGAGTTTCACGAAATGTTAGTTTAGTTTCTTTGAAGATCTTGATCGAATGGTTAGTGATACTCTCGAGTGTCCTCCTCTGATGTCCAGTGTCACTATCCTGATGACTTGAAGAAAGTTGTAGTCCAATACTGGTTTGTTTGTTAGCTCGAGACATCTGGTCAACCTTCCTGCGTGTTTCGATGTCTGGTTAATCCGTTCCATTCCATGATTGATACGTGATCATATCCTGTAAATGCCATAATGAATTTTGCTGTTGCCTTTCCAACTTATACCTAGCCATGCTTTCTGAATGACAGACAGGATCCCAAGCTGTATCACGACAAGGGCACCGGACCTTCCCCTTCAGGACAAGTCAACACCCAGGGCCCCAAGAAGACAGGCGTCGAATCACACTTGATCTGAAGAAGTTGACTCACCACTCTTAAAATGTTAGTGTCAGCAAACCCGAGGGGACGGATCGCTTCCCCCAACCCACTGACTGCATGTCAACGGAGTGGAACAGACAGAGAGCCGAAGGGGGCATCCTGGTATGAAACGAACGGAGATAGCAGATCGACTATCACGGCCATTACCCCATGGCGGTTTGTTGTCTCTTATCGCCGTTGTCAACTGTCATTCCCGTCGTGACGCCGTCAACGCTACTAATATCATGACGATAACCCTGTCGGTATTGGCCAAGAGCGGAACGACGGCCTTCGGTGCATATTCGCTTGATGTTCGGCGACGCGCGGTTGATGTTGACAATTGACATGGACATGGATGGAGGCTTGCTCATCAGAGACAGTCATCAACCAAAAGCAAGCAAGCAACATTTTGGATGGGGCCGTAGATCGGTAGATTGGCGTGGATTGGGTGGAGTCCAAGGAAAAGGGTGGGCCTCCATACGGCAACTGCAAGTGGATTTGCGGGGAGTTTGGTAAGAGCGATATCGGACGTTGCAATCCGATTGTCGCAGCTTGTGATGGACAAGACGTGATTGGTCAATTGGGGCCAGAGCTCGAAGGTTTAAAGAGGACCTTGACGGTTTGGTGACATGGTAATGGGACCGACGTCGGAGCTTTTCAGATGACCTCTTTCTCTATTCTACGTTACTGGCTTTGTTGATGTTGAAAATGAAGCTATTCAGAAAAGGTCAAGATGCTGTCTGAAAGAAAATTTGCAAGGTTCAGAGTCCCGCCCCGCAAATCTTTCGTTGTTCTGAGGATTTGCGAATTGCGGCTGCCATGTGTGACACTAGCCAATGCAGGGAGCCCCGACGGCACCAGTAGCGTTGGCCCAATACCTTCATACGTGGACGGTGAAGTGGCCGCTAACAAAACAAACCGACATGTGGAATGCAGTTCCACGACTGACCACATCATTGTCGGACTAAATATTCACCATTTTTCGAGTCATGACATTGTGAAGAGGCAGTTGATGGTGAAGTGAAGTGTGTATTCCGGCTAAGATCATCAGAAACAAGACCGTGGTCCGCAAGTCGTTACGGTTCTACAGCACAAACGTGATGACCTTTTCTCCGAATTCATGATGGATTCCCGAAAACGTAAAAAGGACACATCGGACCGCATCAAAGTTACCTCGCTCCCGTTGCAGAGTGCCGTGCCTGTGATTTTCTTGGTGCCGTCCGTGATTGGTCTTGACCGTGTCTTGTCCTGCATATATGTGCCTGATGCATGTGGTGGTACCGACGGGATATTGGATGACTCCAACCTGGACAACCACACCCTCTTCCGTTGACCGTTCCGCTGTGTCGTGTGTGTTCCCAACAACGACCAACTTGCCGTTCAAAGTGACAAACTTCTCTTCTGAGATGTGAATGTAGGCGTGGGTCCGGGGATGCTATATACACATAGGACTTAGAGATGAAGCTAAACAAGGATGACGGGTCTTGGTAAGCCTCGGACAGAAGGAGCCGGCTGTTTCGTAGACGACAAGACGAAACAGTGCGTCTGGAGACAAATGAACAAGACTTTCCAACTTCACTAATTCCTATTCACAACCGCCACGCCGAATTGCCATTGCCTTTCTGGTGGAAAGATGAGAAATGCCAAAAAGTTCAAAGGAATCGGCAGAAGCCAAAGCCAATCACAAGCTCGTTCACCGCAGTGGTTGCTTCCGAAATCGCCACTACACCTTGCCAGCAATAAGCCAGCCAGGGGCCTGTCATTGGCTGGAACCCACCAAATCTGGCCCTGTGAACCCCACAACGGCCTGACTGTCGCGACCAGAATACCCCACACTATGACTATCGTGCCGGCCAGAATTAAATTTTTGAGCGGCTGTCGACTCACATTGCTCCCGGTTCCCGGTCGGTCTCGGTCTGAAGTTAGGTAGTCGCTACACTGCATTGATTCATCCATTGTTCATCTACAAGTTACAACACCGACACTCCTTCTTCGTAAGTCTTCTCTCTCTCCCCTTTCTTTTCTTCCCCGTTCTTCGCCAAATCCATCATCCATCATCGACCCTTTTCAGGTGTATTCCTAGTATTACAGGAATCACCATCAATCCTCCCTAATACCTATTTGCTGCTGCGTCCTCAGCCGACGACACTTCCTCTAACAAAAGCCACTGTTACATAGCTTGTGGTTCCCCCCCGCCGCCCGCGTGTAGCAGCACTATCAACCTCCCGCCCTCCCAACATATTCATATCCTCCCAAGGCCGCGATGCTCCGATCACGTCAGGCCGCTCGCGCCTTGAAGGCGTTGACTGAGGCGCAACAGATCTCCCAGCGTACCACCCTCTCTGCCTCCCAGAGGGCCGCTGTCCTTCTCTCAAATCGCTCCGTGCAAACGAGGCATCAGTCCACCGCCGCTGCGTATGTGCCATCTCCAAAAACACCCCTTGCCCCGGTCGCCGACCCCTATATCGGTGACTCACCACCACCCTGAATAATACAACAATGCTAACATACACAACCACCACAGCGAGGCCGCCAGACCTACTCCCAGCCAAAATTTCCAACCTGAGCCTACACCCAGCAATGTCCAGCCTCTTTCCGGTCGCAAGACCGATATGGACGAGTCGTACGTTTGATACCCCATTGCAGCTAATGCGCCTGCAATTTGGCCGGGCTAACGAATGTCTGTTTATGTGCAGTTTCATCGGCAAGACCGGTGGTGAGATCTTCCACGAGATGATGCTCAGACACAACGTTAAGCACATCTTCGGCTATCCTGGCGGTGCCATTCTCCCCGTCTTCGATGCCATCTACAACTCCCCTCACTTCGATTTCATCTCCCGCCATGAACAAGGTGCTGGTCACATGGCTGAGGGTTACGCCCGTGCTTCTGGCAAGCCCGGTGTCGTCCTCGTCACCTCCGGTCCCGGTGCCACCAACGTCGTCACCCCCATGGCCGATGCCCTCGCCGACGGCACTCCTATGGTCGTCTTCTCTGGCCAGGTCCCCACTACCGCCATTGGCAGCGATGCTTTCCAGGAGGCCGACGTCATTGGTATTTCGAGGTCTTGCACCAAGTGGAACGTCATGGTGAAGAGCGTCGCCGAGCTTCCCCGTCGCATTAACGAGGCCTTCGAGATCGCTACTAGCGGCAGACCTGGCCCCGTCCTCGTCGATCTTCCCAAGGATATCACCGCTGGTATCCTTCGCCGCGCCATCCCTACCGATACCGCCATCCCCACCATCCCCAGTGCCGCCTCCCGTGCCGCCATTGAGCTGAGCCGCAAGCAGCTCGACGCCTCGATCCACCGTGTTGCCAGGCTCATCAACATCGCCAAGAAGCCCGTCATCTATGCCGGCCATGGTGTTGTCCAGTCCAAGGGCGGCCCTGAGCTCCTCCGCGCTCTCTCCGAGAAGGCTTCTATCCCCGTCACCACCACTCTCCACGGTCTCGGTGCTTTCGATGAGCTTGACGAGAAGTCCCTTCACATGCTCGGTATGCACGGTGCCGCTTACGCCAACAAGGCCGTCCAGGAGTCCGATCTGATCATCTGCCTTGGTGGCCGTTTCGACGATCGTGTCACCCTTAACCTCAACAAGTTCGCTCCTGCCGCCAAGGCTGCCGCCAACGAGGGCCGTGGTGGTATCGTCCACTTCGAGATTCTCCCCAAGAACATCAACAAGGTCGTCCAGGCTACCGAGGCTGTCGAGGGTGATGTTGCCACCAACATCGAGCTCCTCATTCCCCAGGTTGAGGCCAAGACCATGGCCGATCGCAAGGAGTGGTTCGACCAGATCAACGCGTGGAAGACCAAGTGGCCCCTTTCCGACTACCAGCGCGCCGAGCGCACCGGTCTGATCAAGCCCCAGACCCTCATCGAGGAGCTCAGCAAGCTCACCGAGGGCCGCAAGGATACCACCTACATCGCCACCGGTGTCGGCCAGCATCAGATGTGGACCGCTCAGCACTTCCGCTGGCGCCATCCCCGTACCATGATCACCTCCGGTGGTCTTGGTACCATGGGCTTCGGTCTCCCCGCCGCCATCGGCGCCAAGGTCGCCAAGCCTGATGCTCTCGTTATCGACATTGACGGTGATGCTTCCTTCGGCATGACCCTCACCGAGCTGTCCACCGCTGCCCAGTTCAACATTGGCGTCAAGGTCATTGTCCTTAACAACGAGGAGCAGGGTATGGTTACCCAGTGGCAGAACCTCTTCTACGACGACCGCTACTCGCACACCCACCAGAAGAACCCTGACTTCGTCAAGCTCGGCGATGCCATGGGCGTCCAGGCCAAGCGCATCAGCAAGCCCGATGAGGTCGTCGAAGGTCTCAAGTGGCTCATCAACTCGGAAGGCCCCGCCCTTCTTGAGGTTGTCACCGACAAGAAGGTTCCCGTCCTCCCCATGGTCCCTGCCGGCTGCGGTCTTGACGAGTTCATTACCTTCGACCAGGAGGTCGACCGCAAGCGTCGTGAGCAGATGGTCCAGCGTACCGGTGGCAAGCACGGTCTCTAAACGTATTATCGTTCACCGTGTGGATCAAATCCAAAACCCTGAAATAATCGGAGGATGGAAGCTGGCCCGACCTGGCTGGATGGTGAGGGAAGATAAATGGATAACTGGGGGGTGTCAAAATGGGAATTCCTTTCGGCGTTTGACAAAGCTGATGTCTTTTTTTCACACAACTGCATTACCGGAAAAAGAAAAAGGGTCCGTGTTGGTGGTAATCCGACACGAAAGTTTGGCGAGGGATCTATTTCCAATATTTTGATTGTTGGGGCGAAGTGAACACAACCTATTTGCCTTTGTGTTTTCATGGCTGCTACGCACGCACTCTTGCCTTCGGGAGGCAAAAAGGGGGGTTTTTCTTATCACACAAGGAGGAGGCTGTGTGTGTGCGTGTGTGTGGGTGCAACAAGCATCAAGATTGTTCCGTGAAGTTGCAACTGCTTTGCGGGCCTGTATATATCATTATTTTCCTTGAATGAATGGATACCACGATTTTTCTTGCAGTCACAAACAGTCCCACTCCCACCATAGCAAGGAGTGATACCGAGTGATGCCAGTGATGCCAGTGATATAACAAGATATCGAAGATGCCAGTGATATAACAAGATATCGAAGTACATAGATTAGAATAGCGCCTATAACTGTATCAACATCGTATCAAGCCAGGCATCACCAAATCACCTCTCTCAACGGGGGCTTCTCACTTGAAGTACGAAGAGTATTTTCGATTTACTGGCTTTGCAACCATTCACAAGTTCAGAATAGCGGGCCCTCACGTAGTTTAGTTTCTACGAGAAAAAAGACGAACTATGCGTCTCAACTCTCAACGCCAACAACGCCAATAAGCACAAAGACGGGTATCTCCATTTGAAAGCGTAGACTGCAACGATGTAGAGAACAGAACCAGCATACCCATCACCATAACACAATCATGCCAGACCAGACCCCTTGCCCCCAAAGAAAGGTTATGGTCTACCAAGTATATCCCGTGTCATTTCACATTCATGATTCGATTCGTTTCCCTTTATAAAGCACCTAGACAGAGCAGACCAGAGAAGACCAGAGGAGACCAGATCATCATCAAAACAAAACAAAAAGAAAAGAAAAGAAAACGCCTCAAGATGACATGACGTGAAGAAATCCTTCCCATCATCATTCCGTTCATAAAACCCCAAAAACAGGAAAAGAGAACCTGGAACAAAAAGAGAAAGTACAGCAGCAGCAAAGCAAATATGTAAAAGAGACCCCCATTATTCTTCTTTCTTCCTTTCCTTTCTCATGCGATCATGCGATCCTCGCCCGGACTTTAACCAAGTGGGTATAATATGGGTATGGGTACAGGGTATGGGTATGGGTATTATCGTGAATACACCATTAATTTGCTTGGTTTTTTGCGAGTATGTATAGAGAGGGTGGGTGACAGGTGGGTGACAGGTATGTGGCTGGCGTGGTTGGTGACAGGTATGTGGTAACTGGTGGGACAGACGACGAGAAATGATGAGTGGTGACGAGTAGTGACGTCTAGGACAACCGGAGAAATCGCGAGACAATGAGTGAGTGGCGTTGATGTTGTCTGTGGTGTTGGATAGGCGGGCGGCATGCGAGGGCGATGATTGAGTGATGTTGATCGGTCTGAGTCCTCTGTTGCAAGCACATGTAGCCAGCTGTATCAGGGACCGTTTACTGTGCGAGTGGCGGTTTTCAGGTCGAACTCAAAGAATCCACTGTCGTTGTCGCTTCTGCCGTTTCGGTTTCTATCGCCGTCGGTAACATCCTCACTACAATCTGCGAGGATTTTCAGGTGCCAGGTGGTCGTCGCACATTCGCGATTTCGGACTACTTTACTCGGAGTCGTCCTCGCCGCCGCGGCGATTAGCGTCGCGGCCGCCGTGGCCGGCCTGACTACCCTGGGTGAGGGCGCGACGGTGGGCGCCGCGTGCGAGGGGCTCCCAGGTCTCGGGATCAAAGCCGTAAATGGGCTTGCCGATACGGCGGAGCGCGAAGATGACCTTTTTTGTTCGTGTTAGCTTGCTGATGCCTCTGGTTATACCTGCCATGTCCAGTGTTCGTGGGGGTACGGTGTTACTTACGTCGGTGACGGTGACCGTCTTTGCGTGCCTGTGCTCGGTATATGTGATACAGTCACGCAGGATCTGTGATAGGTGTGGGTTAGTGGTGAACTTTGGTAGGTGGGAGGGTAGAGAGGGAGACGCTGGAAGACATACCATCTGAAGCCGTTCCTTCAGCGCGGCCCTAATGTCATCGTAGATGCCAGCGGAGATACGCTTGACACCGCCACGACGGGCCAGACGTCTGTAATTAGTTAGTTATGTATTCGGACCTTTAAAGGTGTTTTGACTGGTGCGTGAGTGAAGAAAGACGGCATCACCGCCGTGTTTGAAAGGGAAATGGGCTTGTGGGTGTAAAGGTGTCGGAGTGTCATGACAAGTTGTGTCATAAGAATGTGGAATGAAGTTGATAAAATCCGATCCGATATGGAACCAGCGGGGTAAGATCAAGAGCAGCGTGATGCAGGTACAAAAGACTCGGTGTGGCCCATAATAGGGAACGAAGTGAGGATAAAAGGCAACATGGGATACTTATGCCAAAAGTGCAGGGTAGGTAGTCCCACGACAGCAAACGGCTCACCAAGTTCCATGGCATTTCGACAAGCCCAATAGAACTTGCCTGTCATGGAAATCTGATAAAAAGATGAAGATATGCAAAGATCGCAAAGGAAATTCATCTGACAAAAAATGCAGCAAGCAAAAGAGACAGTAGCTTCGCATATTACATACCGGATAGCAGGCTTGGCTGAAGCAGAGAACATGACGCATCAGTAAAACCGTCGTTTTCTCGATCGAGGATCACGACCCGAAGGGACCACTCGTCGAAGAAGCGCGCTCGACTTTTTTACCCCTATCCTCCAAAGGTAGATGAGAATGACAGCGTATGAGCAATGGATGTGGCGTCGGCGTCATGTCTGGCGGCTGGAGTGCCCCACGTTTGGACACACACACACACAACGCCGTTTGGTGTTGGATGTGCTTATTCGTGCGTGAATGGTTGTATGTATGTAGCTTGTGTAAACTCACTGATGCCTCTGATAGTATCTTTGATGACCTTTCTGTGTACCAAAATGATCTTTTGTTAGTGACTGTATTGTTGTCATCTCGAGTATATTTTTGAGGCTGGTGAGGATGTATCGTGTGGTTCGTCGTCCAGGGTAGCTTCTTCGGGCATGTCAAGATGCTGGTGTTCGGCGCACGCCCGCGTTCAACTGAAGTCGACATACCTGTGGCGCTTAACGCCCACGCCGCCTTTGCCTTTTCCGCCTGGGTTGCCGCTCAAGACAGACTTGCCGCCTACAGACTGACGGTGTTTCAGTCCCGAAGGACCGCCGCGTGATGGTATGGTTGGAGGCATATCGATTGTTGAGGTTAAGCCACTGCGCCTCGTCGAAAGTAAACAATAGAGAAGTGAAAGTGTGAATGGAAGGTGAGCTCCTGCAGGGCCAGATGCGACCTGAGACGGAGGCGTGCCATCAAGTGGAAGTTGGTGTGGGGGAAGACGCTGAGGTGGGGCGAAAAGTTATTTGAAAGTTCGAGGTTGGTCGGTTGCTAGGTAGAGGGGTGTACATAAGGAGACATAGGGTGAGGCTAAACTGTCGCTCATATTCAAATAGAGGTATGTGCACGAACGCAAGCGGTGCACTAACAAACAAGAAAGGCAAGATGCTAAAAGTCAGACTGCCATTTCACACAGTCACTATTGAAAAGATGGCAGACACAGGAAAACAATCCAAGTTTATTAAATTAGCTGGCCCTTCAAGGAGCCTTGTTATGTTATATGAGATCCACTATGCAAAGCGGGCTCCTTTTCCAGACCGAGACAGAGCAGATTATCGAGTCCTTTGTAAAACAGTATGCAGGAGACAAACAGTCCAACGAGTGACCAAGCACCTCTATTGGCATCTCTCAACAACTCCAAACCATCAAACCAGCCTTCGTAGAATATGGCGTGATACCCAGAAAAACCGTCATTACTTCCTCATCAGCATTTCAGATTTATGCGGAAATGAAGGTGGCTTCGGCAAACAGGTAGCCCTCCTCTGAAATTTCCTCCTCCCCAATCTTGAGCTTGAGGGTGAGCTTCTTCTTTTGTGGCGCATACTATATTATATCCGTGTCAGTCTGAAAGTCCAAAAAATAACCGATGAGCGAACAACACATACCTGGTAGATGTACGGCTTTGTGCCAACAGCACCCGCGACGATCTGCTTGACGAATCCTGGCACCTCAGCCATGACATCTATCCTGTCGAGATTATCCTCGAGCTCGCCCTCTAGAACAGCATCGGCCTTCTTGCCATCCTTCGGTAGTACCCTTCCACTCATACTTGACAGCAGACGGCGCGGGCCAGTCGTTTTCCGTGTCGCCCTTGATCGCAACGTGCGTAACCGCACCCTCCGCGCCGGCAAAGATGATCTCATTGTCCTTGACGATACCGCCGACGTTCACAACCGTCGATCCGTAAGAAGGGGGAGTCGTGTACTGCATCAGGACAGCAGAGTAGTTGGGGCCTTGGAAGTCGCAAAAGTTCCACTTGGCCGCGGCGTGGTGAGGCTTCATGCCCTGGAGAGCGTGGACGAACATGGCGCGTCCCTTGCAGTCGACGGGACCATCAGGAGTGGCGATCGTGCCCTCGGCGACACACCTGGGCCAGAAAATGTGGCGCATGGAACCCCAAGGGTTGGCAGGGTCGGTGCCGAAAAGTGTTGTGCCAGAGGTGCCAACCTTGAAGCCCGGCGCTGTCCTCTTGACGGTCACGTTGACGATCGATCTTTCATCGTTCAACGACTTGATTGTATACGAGTTTCCATCTGCCGAAAGCTCGACGGCGCAATCGGTGGCGTAGAAGCTGGTCTTGTCCTCGCTGAACTCGGGGTTGTTGAGGGGCGTAGAGCACCAGAGGTGGGGCTTGGATCCATCCAGGGTGAAGACCTTGGAGTTGAACTGGCAAGTCGTGCGGATGCCACTGTTGCGTCATCAAGTCAGTACGAGACCCCAGGTTTCCGAGAGCGCCGCATCGACGGCGGATGGTGGCATGGGGAAAGCTTACGCAACGTTAGAGTAGATAACTTGGGCAAAAGCGAGCTTGCCACTGTCCGTCATGAAGTAGAAGCACTGTGTCTCGACGCAAGTAGACTCCATGGCGGCCCATTTCAGGTCATCTCTGGTGGCTACGGTATAGGGAGTGGTCTTGGCCTCCTCGGCGACAGACTTGATGGCCTCGGGGCCATAGATAGGCTCCTTGGTACCGGCAACATTGGCCAGCCTAGAAACAAGTTGTTAGAGAATTGCGTCCAGCGGATGGTTCATGAATGGGTTTGGGGAGCTTGGGGAATACTCACGCCGCTTGCGCCCACTTGAACATGGTGAAAGAGTTTGGGGGTATAGGCGAAAATGGAAAGTTGAGTATAGATTAGAGAAACAAGAAGCTAAGACAACGAGGCAAAAAATGAGTCTAGTTGTGAGAATTTTCCAGGCAGTTTGATGTTCAGGACTAAAGTCATTCACCGCCGTCGAGAAAGATGGATCAGAGATGGCGCCGCGCTCAAATAAAGGCCAATGGAAAACAGAAGGGGCAACCCAGTCTGTCCCAAATCTCCCACGAGTACGTACCTGTGGGCTCTCCCCGTTGGTCGTGCTGGCCCTCAGTGGCAGTCGAGCGGCAAAGACAGTCACTGGCTCTTGAAGGTGCACGTCACTGTTCCGCCCATCTCTCTACATCACCTGAGGACTGGACGATTGGACTCCTCAGGGTTTCCTAGGTTCTTACAGCGGGTCTGCAATCACTTGCCTGGATGATGATTCAGGTTCCACAGGCGGCAGAGTTCCCTTGCAGACATGCAGCCGCTGGAACGCACCTTGCGGCAGGGCAGGCGGCAGGCAATGATCGGCCCAAGTGGGAGAAGGACAGAGATTGAGCCATAGAATGACGGCACTGATAAGCGGCGATAAAGGGCCAATGTAGCATTCCAAGTGCTGTGTGGCTGACGCTTTTGGGAAAAAAGTGGCTGACGCGACCCTGTCCGCGACGGTTGCCGGCCCGGCGCCCGATTTTTTTGGGCCCAGCTTGAAGGTGCCGCCCGCCGCCGTCGCCGCCGCCGTTGCTGCCGCTGTCGCGAACGAGAGTACCCGACCGACCTCGAAAGTGTAACACGCGACTGCAGACGCGCCGTATCGCCCTTCCGTTCACCACACAACTCAACTTTCCCCGAGGGTCCCTGCAGTCAAGTCGCCAAAATGTCTAAGGCCGCAAAAGGTGGTGCTGGTGGTGTTGAGCAGGTGGTGAGGCTCATTGTCGGTGCCGGCCAGGCCAGCCCGAGTCCCCCGGTCGGTCCGGCCCTTGGTTCCAAGGGTATCAAGTCCATGGACTTTTGCAAGGTCGGTTCACATGCGCCCACCCGTATAACATCCATCCAAACTGCAAGCTGACATGCACTCAACCTGTACAGGAGTTCAACGCCAGAACCGCCCACATTATCACCGGTACCCCGATGCCCGTCCGTGTTACCGTCAGGCCCGACCGCACCTTCCACTTCGATGTCCGCACCCCTCACACATCATGGCTTTTGCTCAACGCCGCCGAAGCCCCGATAGGCAAGGGCGGCAAGAGAAAGGGCGCGCAGAACCCGGGCAAGGAGGTCGTCGGCACCGTCAGCCTTAAGCACGTCTACGAGATCGCCAAGATCAAGCAGTCCGAGCTCCGTCTCTCCGGCTTGCCCCTCGAGGGTCTCTGCAGGGCGGTCATCTACCAGGCCAAGTCGATCGGAGTCAACGTCATTCCTTGAAAGAAAGGTGTACGCTAAAAGAGAGAGGTGTGATGATGGCCTCATAATACGAGGCTTGGGAGCACGAAGGCGTTACGGTTGTTTCTTTCAGGTGGATAGACCACGGCATTGTTACCAATATTGGAGGGGGACTATAGCCACTTTGCTTGTGGCTCTGTATATCTTTTCTTGTATCATTATTGTATGTCAAAGTCTTAAAATGCACACCGGCGCCAGGGGCTGTTGGTTCATCCACTGAATATGTTCATTTGGGAAGGTTTTGCGACAGGACGATGATGGACAAGCACGGCATATCGGAACATTTGCTGGCTCAAGCTTGCTTTGGCTCACCGTACCCCAGCTTCGTCAGCCTTGGTGCGCATATAGCTTGTGGCTGTGAAACAACCGCATAGGCGTGCGAGGTTCTTCCAGTGAAGCTTCAGAAGGTAGGATAAAGTTGTTAAGGTTAGTGGTAAGTTAGGCAGAATACCCCACGGGTATAGTGCTCACCTGTAAGTAAGATGTGGTTGCGATACTTCTGGCCAATCTGACTGGGAGATGGTGATATATCACACATGAAAAGGGGCTATGTAAACAAAACCCCCTCCCCCAAAGTGTTTATCACCATGCGAAGCCCCGCTATCATGTCGGCTTGGTGTTCATCCCACACTGTCAATAGTGTACTAATGAGATGAAAGGATAATCACTTAATATCCTACACGTGTGCGACAATTGCAATCGCATTCGATGGCTTGCAGAAACATTCGGGCAATTACCTCCCGCAGCATGGCGGGGTATCGACATGGGTTACACCGAACCGAACGATAAGGACCTGGGACCCGGCGGGAAAAAGGTTGGGTAACATCAGGACAGTCACTGGAGACAAAGCTGACCACCCAGACTTGTCAGATATCTTTGCGGTGGGCTGTTGTTGTTGCTTATCCGTCTTGGTCTTTCGGACACGGCGGCTCTCTAAGCCCGCTCCGTCGGTGATCCGGGCTCAGGTACGTGACTCTCTGCTGTCCAGTTGAAACACAGGGCAACGAGGATGACAGCCAAGGGCCCAAGGCATCGTCGGCTGATGCGTTTCCTTGAGTCATTGGGTAGGCTTCAAAAGTTCCAGTTAGTGTTTGAGGAATAACATAGGGCGGTGTAAACAGAGATATGATGGAAAGGATGTCCTGGCAGGAACCGACCCCGCGTCAATGCCGGGCAATTGGTAACTGACGGTTGTAGATGGGGAGGCGGTGCCATCGCTGCTCGGCATCTTCCATTCATTGTTCCAAATCTGGGAAAGGAAGTCGGACAAGAAGGGAAGAGCGAATGCCCAGACATGATCAGGGACCCCACGTTGCCGACCGCTCCCGGTTCTGTGCCCTCCATTCAGTGTATGACAAAGACCGAGATCCCAGACTCCTTTTGCGGTTTGGGAACACTGGATGTCCAGACACGGCCAGCCCGCCGTCACGTTCAAATTGTCTGACTTTGAGACCGCTCGGCTTGTGAGGACTGAGGGCGGGAATCCGTGACATGCGGATCCATCTGAAATTCATTCATTCAAGGAATGCCGGCTTGGCCCGACCTCAAAGTGCCCGCACTCAGATTCCCTTCCACTTCATACTCAGGTCCTCCTCTCAGGTCACGGTTGCTCTCAGTGCCTGGCGAGCCTGGGAGGTCTGACTGATGCTGAGTGGTCCATCAAGGGTACCCGTGCCTCGCGCCGCCTGCAGCCAACGTCTCCTGTACCTGTCATGTAGCTCAGCCCCACCACGACGCAACAGAGCGGCATCTTTCACACTTCCACTTCTTCGCCGAACCCGCTTCTTCCTCCCGTCCCAAGTGGACAAAAAAGCCTAGGCACACAGCATCGACAAGGAATCGTCAAGACCGCAGTCAAGTCAGAAGTCACGGACTTACGGTGGAAAGTGGAAGCCCCATTATTCACCTCTTGCTAGTGACTAGTCTTGCTACAGGACCAGGGCTTTTAACAGTTTGGATCGCCGTCATCTGCTTGGCCCCGACTCTCTTCCGCCGCTGTCCCATTTGCTTTTCCCTTGCTTCCACTTTTGACAAGCTCCCGTCCATCCCGCCGCTGCGTCTGCTTGGTCTGGTCTTGTCTTGCATCTTCTGTCGTCCTGTCACCTGTCTGGCCCTTGCATCTTGCATCACACGGTCTTTTTTATTCCATTTTCTTGTCTCCGTCGTCTCCAGGGCGGGCTAGGTACCGGTCGCTATTCGATTTCCTGCCAGGATTTTACAAGTTTTATTAGTTTGCGGAGACGGGTGCAAATTCGAACCAAGAGATCAAAGCACCGCAAAAAAGAAAAGATGGCGACCGCTGAGCAAGAGTCAGAGCAGCGTCAACCGGACGAACAGTACCAAGGTAAGGAGAAGAAAAGAAAGAAAAAGAAGGAAGGAGGAAAAAACTACAAGATCAACGGCAATGCCTCATCTCCAATCCCTATTACGCCAATGCTCGGGAATCAGGACAAGCAAACATCGAATTGAAGCAATTCGCTAACTTTTTAGTCTCCTCCCACAGCTGTCGAGCCGCAATCGTCCCAAGTCACTACTTCCGATGAACCCCCCAAGACCGAGCCTGCTGTCCGCTTCAAGTCGACTGTCGAAGAAATCACCCCCGAGGGCACCACATCGACACCTACCATTGCACCAGATGTCACCCTCGGCGAACCGGGTGAGGTCACCCCCGAGCAGCTTCGTGATATCGCCGAGAGGTTGAAGGCCTGTCCGCTGCAGGAGCGGAGGATAGGCCTTTTCCAGTACGAGGCATTCTCGCTTCCCGCTTCAAGGGTAAGTTCATCCCAATTTCACGTGGGGGGCTAGTACGCATGTTGCTTCCTTCCTTTGTTCACCCGTCAAGTTTTGCTTTTGCGGTTGGTCCGTCGCTTCCGGGGACCTTGTGCAACCAAGCTCAGCTCGGTGGCTTTTGCTGGCTTTCGCCATGTCTCTTGTCTGATTGCACTCCATATATTAATCCATAACCACCATTCTTTGCGTCTGCGTCTTTACCCTTGGGCGAGGACTAATACTTTCTGTCTCCAGACACCTTCCCACGAAGATGAATCGAGAGCTCCCAGTCGCGAACATACACGGAGCTCGGCAGGTCGCAACTCACCGCTTCTTACTCCGCACATCAGGGGCCACGAAATGCATACACCTCCTCTCACGCCGGCTGGTACCGACAGCGTCGACCGAGAACTTCGCCGCGAAGGCGCCGTGACGCAGGAAAGGCGGAGTCATAACCTCATTACTCCTCAGGATTCTTCCCACGAACCGACATCACCTACCTCTCTCCGCCATGTTCAGCTGCCTACACCCGACGAGCAGCTGCAAAGCTCTTCCAGGCCGACTTCGATAGATGCCCGAGAACGTCCTCAGATCACTATCGGTGAACATCGCAGAGGGTTATTTTCCGTTGGATCCGGTAGCAGTTCTCCCAGTAGATCTCAGCCTGCGTCCCGTGAATCCAGCCCTTCCCGAGCGGTAGCCGCGTCACAGTTCTACACACGCCAACTACCTCCTCCCGGCGATGTCAACGATCCGTACTCAGCAAGCAAACGACCTGCGCAGAAAGGCATCGAGCCTCGCTTTATCTTCTCCAGGAAAAAGAACTCTTCCTCCTTGAGCCTGGTATCCAAGGGCGACAAACGCTCAAAGAAGGATCGCCATGACAACGACGACGAGGCTTCGATTCACAGCAGAAACAGCTCAATGGCGGATCTGAAGAGGTTCTTCAAGCTGGGGACTCACAAGAACAAGCCGAGACCGGCGTCTCCTGCTGCTTCTGTAATGTCTACGCCCAAGACACCGGGAGTCAAGTCTGCCCAGATTCCGTTCGGCGACGATCACGGTCTCTCTTCCAAATACGGAAAGCTTGGCAAGGTGTTGGGTGCGGGCGCGGGAGGATCCGTGAGGCTCATGAAGCGCAGCGAAGACGGTGTCGTCTTTGCTGTCAAGGAGTTCCGTCCTCGCCACTCGTACGAAACCGAGCGCGAATATGTCAAGAAGCTTACGGCCGAGTATTGTATGGGATCTTCTTTGCACCACGGCAACATCATCGAAACCCTGGACATTGTCCAGGAGAAGGGCAAGTGGTACGAGGTGATGGAGTACGCCCCATACGACCTGTTCGCTATCGTCATGACAGGGAAGATGTCTCGAGAGGAGGTCAGCTGTTGCTTCCTTCAGATCTTGAGCGGTGTCACATACCTTCACAGCATGGGTCTCGCGCATCGGGATCTGAAGCTCGACAACGTGGTGGTTAGCGAGCATGGCATTATGAAGATTATCGATTTTGGTAGTGCTCATGTTTTCCGGTATCCATTTGAGACTAACATTGTCCATGCCTCAGGTGAGCAAAAGTCTTGGCGTAGTTGGTTGAAGAGTTACTGACCGATTACTAGGCATTGTTGGATCCGACCCATATCTTGCCCCCGAGGTGTATGACGAGAAGAAATACGACCCCGAGGCCGTCGATATTTGGTCTTTGGCCATCATTTACTGCTGCATGACACTCCGACGTTCCCTGGAAGGTCCCTCGATTGACCGACAACTCGTTCAAGCTGTTCGCTGCAGAGCCTTCGTTCGGACACGACCCCAAGAAGCTGTTGCTCCCGCCTTCAGCCTCAACGTCAGCACTTAGCGATATTCCGTATAGAGACTATGACCCTCAGAGCATCAGGGGAAGCAGCGACAAGATCGACAAGGTCCAAGACGACAAGAAGACGACTCCCGATCACAAGCCGACGGCGTCTACAACCAGTGTACAAGGAGAAGCTGGCAGCACCGGAGAGAAGAAGGAGGTTATCCGCGGTCCGTGGAGAATCCTCAGGCTTCTCCCGAGGGAAAGCAGACACGTCATCGGCAGAATGCTTGATCTTGATCCCAAGACTCGAGCTAAGATGTCGGAGATTCTTGATGATCCCTGGGTAGCGAACACAGTCATCTGCCGGCAGATTGGCCCCGGCAACGTGGCACACGCGGATGACCACACACATATTCTCGAACCCCCAGCAGCACCTGCAGGCACCAAAGATGAGAAGGCTAAACGCTAGAAGTGGAGCCTTCGCCAGAAAACATATCAAATACAGGACGGCTTCTTAGGGGTGCAGGATGCCACCAACACATGGGGAAGGAAGAGAAATGGTATCTGAAGGGGACTTGTGGAGGGTACTTTTGAGCTTATTATCGCAAAGACCGGACATACGTTATTAGTGTAGTATATGGGCATTGTTACCACTTTCCCCTCAGTTGGTGTCTGTCACCTCGTGGGGCAGCGCTTTTTCGTCATATTTTTCGGCGTTTTTGGGATTTGGGAAGATAAGCGCTTGGATTGGGTTTGGTTGTCCACGCAAAGATTCAGTATAAGGGGGGCCGGGTTCCAGGCATTACAGCGGTCATCTTTTCTTCTGCTCCTCTCCGGTAAGGATAGAAGGTGGTATGGCTATGCCAGACATGATATTTGGGGGACGGGCATTGAACAATGTTGAGTGCATCAAGGTCGCTCGCTTTGTATTTAGAGAGTGCAATTAATAATCAAAAACTTAGCCGGACAGTTGGTTGAACATGAGACATGTGATAGCGGTGATGATGATGATGCCCTTTCATAACGAAAGCGAGTTGAGACGAAAGCTGGGAGTCCAGGTTGCCCCTTATATAAGTAGAGGAGACCTTCATGCGTGTCGACGTGTGTTTTGTCATGGTGACCGGAGCAACGGACGGAGCCGCTTCGCAGGACGATCCACCGTTCCCCGGCCAAGCCGGGCGTGTTACCCCAGCTTCGTGCAGCCAATGAGAAGCAGGCAGGCAGCCCGTTTAGGCGGGATTGCCGGTGACGTACCGAAGTCGGTAGGGATAAACAGCAAGTCCGGGCCCATTAAAAAATGGAGCGGCATCTTCTAGATGCGTATCGAAGCTCGTACAAGGGTCATCAAAAGTCGCGATCCCGCCGGCCTAAATACCGAAGCTCTCTCCCTCTCCAGTCTGCTCCTCAGTTCCGTCGTACTCATCCATCCTCACGCCCAATCTCGCCAGTCGTATTCCCCGTCGTCCTTCACCGTTCAAATCCGTCAAAATGGTGAGCACATACTTCCCGCCCGAGAACATCACCCAATCGCACTCCGCCGCCGGGGACAAGGAAGCGCCAGATAGAGAGAGCTACATAACACTGCGGCAGCATTGCATAGCTATCGGGAAGCTTAGCAATTGCGCTGTATGACCGGTGGCTGGCACATGGCACAACCTAACACCCGGCGGCAAGCACCACGACAAGTGCAATTGGCACCAAACATGCAAGACGACATGATAAAACCAAAACATGGACTAACATGTTATTGTTCTCATTGCCATAGGCCACCACCGTCCGCTCCATCAAGGCTCTCGTCCCCCTTCTTGACCGCGTCCTCGTCCAGCGCGTCAAGGCCGAGGCCAAGACTGCCTCCGGCATCTTCCTTCCCGAGTCCTCCGTTAAGGACCTCAACGAGGCCAAGGTCCTCGCTGTTGGCCCCGGTGCCTTCGACAAGGACGGCAAGCGCCTCCCCATGGGCGTCAACGCTGGCGACCGCGTCCTCATCCCCCAGGTACGTCAGAGTGCCACCACTACATATACAATGCCGATGCAGAGCAGATGGGCGGTTACAGATTAAAGTTATTTGTCTGTAACACCCAGAAGAACTGCACCCATGCACAGGCTTTTATATGAAAGGAGGAGGAAGATGGGACGGAAGGATGCTAATGCGCTCTTTAACAGTACGGCGGTTCCCCCGTCAAGGTCGGCGAGGAGGAGTACACTCTCTTCCGCGACAGCGAGTAAGTTACACCACACACACACATACATCCACAGATCGTTGTCTCTGATCGGAGACGGGGGAGGGAAACTTTCCCCGGCCGGTTTATGCAAATATACAGACATACAGACAAAAGACGGTTACTGACATATGCGTTCTCTTCAACAGGATCCTTGCCAAGATCAACGAGTAAATTCGTTGACTCAGCATAAAACACAAAAAGCAAAATATAAACGATACCCTCTTTCATGATTCTTATGACAATATCAAAAGTGTACCAACATGTAATGTACCAATAGAAAACTCAACATTTCACAACAGCTAAGCGGACAGGTTGGCATAGTTGACACGAAAACGTGGGCATGAGGAGGTGCTTTCGGCAATCACTGCATGATAACGGTTTGGTTATAGGAAATAGCATCTCTACTCAGTACTTTTGTGACAGTTCAACCTGAATCATGACAGAATGTCGGCTTGTCAGTTTCCGTCCATCGACTCTTCATATCTCCACTCGTCCGAACCGCCGATTCAGAATACGATAATCTCGCCCGATCTCCGGTCTCCGATCAAACAAACATGTTTCCCTCACTTCTCCGGTCTCAGTCCTTGGTCTCGGTCCTCGGTCCCGGCCTTATGATTCTTGGCACCTACTTCCGGTACAGTTTGGTCCAGATCTCAAGTGCTAGACAAGACGAGACGAGATGTTGTTGATACACACTACTGCTCTACACGAGCTGTCGTGATAATCAACAAATATCAACGAGCAAGAGCTCTCCACCTTGTCACGCACGCCTGTCCTTGTGCCTCGATCAGACTTGTGGCTGAGGACAACAGGCAAGCAGACAGGACAAGCACACAAAGACAGCGTGTAGCACGTTACAGCAAGCGGGTAGGGACAGGTGAACCCTGTGCCGGAGGTAAGCGTGATCTGGTTCAAGATCTCGACAACAACGGACGGACGGGAGGGAAGGTTGAAGAGTGAGCCAAGACCAAACCCAAACCAACAGCAACACCAACGTCAACCGACACCAACAGCATAATAACCACCAGCTGCAACCAATCAATCGGCAAACAGAGTCAGCCATTGACCCCGAGACTGGCGGTATGCAGCTCTCAGAACGAGGGTAAAACAGTATCAGAGAAGCACCTCGCCAACGTTGCCCTGCTCCTTTGGAAAATGTAAGCTGCAACATTTTTTCTAGTTCCCCCTCCCGCCCTCTTTATGATGAACCCCTGATAGGGACATCTTATGCCAATGTGGCAAAAGTGATGTGAATTTTGGGCTCGGTATTTTAGTAGATGCTTCGAGTTTCTGATCATAGGGTCGATTGTTATCAAAAAAGAACTGGATCCTTGTCGCTTTGAATATCGCTGACTCGACTCTCTTCGTCAGGTTGCAAGCGGAAGTTGCACTTTCTGTCGTTTTTTCTTCTCAAATTGTGCGCGTTGAAAGCAAGGCGAGACAGTCCAGAGACAGCAGACAAGAAACGAGAAAAGCGACTCATGATGACTGATAACGATTCAAGAAACCAGAACCTAACAAATCCGGGTCCGGCTCCCGTCCGATGATGTTTAACTCATCTGCGGCCTAGGTACCAGACTTTGTGTCGACATAGTACTCAGCAGTCAAAGTCCCAAATCCTTCATACATGCCCGACGTCCACCATACGCACCTATCCGCCATCTTCGGAATTTTTGAGACGAATGTTTGGTTTGGCTGAATTATCAAATCTGCAGTGTTGCTTACCCATGGACTGGAGCACCCTCACCCTGGTCAATCCTGAAACATTGAAACATCTTACCCTCCCCATGGCCCATGCCCTCCCAGGCTGCCCATGTGTGTGTTCTTATGACAATCTTATGCCGATCACTCAATTATCGCTCAAACACATGGTGGATATCCAATGTACCGACTGGCGGGCGGGTGTGCTCACCTTGGAACACCTCAATCGACGAAGATTGGCCTTTTCATCTCAAGCGAGTGTTTTCGTTTCCATCACTTCACTTCACTTCACCTCAACTCACCCAAGAACGAGAAAATCATTATGTTGGTGATGTTCATCGCACATCTTCGGAAACAAAACCCCTTGCGTTTGGGGTACGGGGCAGAGACTGTTGCCTCCTGTGAGGTGAGGTGTAGGCGTGAAAGAGCAAACCGCATAAATCGGTATATTGAACAATCCATACCTTGTAGTAGTAACCAGCACAACACAATGTCTTTCTTCATCTCTCCTTTCAAGTTTCGTGCGCGCGCAAGACGGTGCCCAACTGCACATCTGTTCTGTGTCCGAGCACATTGCGATTCGCATTTTCTTCATTTCATTACCTACTTCAAGCATTATCTTCATGTTGTGCTTCGCACCTGTCTCTTGTCTCTTGGCTCTGTCTCGCTGCCTGTTCGCGGCGTCGCATTGCAAATGTCGTGCACCCCGAAACTCGCTAGCCACACAGGAGAACTTGGCAGGCACAGTTCAGCCTTTATGCTTCTGTGCCTCTTTCGCGCCTGTTCATCCGATTTTCTTGTTTGATGATGATTTTATCATTTCCTTTCCTTGGTGATTGCTTGCTTATGCCCCCTTGGTTCACTCCCCACATCCGCTGGGAAGTTTGTTTTCGGAGTTCGCCACTCACTCTCAGAAAAAGAGACCAAGATAGATACTGTACCGAGAGACAGAGTGGGAAAGGGGCAGAGACCGAGAGGGAGGAGAAGCAAGACATAAAAAGGAAAACTCCCGAGAGGCTCATGCCTGTCAGAATCATATTGAATTGATCCCCACTCATCATTCCCCCTCATTCCCCATCAGCTGAATTGAATATGCAAGGCACCAGAAAAGAAAAGAAAGAGGATGTTTCGAAACACAGACAGCGTGGAGACCACGAAAGCGCCGAAGGGGTCCTTTAATATAAGCGCCACCTCCCCGCGGCTACCCAACAATTTGGGCATTTGTTTGGGGGCATTCCAGCGAACCAACGGGATGGGATGTCCGACTCCACGGATCTCCAGTTGGATGAAACACTGACGGGTTCTCTTGGCGGTACAAATTCCCCGGCGACGGCGGCGCGGCGGACGGCGCCATTCCCACAGGCGGCTGCCAGGGGGCGCTACAATGGAATGCAACTGAGATCGACAACCATCCATTAGGGTGTTGGATTTCGATTTTCCCCTTGACATTTTCCAGCTTCCATTCTTCCTTCTCCCCCTGGCGATCTTGGCTTCCATTTTCTTTCCACCTTCCGCGCTCACATCAGCTTCCATCTTTCAGATTCCCATCCCTCTTCGCTTCGCTTCCGATCTAGTGTAGGAAGGACTCGAATTTAGCTTCACATCGTACCACCTACACCACTGCTGCTGACTGTGCTGCTCGCTCGTTTCGTCGGGTGGCATCCCGTCGTTGCCAAGTTCCCCGATTTGACATGACATCTGTCACGGCACCATAAACAGGCCGCCAAGAGCAAAAGGTGACTGCAGCGGGACGGGGGACAGAAAGGAGAGAGGATGAGCAACATAATTGGACTTTGCTTCTATTCTCATGCTGTGTCGTGAGACTAGTCGTAAACAGGTCTCTATCCCCTCCTTTCGGACGCAATCACGAAGCAGTTTTAACCGACCGACCTACCTCACTACTGCAAGCGTAGAGTACCTCTAGACGCGGGGGAGTGAGTGGAGGGCAAGTGATAGGTCAGGCTATCTCTCTCTGTTGGGCTTCGATAGCAAGAGATGGATTCCATTCACAGTTCACCAACACTCCCTCGATCAGTTGGTCAACTGGACATATCACATCGTCACAACCGAAACGCCCATACCCATATTGTCCCTTCCATGCCTATCATATCACATTATTCCCCATATCCCACAGTGAGCACAAACACCAAGGGCCAGATACACTGCAGTGGCAGTCTGCCGACTTAATGACAGGACACGTTGAAACAGTCAGCTTCCCCCTGTTCCTTGCGTCATGGGTCCGGGTCTGACTGAGGTTTGCTTGCAAAGCTCCGGCGGCGCGTTTGTGTCTCCTTCCTCATATCCTCTTTTTGCCCGAGAAAAGCGGGCGTTTGCTTCTTCTGTTTCTCAGGGTCTTGGTCGCCTGGTTGGTCAAGGTCCCAAGGTTCATTCAAGGGTACCTTACCTTACCTTGTCGAGGACCAGGAGCTTGCCTTGCCATACCCTCACCAACGGAATTGAACCCTACCAGTTGACGAGGGGGGTCAGCCGCCGCCCGAGGACGCTAGACGGAGACAGGGAGACAGGTACGCAGGGGTAGGTTTTAGGGTAGGACTAGCCAGGTACAGTGCAGTGGAAGGTCGGGTAGCACTCGCTCGGTATTCTCACAACCCTGACCTACCTTCATTGCTTGCTTGTGGGTTTTCCCATTCTCTGGTATATATCCCTTTTGTGTTCCCTTCTTTCCTCTCTTGATCGTTTCCTGTTTACTTAACCCTTCCTTTAACCGCCAGACCTTGGTGTTGTTTTCCTCTTCCCTCTTCCTTCCTTTGGAGCCTTCTCAGCTTCTTTTTGCAGAAACAGACTAGAGGTCTGTGATCCGGTCTTTTCTCTCCTCACCTTCATTCAAACCCGGCTTCTTTGGATATTGCTTATCCATTCCTTCCTTCGACACACATATACGACAGAAAAGTCACCTTCAGAACTTTCGACTTCACTTTTCGTGGCTGGCCACTCATCGACACTTACACCAAAAAAATCCGCCATCATGCGTTCCTCCACTGTTCTCGCCGGTCTGGCGACTGTGCTTGCCCCGTTGGCTTCTGCCCACACTGTCCTCACTACCGTTTTCGTCAACGATATGAACCAAGGAGATGGTACCGGTATCCGTATGCCCATCGATGGCAGCACCAGCACCTTTCCCATTATCGACATGAACAGCAACGACATGATCTGTGGTAAGTTTGATCCTTTTCCCATTTCATCACAGCTTGGATCGAAGACACTCACACGTCAAACAGGCAGAGATGGCCTCAAGAAGGTCGGCTACACTATCCCCGCCACCGCCGGCTCAAAGATGAGCTTCGAGTTCCGCGCCTACGCCGACGGCAACAAGCCCGGCTTCATCGACGATTCGCACCAAGGTCCCGTAGCCGTCTATGCCAAGTCCGTCTCCGACTTTGACCAAAACCCTGGCGGCTCCGGCTGGTTCAAGATCTGGCACGAGGGCTACGACGAGTCGACCAAAAAGTGGGCGGTCCAGAAGATCATCGACACCAACGGCATCCTCAGCATCAGTGTCCCAGATGGCATGCCCACGGGCGCCTACCTGTTCCGCACCGAGGTGACCGCCATGCACAACGTCACCAGCAAAGGCGAGAGCTGGGTCGTCGAGCCCCAATTCTACGTCAACTGCGCCCAAGTCTATCTCCAGGGTTCCTCCTCCGGCCAGCTCTCCATCCCCAAGGACAAGGAAGTCTCCATCCCCGGCCACGTCCACCCCTCCGACAAGGGCCTCTGGTTCAACATGTACGAGATGCCGAGTCCGGTTAACTACGTGATCCCTGGCCCCAAGCCCTTCCGCCCTACCACTTCTGGCAATGCCAACGTTAAAGCAGCCCTCGCCATGCCGACCAACTACCCCGGCGCCGTGCCCAAAGAGTGCATCCTCAAGAACGGCAACTGGTGCGGCTTCGAAGTTCCTTCCTACACGAACGAGGACGGATGCTGGGCGGCCTCGGACAACTGCTGGAAGCAGAGCAACACGTGCTTCGACGTCGCTCCCCCCTCGGGCCAGAAGGGGTGCCACGTCTGGGAGAAGGAGAAGTGCCAGGTTATTCAGGACTCATGCTATGCGAAGCAGTTCACCGGCCCCCCGAACAAGGGCAAGGTGTGGGGAGATGTGACGGTTCAGACGAGCGTCAAGGTGCCGGGCGTGATGAAGGGCGCGGATTTGGTTGAGGATTCGGTTGGGTCTGGTACTGAGTCCGCTGCCCCTGTTGTTGACGACAAGGCTGGAAACAACAACGTCGTCAGACCAGTTGACAACAGCAACGTCAACATCCCCGCCGCTACCACTTTCATCACCGCCTCTGCTCCCTCTGTCCCTACCAAGTCTGTCACCACCGTCCCTGCTGCCGCTGCCACCACCGCCGCCGCTGGCGCTGGTAATGGTGAGTACGACAACGGCTCCGAGTCCGATGACGAGGACGTCGTCCAACTCCAGCCCTCCACCACCGTCTTTAACACCGCTACTATTCCACATCCCGCTGCTGCTACTGAGACTCACTCCATCAGGTGCGGCAGGGGTGGTAAGAAGCAGAAGAGGAGGATGCATATCAACAGACATAAGAGGGCGGATTTCTAAGTTGCCCTTTCCAGGGTGGTGGTATGAATGATTCGATGATATCTTATCGTCGATATGCTGGTTGGGAAAATTTGTTCGCTTCTTTACACTCCTTTTCATGGAAATATTTTGATCACTTCTTTTTTCCCATTTGCATCTGTTTTAGGGAATGGAAAACTTCACTTGGATTTTGGGTTACTGGATGAATGGACTGATTTGGAATACTTGACTCCCAAATGGCAATTGCATATTCAATGCTCTCTGGATGTTGGATAGATGGAACAGGAATACAAAGACGTCGCCCAAAGGAATAAGAACTGTTTACCAAGGCAGAATGGATCAACTGTGTCCACCCACTTTGGTGTTACCGTGTTGATACAGTGAAGAAAGAACGTTTGTCTCATCACTTGAACCCTACAGTTCCAGATGATGCATTTCAACCTACCCATACAATGTTAACGTGATAATACTATCGGGACCTATTTCCTCACCCATCTATCTTCTACACGAGAACTCCCCAATGCTTCATTCAAATGCACCTCTCCATCCATCCTCTAAACAACATTCCTTCCTTCCTTCCACAACTACAACAACTCATCCCTCCAAGGAATCGAATCCTGCGCGCCCACCCTCTCCACCGTCTTCGCCGCCGCCTTATTCGCCTTCCTAACCGCCGCCTCGATATCAAACTGCTCCCCTTTCTTAGCAGCCGTCACCACCTCCAAAGCATACATGCCCACAAACGTGTCGCCAGCAGCCGTGGTATCCACCACCTTGGCCTTTTCCGCTTGCACCAATCCCTTCTTCTTTTCTCCGTCGTTATCACCAGTCATGAAGAAAACGCCCCGACCACCAAGCGTAACAATCACCGTCTTAACCCCCTTGCCCAGGAAGACCTGTCCAACTTTTTCCAATCCCTCCTCGGTATCCAGCACGCTCTCCTCCAGGCCAGACAAGATGGAGGCTTCAGTCTCGTTAACAACCAAATGCGCCAGCCCCTGAAAGGCCTCATCAGGCAACGGCACCGCCGGCGCCGGGTTCAACAGAACCTGCACACCATTTTGCTTCGCAGTCTTCAGCGCCTGGAGGACCGTCGGCACGGGGATTTCCAACTGCATGATCAACAAATCCGGCTTTTCCTGGCCCTCGGCCGCCAGGTTGGACACGGAAGAAACATGCTCCGGCTGCAAGAAATGGTTCGCTTCGGGACTGAGAATGATTCTGTTTTGGCCAGTGGGCTCATCGACAACGATCATGGCCATTCCTGTCTTGGAGCCGGGAGTGTCGAGCACGCGAACGCCGGAGACGTCGACGCCGTGCTTGGAAAGGTTTTCGCGGAGGAGGGTGCCGTAGGAGTCGGTGCCTACGGTGCCTAGCATTGTTATGTGAGCCGTCTCGCTCTCTTCCGGCGAGGAGTGGGAGCGAGAGAGTTTCGCGCATGCAACGGCTTGGTTGGCGCCCTTGCCGCCGGGGGAGACGGCGACCGAGTTGGCGGTCATTGTCTCGCCTGGCAAAGGGTGGTGGGAGACGTAGGCTACTAGGTCGATGTTTAGGGAGCCTAGGACTGTGATTCTTGGGGTAGTGGTGGCCATTTTGTCGGTGTTTATTTTTGGTTTTCCGGTGAGGTGAGGTGATGTGAGTTGACGTGAGTTTGCCGTTGTTCAGTTGACGATTGATTACCGAATGGTTCGCGGCGGTGGTGATGTGGCGATGTGGTGGTGATGCCAAGCTTGGTGTTGAGGGGTAGCGTGCTGTGCTACTGTTTGCTATGCGGGGAAGCGTCAATTTTGAGGGCAAGCTTTCGGGGAGAAAACAAAGAGACTCACTGAAGCTTATACAACTTGGAGATCAAAGTTCACGGTGAAAATTCAAGGTTAGTGAGACGGAAAAAGATTTTGTAGAAGGAAGGAAGAAGAATCCGCGAAGCTATTGGGCCAAGGCTAAAAAGGTGACGTCTGAATTGGGAAGGTGGTCTGACGCTCACCGAGGCTGGGCAACGTTTAACCGGCGGTATCCGCCTAGAGCCCAACACAAACGACGGACAAAAAAAGTTGATGATCACCTGGTAACAAACAAATATCATCTTTTTGTGTAATAACTTTCAAATATGTTGTAGACGGAGGGTATTTGCTTGCAAACTTTGTTGATAACTTTGACAGGAGCCAAGCATGGATGCGTTTTCGAACCATCACAGCCAAGAAAGCACAAATTAGTGTCGTCTTTCTTCGTCTACCACCCACATGTTCTGAGATGCAAAGAAAAATTGGCTTCATTATCAGTCTATAACGAGGGTATCTTTCTCTCCTATCCAATTCTGTCTATATACTCGAACGCAATTTGTGTGGCCCATCCATGTCCCTGAACAAAATCTATGTGGTATCTCAAAAGAAGGAAGGATCCGAAAAGACCGGAATATGTTCTCGTAGCAAAACGAGGGGCATGAAAACAAGCATGCGAGAGGAAAAGGAAAACCCGAAAACCGCCCACATTCAACGCCTGCAGATATCCAAAAGAACTGCTGCCAACCCGTTAAACGATTGCAACTGCCTGCCCTTCCTTAGATAACCGCTGATGATCTGGTACCGGGCGTGCCGTATCTATTCATCATGATCCGTCAGACCAAGACCACAAGCTCATATGACCAAACCAGGATATTTTTGTCATACACCTCGCGAGATGCGGACAAAACATCCTTCCTTCCACAGTTGTTGTCTCCCACCTCCCCATCCTTACACATTCACCTCTTATACTCAGCAAGAACCCCTTCCAAACACCCCGCCGCCCTCCTCTCCCCCTTCCGAAACCCCCCACAGAACCACTCCGGCAACACCTCTCCACAATTAGCATTCGCATGTTCAGCGGCGAACCCGACCTCCGCCTCCTTCCCGCACTTCTCCCGCGTCAGTCTGACCGCTTCAATAAGCATATCCCTCCCGACTCCCCTGCCTCTATACCTCAACTTGGTCGTCCACGCTCTAATCACGCCTCTCCCGCCCTTCAAACTCTTTGCCGAGAAAGAATTATGTCTCGAGTGCGACTTACGCGCCTTATTCGACGACGAAGTCGAAGAATTAGGATTAGCGGACCGTGAACTGGCAGGTGGTTCCAGCCGCAGAACCAAAGCCCCGATTAGCTCGGTGCCGTAGTACGTCCCTAGGACAATATCCTCTTCTTGCTCTCCCCCTGTACCTGTACCTGTGCTTGTACTAGTCTCGGAGGATGGGTTAAGTAGCCAGTCCCACGACAAAGACTCGGCGAGTTTTATGTACCCCGAGGTGAAGTAGCGGATGGTCATTAGGTAGGTCATTACTACCCCTGACAGGAGCATGACGGTGGTGCCTAGGTCTGAGTCTTCTGCTGGTTTGCGGGCGATGCCGAATTGGTAGACTATGCCCAGGCTTGCGAAGAGAATGGCCAGACAGGCGGGGTGGGTGATAAGGTGGTAGGAGGCTTGTTGGCGCTGCTGGGCGATGGAGTCGGCGATGAGCTTCAGGGCGTCGGTTTTGGCGGGGCGGGTAGTGAGGATGTCGAGGGTGAGAGGGGGGATGTCGTCGAGGTTTTCCACGGCGGCACCGCTGCCGGTGGTTGTTGGTGGTGTTGATGTTGACATAATGGTGGATTTTACTCTGGATTTTGACTTGGTGGACGAAGTCGAGGATGAGGATGAAGATGGTGTGCGGGATAGCTTCTGCGGTAGTGGTGGTGGAACGTAGGTGGGCTCTAGGTAAGGGGTGGATGGGTTGGAGGAGAGCCCGGAGTGAGGTAGGACGAGGTTGGCGCGGAGGAAGGTGAAGAAAGCTGGTGCGTTATTGATGTTAGAATTGGTGTTGTAGGTAAAGTAGTATCTTGAGCTTGAAGAAAAGTTGAAGAGAGATTCAATGGTGGCAAAGGTTCCGAGTAAACAATCACCGGCGCGTGAGCTGAACAATTAAGGAGGAAGGTAAATATTTGGCCACGTGGAAATCTTCGAATAATTCAAGCACGGTTCATTCTCGACTGCATCGCATAATTGTTGAATTTGGATATCGGCGTGTTGAAATCGGGAAGTCAAGCACGTGTCTCTTCGACGGGGTGAGTCGCACTCTCGTGCTTGTCTTGGCCGATGAACGGACCGGGGTATCGGGCCCCGCCGACCCCGGAATTGTCCCCATGTTGAACGGACCTCAGACCGAGCCAAGAAATCCAGGCCCAAGCAAGAAAAAATTCGACCCCAAGGCAAGAACAAACCAGACAAAAGTCAACCCAAAAAGGGGGGATCGTAATTCGGCCTAATGGGAAATGTTCTCTCGTGATGCTTGTTTTGCTGAAAAACAGACAGAAAAGTGAAAATGTTCACTCACCAGCACTGGTCTTGAGTCCCGGCACGGCGTTGATAGTCCTGTCAACCATCCGAGGGTGGCATTTGCTCAAGTCGAGCTCTGTGATGCTGCTGGATGACATGTGGTGTGAGCCGTCCATGTTATTGGAGCGCTGTTGTCGAGGCGTGTTGATGGCGGTGTTGCTTCCAGTGCTGCTGCTGGGATGCGACTGCGGAGGCGGTAATCTGAGCGGAGGCCGGCAGTGAACCGAGCTAGAGGACGTGGTGTAGGTAGAGGTGTTGCGCCTGTAGCGTTGGTAATTCAGGGTTTATATTAGCAGCCGTCAGGGCCTTTCGTTGTGGGTGTCTTCATCAATGCCTTTCACCGTTCAACAAGTATGATGAAGCAAAATTTGAGCGACAAACATGGGAAGAGAGGACGAGATGAAAGAAAACAAAGTTTAGGCCCGAACCCAAAAACAAATATCAGCGAGGGGTGTAAAGTGCGTTGGGTTTTGTCTCAGGGATCCCTCAACCTTATTTCTCACCTAGACATTCTGGAGATGGTGTGGGTTTTGTGCGTGTGGATCCTTTGGGGAGAAACGTGAATGGAGTCTGGCTGTCCTGGGGGTCATGAATGGAGATTCCCCCGAGGGCTGGGCTGGTCTTTTTGTTTCAACTTCTGAAGCAGCTGTAGGCTGGATGACGACAGGAAGTGTATGTATATGTAGGTTATGTCGGCCTTCCCGCAATAGCCCGCAGCGACATGGTTGACATGTTCTACATGTACATGACATATATAGGCCGATCTCTTGACGGTAGACGGCCATCACCTCATGTATAAGTGACCTGTGACAAGATCTCCGCGAAGTAAGGGGGTGGGTGTACGTAGAACCTCTGAGCTTCTTCCCGTGACTGACAGGCTATCAGGCCTTCTTGAGAGGATGGCTGCATTGTCTGGAACGTGCAGAGCTTGTTTATTGTTGCATGTCGCCTCCTTTGTCCAGACAAAGATCCCAGAGCTTTGGTCAGTGGTTGGGAACCAACAAACGACGGAAGCGATCGATATCACCCGTCTCTACCTTTTTTCACGAAACTGCATCTGCATGGCTTCCATGCTCGATGGCGCGATAAGACGGAGAGACACAGGCCAATCGTTTGGATGTAAAAACAACCTCTATTCCTCTCTGCTGCAAGTCAGTGTGCCAACCGCGTGCTCCGGATTCCACAATGTCTGGCTCGTGTGCCGTCAAGTTTGCCGAAAGGGCGGCAAGACGGCAACACCAGGAAATCCAAAATAAACGAAGCCGAGTGCGCAACAACTAGTTGGTGTGACAATGTGGGGGGTTCAGTGTGACAGTTCCAAACTTGGATTGGTATGGATGGGCAGTGAGGTTTGGCAGGTGTTTTGCTAGCCTCCTTTTTTCATGTTTCGTCCATTCTCTGCTCGTCTCTTTGGGTGTTCTGAGTGGTCTGAGAGTCTGTTTCGAAACCCGAGCCGACAGAGAGCAGATCATGATGAAGGGCACGTCGGGGTTGACATCGACAGACGATCAGAAACAACGACGCTCGATCATTTCCTCCTAGGGTGAAGCGGAAGGACAGAGCAAGTTGCCAAAGTTGGCTCGGTAAAAGTAAGTTGACATATGAATGTGCTGAAGATGGTGGCTTTTGTCACAGGGATTCTCGCGCGATCTTGGAAAGAGGGGTTGCTCAGGTTTTGCGAGCCCGTGATCGTAATAAGAGATGCAGCTGATGATGGGTTTGCTGATAGCGTAGAAGCACGGCGTGGGTGAGGTGGTTATGGGTTTGTCGCCAAGTCCTTGTGTTCCGAGTAGTCGGGTCCCAAAGGTATATCTGCTTGTATCGATAGGGATGATGTCGACGATAGTTGAAGTGGTGTTGGTGGGTTGCATTTTCCGTGCTCTCTATCAAATTTTGAGACTGTGAGTCGGTCCTTGAATTTGATCATGTCAGCGACTGTTGGAGGAGTGAGTGCCCCTCCAAGTTGACTCCACCAACCCCTCATCGGGCTGTTGAACCCCACTATCAAGGCCAGAAGGCTCCCTCCCTGTCACGACCTGTCTCCCGTCCCTGGGGCACTCAATCTCAAACACGGCGTGCATCGCCTGCCTCATGTAAAACATGTCGCCAGGATGAAGTAACCCCAGCCTCAGCGTCAGCTTTGTTTTGGATCCATCGCGGGATTGGATATCGAAACTTGCTCAAACGAGTGTGTACTTAAGTGTAATATATGTAAATAGTACACTTCCATCCAGATGGAGGTCTTTGTCGTATGGACCTGCTCACTGCTGCTGAGTGAAGGCGCTGCTTTTGTCTCTCGCCGTCAGCACTCCCGTCCGACGGCAATTCAAGATAAGAAAAGGTCTCAAAGGGGGGTGGGTGTCTTGCTGCAGTATCACACTAATCGAATCTTGGAAGCAAAAAAGGAATGATGCTGTATCCCACATCGACACCATAGATTGTACTGTCTCTATCAATCTCGATGGACTGATAAGGAGCGGTCAGGTTGACGACGGGAGCCAACAAGACGAACCTAGAGGTAGGGAGAGAGGAGTAAATTGTAGGAGCATCCTGAGCCAAGATCCATTGACACCAAAACCACAGCATCACAGAGTCCATGGCCTTTTATCGTCAACCATCACCTCCCGGTACCACACACATGAGGTGGTCAACGCAATCGATGTTGCTTATCGCGTCTTAATCGACAGCAAGTTCCGGGTAAGCCAATTCCGGGATGCAGGACTTGGGCAGGCTGTGAAAGTGGTAAAAAGTCCTCCAGCCCGGTCATGATATACCTATCAGCAATGTGCTTGTACGACAGGACGTCATATCAATCCCAGCTGAACATGGACCAAAGGGTCTCGACAAAGATGGAGGAACCGATTCTGCCTTGCAAACAGCCTCACCATCGACCTTCATCACCACGAGTTTTCTCGCGTTTTTCAAAGGACTTTTTCGACGATGCAACACCATCTTGACGCCAACATCGACTATCCAATCGATCATACCGAACTGGAAATGCGGTAGGGAAAGGGAATGGCAACTGGCCTTACCCATAAAAGACAACAGTCCATGGCATTGTCTAACGTTACGACTTGACCATGAAGGTGCCTGCCAAGACCAGGTCCAGCAGTCTTGTCAGCTGTGGTGTCTGTCAATATTCAAGATGCCATCTGCATTCAAGTGCCGGCCAAGCCACCACGGTTGGACATCCATCCTCCCATCATGAACAACCCCTCCACAACCAAGACAACATCTTCAAGGAGGCAGCCAATCCCCCGTCCCCTTCTGCCCTGCGCTACATCCATTCGGGCCTGTCACCACCCTCAATCTGCAGCCTGGAACGATTCAAGGTGACCAGCCCGACCAAGATGTGTGGCTAGTGACCGATCGAGCCAGTCAGAGTCGTTCTCACAGACGGTCCAGCCCCAAGCAGAGAGTCCAGAGCAACTTTCCTCTCAAGTCCTACGACTGACCCCGGCTCTCCAACCGCAAAAGTCCTAAGAATGATGGCGTACCACTGGCCGACAACCTCACTTTGCTGAGCTGGCTTGCCATTAGCTAGGCTTCTCACTCATTTGCTTGCTCTGTTCGCCGCATTGTATACCGAACCTCTAGCTTTCTAGGACCTCAACCACAACCCGCGCGCCATCGCGTAATCCCGTCGATCCGGCTCTGCTTTCACAAATCTCACTTCTCTGGCCAATGCCCCTGCTCGCCATCCCGTCTGCATTATAACAAACAATGTGTGGCGAATGATTTCTCAGATGACCGTGCCTGCGTCGTCTGTTCTTTCTCTTTGCTAGAGACTATCGTTCCTGGTATCGCCATCAGGGATCCTCGCTGCTGCTGCCGCTGCTGTTGTACCTGCTCGCCTACCTCTACCTTTGTCCTGAAAGACATCCCATACAGGTAGAAAGATGGACGCCAAAAAGCCGGCGACGTCTCTCATGGAAGATGACACCTTCTCCTTGACCTCCTTCATCACTGGATACACGTCGTCTACAACAAGAACGCTATCCTCATATCATCCAGGCCAACATCAGATCAGTGGGGATTCACAAAGCTTATATCAGCCCTATGGGGCCCATGCTTCTTCTCCCTTCCATCCCATCTTGGATCCGAGCTCGGTATCTCAACAATACCTATTACAACAGCAACCCGAGCATCAACAACAGCACCAGCCTCATTCTGAACAACTATCGTGTGTGTATGTTCTCTGCTTTCCTAATCCTTCCGTATTACAATCCGGGGTCAAACCTTGGGGCTAAGTGTGCATCATAGGACCAAAGAAACCCTCCGCCAGGACTGTGCGCAGGCCAGATTCATCATATGGGCTGCCGTAAAACGCAACCTATGTCCAACACTAAAAGACGAAGAACGATCGAAATGTCCGCTCCATCAGTGTCAGAAGCTGTTGAGTGACCACGAGTCAATGCTTAAGCATTTGGTCAACTGCAGGTATCTTTCGACAGGAGAGTACTGGTGTCCTCAGCACAATCGGGTCGAGCGTTTTGATGATGTCAAGTGCAAGCGATGTCTCAGTCATCCATCCAAGAGGAGGAAGATGTTGTTCATGGCCAAGAAGTTCTTCCACGGATTAGGTCACAAATCCAAGAAAAGTCAGGATTCCGGATTCGATGTTGACCAGTATTCCAGTGCGCCACCGCCCTACGAGAGCGTTGCTCCTGTGGATCAGTCGATGCCGGTTCAAACCGGACCTACCGAATTGGAATCGGTGACGAGATATGAAATTGACTCTTTCGAGCCACCCGTCATCCATCAATATCCCCAGGAAGGACCCGAAATCGGTGTCGACCCGCAGTCACTCATGGTGTCCGCTCCATCCGTGGTACTTACCTTACCCGAAACGTTGTCCGGGATACCTGAGATGCCCGAGCCTGTGGAGCTCGAATGCACCCAACCACCACATGTGGTTCTTTCGACTTATCAGAGCTTTATGGGGATGGACTGGGAAGCTTCAATGGCATCCCAATCGGTGTCGCCATTCCACTGTACCCTATCGGACGATGCCTCAGGGCGCAGCAGTCAGAGCAGGCCGAGCCTTCAAGTCAACACTCAAGGCCTGCCGGGTCACCGTCACCCACAACGGCATGCTTCCAGGCCTGCCGTGGCCCCATCTCGCAGCCATGGTCTATCTCCTCAGTCATCCGTCAGGTCCAATGCGAGTGCGGATACCACCTTTACCACCATGAGTTCAACGTTGGTGTCCCCGGTAACGGATTATAGCGAAGGGTTGAGCTCCGACATGGCTTGGTCAGTCAGTGATACCAAGATGGCCGCTGAATTCGACGAGATCCTTGAGACATCTCACGATGCGTCATTCCCCAGCATCTTTAATGGATTGGCTGAACTCCCGGCTGAGTTGCCTGTTCCGCAACTGCCGGATGATTTCCTATTTTCCATGGAGATGCCATCGAAAGAATCGACATATCCCACCCAGCTTGACCTGACAGCAGACGATCCCACGGACATAGTTGATTCTGACCAAATAAAAGTTCAAAATGACAGCATTTGCAACTCCGAGGTCGAGACAATGATCATCTCAGCCTGGGATCTCATTCAGGAACACTTATCAGCGTCAAGACATGCAGTCCAAGATATCCCGGAAAACCCCCTGGCCAAGCAGCTTCAAACGATGTCATCCAAAGATATAGCGCTCACTGGTTTACGAACATTTCGATCGATGCTTCAAGGAGAGCAACCTTCGTCGTCAATGGATTTTGTCTGCTTGATACACGTCATATATGCCTTCAACTTCGTCACTCGACAAGAACACATGGAACAAGATGCCAAGGACTTATTTCTCCAGTGTCTGGCTTACGAAAACATACTCCCTGAGAATGAAGGAGATCCGTACCGCCAACTGGTGTATCAGATTTTGGAACCATCGGGAATCACGACTGGAGATTTTGGTAACTTCAGTGCAAAGTCCCCTGTTGTATCCCTGAGCAGATCATCTAGTCTAAAAGGAAAAGCTCCCACCACACGAGTAGATCTCAGCAGCACCAATTCTGATACCCTCCTGATTGCAGGATGTCGGTTCTTGGATGGTAAGTGACCACGTCTACTGCGTCTTCAAACAGCAAGCTAACAAACCGCTAGAACTGGAAAGCTGCATTGTCTTCGGTCAACCATCACACTCGCTCGGTATTAACAACTCCGAACTCCATAAGAAGCATCAAGAGGTTCTCATGTTTTCCGCAAACCAAGGATTCTCATCGGATGTCACCAATATGCTCTGTGAACTGGTCAAGCACAACGGGGATTTGCAACTGCTCACAGGAAACCTGTCGGAGATATGCAGCAAGGCCAATAACGGTGCCATCTTCTCTGGTCGACGACTTGAGATCGAGGTTCTTCACGCTGGAAAGGTTTGTCTTGCACAAGTCCTCAGGGATCTCCGAATAAGTCATGCTAACAACCATGATTAGGAATGCATGCCTGCGAGTCGCTATTACAGTAACTACGTCCCAAAGGTCTGGGAGTTATGCGACGAGATCTACCTCAAGTATTTCGGAAGCGTCAACGATCGTGTTGTATATCACCAACTCGGCATATCAGTGATCGAGTCCATGATCTCGGAGTTCGATAACACAACAGGCCACTCCACAACAACCACTGAAGAACCCCAAAACGAACTAGAGGGTTTCCTGAAGGAGCAGACGGATATCGACAAACTCTCCACGGATTCTACTCACCATCGCAAGGTCTCCGTGCCGACAATGACCCTCACCCCACCCGAAACTCTGTACAGCTCCCACGTCGCCAGTCCCGCAGCTACAACGAATTCTGGACCGCAGCAAACACAAAATAAAAAGCACCAACAAAAACAAAAACTGCAGCAACAATACCAAAAGGCTTCCCAACCCCAGTCCCAGATTCCCTCAGAACAACAAACTCCATCCGCCACTCCCACTCCTTGCCAAAAACCCGACTCCGATCCCCAGTCCCCACCCCAATGCCACCTCTGCGACTACCGTCCCAACGGCCACCCCCGCTGGTACAAGGGAAGCATGGCCAAGCACATGAAAGTCAAACACAGCGATCAGCCTGACCGTATCTACGCCTGCACGTACCCTGGTTGCAAGAGCCAGTATAAGAACCGCCCGGATAATTTGCGACAGCACAAGATTGAGAAGGGGCATTGGGTTGAGGGCGAGGAGTTTGGATACGGTTCAGGGGCCAATGAGAGGAGGCCAAGTAAGAAGAGGAAGAAGGGAAGTGAGCACGGTGATGAGGAAGGGATTTGATGGCGAATCAGCCGCGAGATGGGCTACCGAGTCGGATGGGTGATTGATGAACCTGTATTGACGGTTATGGATGATGGATGATCTGGTTATCACGAATAACTAATTGGGAAAAAAACCAGCCAGCGAGCGGATGACGATGATTTCTTCCTTTTCCTCACTTTGGGCGGTTTGAAGAGTCGACTTTGACGGCTCAGAACGGCGTCTGTTTTGGATTTTGAAACCGGGATGGGGACAGGGACTGGGCTCCGCCCCTCTTATACTACAGGATCACGACTCACAAACACACGACGGCTACGGTCGGCAAACGGACAGACTTATTCTTCTCTTCTTCTTTGATGTGTATATAGATACCATTGCATTGCATTGCTTGGAGTCTGGGTTTGCATTTATATTTCGGTCTTGCTCACATGCGGACCACAACTGCACAACTACATACATAGTTGCGCGGACGATACTGGCGTGGGCACCGAAGGCAATTATTTAGTTGAGAGAATTGACAGAAGCTAGCCGTCATCATCAACAGGTGTGATGGGTGGTGCGCTTTGCTTTGTTTGACGTACATACCTACTGTGTATTGGTTTTCATTGCATTACATCGTGAACACTACGTGAGGTGATATTTTGGAAGTGTGGGTGAGTACCTAAGTAGTGCTAAGGTAACTCCTGGAGCGCAACTCGATCTGTCTATCTTAACGGTTCATAACTCACAAATTCTGTTATGGTAATGAGTCTTGTCCTCGGATTTTGAAGGCCTATTGCTGGGTGAGAGCAACAAAATTACGACGGAAAAGACTGGAAAAGACTCCCATCGACCACAACGTTCCAACACTGGAATTTAGCGAGACCTCGCCCCCATATATACTCTCTCTATCTTCCCTCACAAGGCTCGGAACTTCATGTTTCCATTTCCATTTCCATCCACCCTCGCATCTTCTTCCACATATCTTAGAGCCATGGCGTCTAGTTCTAGTTCTAATGCTCCCGGGTTTCCCTCAATTCACAAGATTACCTAGGTGTAATTGGCGAGGTACAATCAGTCAAGCTCCCACCGGGCAGGTCATCATGATTATATTTGCACTTATTCAAACCTATTCGGACATTGCATAACCTCCACGCATCCGAAGATAAAAACACTTTCCAAAAGAAAAAGAAAAGGAGAAACCATCTGCAGCTAAATGACCGAGATTGACACATGAGAAATGAATCCAGAAGGTCAAGGAAGCTGCGAAGGAGTAAGTGAAAATTTCCACACGTAACTGAAAGAATGAAAGAAACCGACTGACAAAGGAGAAGGGAAGGAAGGAGCACAGGATGTGTCCGGCATTGACCGCACCGGTCGCTCCTATCTTTCTTTTCCCGTCCCCATTCCCATTCCCATCTCATCTCCATTCCCCCCTACCTACAGTAGGTACATACCTCTATCCTCTCAACCCCAACGACCTAGAGATAGTAGCTCCTCAAGTTCCAGGTTCCTCAACTTTTCTCAAGGATTAACATACCCAGGCTTCACCATCCCCCACCCATCGCCCTTCTCAATCGTCAACTCCTTCACCTTCTCCTCAAAACTCCAGCTCTCATCGCTCGGGCACAAATCAAGACATCTGAGGTTAATCGGCCAAACCACGTTTCTCCACCTGAGCACCATTTCGGGGTCAGACATCGTGGCCCGGATAATCTCCTCCGTCATGGCCTCGTTGGTTTCGTTGGTAAGCGGCACGCCGCAATTTTTGCAAAAAGTCTTGCACATGACTTTTTTGAGGCAGGCGTACGAGGTTAGGTTTTCTCTGGAACCTGCGGAAAAGGAGATTTGCGAGGGGGAGGTGGGGTAGGTCCAGATGCAGCCGCCCTGTTTTCGGGGGTGTTAGTATAGGTTTGAAGACTGAAGGAAGAAAAGGGTGTGAAGGATTGGAGACATACCCGCTGGCAAATACTACAATTACACTCCATCACCTTCTCCTTGAACGTCTTATCCAACGGGCCTTTAGTCTTGACAGCCACCTTCACGGCGCCGCAGTGGCAAGAGCCATGGTAGACGACGCCATTCTCGACTTCGGCCTTGGGTTCGAGCCCGTCAAAGGGAGCTGGTTGGTATGGGGGTCCGATGCTTTTGCCGTCGAATCTGTTTTGTAACAGAACCGTGTTAGTAGTCACTCTCTAGTAGCTTGTGAGAAGGATAGGTAAGGAAATGAACATACTCCTTAACCTCCAAATCCCAAATCTTCAACTCCTGAATCGCTCTCACCTATTTCTTCTGTCAGTAACCCTGTCCACCATCAATCACATCACATCCCCACCCCCAGCTTTAATACTCAAATACTCACATTAACCCAAACCCCCTTCCCCTTTTCTTTCTCCTCCCTCTCACAAACCGCATAAACCCCCGTCCCACACTCCGCACAAAACTTATGCTTCGTGGCCTTCGGACCCGTCACATATTCCGTTAATTTCCTTGGTCTTTGACGACCTCCAACTTGTGGCCCTGATTGGTGTCGAGGATCACCCAGAGATACCCCTTTTTGCGGCAGATGGAGCAGTTGCAGGATTCGACCGAGACGATCTCGGGGACGAGGATGGTGAAGATGAAGGAGCCGCAGTGGCAGTTGCCGCGGTAGGATTTGAGGGGTGGTTGTTGGCCTTGGGCTTTGGAGTCGGTGACGGGGGTGGAGGACATGGTGCAATGGGTTGGGTATGGGTTGAGGCTGTGAAGTGGTTTGTATATCTAGAAGTCGGTAATGGATGGGTAGGTACGGTAGGGGTTTGACGTAGGACTGGAGAGTGATGGTTTGAGGACAGACTCAAGTTTGGACTCAAGATTGCGTGATCTTCTCTTCACCTTTATATTCATATCCCTTACTACAGCAAAAACTGTTTCAATCACTGTTGTTCACCACTACTGTGCTACGAGAGTAATGAAACCTCGACTTTCAACTACCCAAGAACTACGGGGCAGGCGCCACCTAGGCAGCAGCGGCAACCATGGACACGCTTGCGGGCGGATGTATGTCAGCTTCCTTGGTCTACCACAAAGGAAGGAAGGAACCACACACGACCCCGCTTCCATTTACAGATTGTCATATTATCAGTCAATCTGCCGCAACCCCCTTTGAGGTGACACTTGAGGTAACGACAAACATATTAGTGCAGTTGGATGAAAGGGAAAAAGCTCGGTGCTCGTGTAACTTCCGTGATGCTTCGGATGTTCCGTTGATTTGATGCACACCGTCTCTGAAAGGCGTGAAGAGGGGACTAGGCAGGATGATGATGATGATGTCTCACCGTGAACGTAGGACGGGAGGAATACGACAAGCTACGCCCAAGCCACGTTGAATGGTACAGTACAAACGCGAGACGCGGTTCACAAATGTTCCAAACGCCCCGCATCGCAAACCGACGCGTGGAAACACGCTATCAGGTGATTTTGAAATGATGGATCACGGCCAAGATGACTCAGCCCTGCAGAGTGCTTTAAAAGTGTCGGACCGGGTCGTGATCTGATTGACTGAGGGGTCGTTGTGACTGGTGAGGGCGGCTGACAGTCTGAATTATTGTGTTTCCCGATTTGTTATCGTGGTGTGCTGTGATAGGCGAATTAATGTCCCCTTGCTGTGCCCAGGTCCGTCAGAGTTGCATTCAACCCGTTTTATTCTTGAATGTTTGGTGTTAATGGATGGGTTGTTGAGTTGTTGAGAGTTGGGAAACGGAATTACTGCGTATGAATTCTCGAGATGATGGGACTCTATCTCGAATTGGATCTTGCTTTCTTCGACATGGAAGGGATCAACGGTTTGTTTCCCTTGATTCAGGTGGTTGGTGCCATGAGGTTGTTCCGCCCTGGTCAATGAAGGTTAGTGATGACGGAGAGGAGCTCTCATTCCCAGTGTCACCGGCGAGGAGCAACCTCCGCTTGGCCCCCACGCCGAGAGCATAAAGCCGGGGTTTTAGCGCCCGTCAAGGCGGAGCAAAGTGGAGCCATTTCCCGGGGCCGGAACACGGACTGTGGACCCCTGACAGGCCCCATCACCGATTATAGCGTGGGGCAATCACCTCCGGAATCGTGTTTCCGGGATGCCCGACCTGCCGACTGAGCCCAAATTGGGAACATCGAGTTGTTGTTCTCAGGTGGGAGGAGTAGGACTGACAGTGACGAGTGCTTGGTGCATCCACATGACAAGTGACGGAGCCAGTTCGCTTCATTGGCGCCGCTTGGATTTCTTGGGCCTTTAGCACTTTCTACTGGTAATAACTTTTCTAAACCCATGGTCAGCTGATCCTCAAAAGTCTTTGAAAGATGAGCCTGGCCTTCTGGGTAGATACGAGAACGAAAGAAACCAGCCCAAGAGGGTTTGGTGAGAGAAGATCGGCGGCTATGGTACTCGATAATCTACGACAGGTCAGGAACCGATCCATCGGGTATCCCTGAGTTGGCCCTATAGCGGAAAAGGGTTGCTTTTTGTTTAGACCAACATGACCAGCACAGAAGAAGGAAAACTCGGCTCGTCAGGTGATTCCTGTTCAGGGGTTGAGATGGCGGGTCGGGTGTTGTAGGATGTTTTGGTCACTTCGAATGTTGCCGGCATGAAGCTGTGATGGTTGGCGGTTAGTGACCTCTTGTTAAAACCAGACGAAACGTTTCCCTCGTATGGCATGTCGGACCCGGGGCAACACCCTTCGCATGAATGGTGACAGGCTTCCCCGCAATAAGGTAAAGTGGAAGACCGAAGAATACTGCGAACATGATTCCATCAGACTGGCTGTGCAGCTGCCAACGTCTTGAAATGATCTGCAAGCTGCCTATTCGAGAACTGGTTGCCGCACTTGAAGCCGGTATTATTTCTTGCCGTGGGGGTTCCTTCTGTCACTCAGGTGAGTGAGTCGTGTCAGACCAGACACCAGACAGGCAAAAGTCGAAGAAGAGAAGGAAGGACGATCTGACAGCCAAGTCCGAATTCCATGCCTTTGTCGTCGATGGCACCTTGAGGGCAGCTTGGATCGCTGGAGTTGACCGAGGCGGTTAGCGCGGCTTGGCCGGATGCTACCCACCCGGGCCACCCATCCACCGCGCAGGACCTCCGGGTCCTTGGCTTTTTGCTGTTTTCTCGGTCAGGAACGAAAGCCGGGAGAAGGTCGGTGGTTGAATTGGGAGTCTTGGAGACCCATTTTTGCGCATGCCAGGAGTAGCCGTGAAACGATGACGTCGGTGTCAACCATGTTTGAGAATAAGACTCTCTGTAGTCAGGCGACTGACGGAAGTTTGTGTAACAGAAAGTTGAGGCTGCGGCGGTTCTGCTATGTTCAAGATCGTCTCACAGTGTTTTTGTCCGATAAAAATTGTCAAGTTGTGGAAGTGAACGTCGCCGACGGGAGCTGTTGGTAGTTTGGAGAGTTGCGATCTCGATGATCGGTCTCCAAGGAAGGTCTCATTCCTTATCTTATCGATAGGTTATCGGAGTGAACTTTCTCGCATCCATGTCATAATGACAGGGTCAAGGGGGGTTGTTGGTTTTGACCATGGAGACTTTGTCGGCGGTGTCAATTCTCTTGACATGTACTGGGGGCAAGCAAAGTAGCAACATGGAATGGTCGTTGATGAGAAGAATCGTACTTTCGTTGAACAATTCATAGAACCCGATGTTAAACATCCAATTGCTCTTGCCGTGCCCGACGGAAAAGAAACGCGGGGCTCCAGTAGCTGAGAACGGAAGCTACGGCGGGTGAGGTGGATTCGGTGAGGGATGGAGCTAACTATCTTATGAGGGGTAGCTGACACTTGGGAATCCCTTCTTCCTCTCGGACATGATCAGCATTTTCTTTCTCTTGTTATTTTCGGCATCTTTCTATGCTCACTGGCTGACTGGGTGAATGCTGTTACGGATGATTTATTCTACAGTACAATACATGTTAGTAGCATCAGATATCTTGACTCCTCTCAGCACATTGAGGCTGTTAGTGCTGCCTCTGTAGCTTTCGTTCTTCACGGCACTTACAACCCGTTCTTTACCTCTAGAGACCCAGCTGCCATCCACCATTCCACCTACATTAGTCATGCACATCCAAGTCATTGACGCTGGACAGCAAACTCGTACGTTCAACAACGGAATCTTTTCAAAGTTCTGGTGAAATCTCTGTCGTCAACCTTGACAGATCGTGGAGATGGTTACCTACCAGCCTACCTACCCAGAAGAGCTGAGGTACGTCAACAGTTCAGCACAAACATGCAGCCGTGCACTAAAAGGGACACTAAGACCCCACCGGTTAGTGCCTGCCATCCGTGTGTGTGCCATCCCAGGGCGTGGGGCCTTGACCTCAGGCCCGCCCATGCGCTGTCCAGGTCTGCCAATCCCTTTGAGCGCCTCGTGATTTGTTCCTTGCATCAACCAACTGCCATCCGACTCCCACTCTTACGATCTGCTCTCATTCCTGCAACAACGTGCACCCACGCATATGTTGCGGAGGTCATGACAAAACAATTTCGTCCTCCTCGAAAGGTCTGCGTTTTGTTTTCCTTCCCTTTTTGTCCCGTTGCCTTCTCAACTCCCCCGCCATTCGTTCAGGTACCTCGGTTGCCAGGCCATGAACCCTCGTTGTTAATGTCTGACAGCACAGAGAAAAACACCCACTCTGGAGAGTCTTGGACACTGCTCTTTGGCCCCTTCACTGGATCCTCTTTTTCAGCTCTCTTCAAAATGCAGAAAAGAGTCCACAGAAAGTCCCTTGTTTCAGCCAAGCGGATCTGAGTTTAGAACAGTTCAAAAAGTCTCTTCATTCTGTCAACTCTCGTTTGTCCACTCTATACAGACTTTAACATCATCACTTCGACACCTTGCCTGCGTAGTTAATCCCAAACACGGCAGCGCCATGTTATGTACAACTTGGAAGCCACAAGGAGTGTTCCTGACGGGAACCTTGCTGCACCCCGGACTCAAAACGTCCAATGGTTGCCGTCCATGTTCAACGGCCTAGTTAAAACCTCAGCTCCCTTGCCTTGGCTTTGGGGCTCTACAAGCGTAGAGGCACAAGGGGGTTATGTAACCGGATCAACTTAGTATCCAATCTTCTTTCTGCTTGCCTCTTCTTCTCTCCTCATTACAAACGGGTAGAGATGTACACTACAAGTACATGCCTTTGCCCCATATACGTGTAGGCCGGTAGTCTCCGTTGTGTTGGCATTTTGTGGTCCCTGATCCTGGATCCCGGGATCAATTCTCAGTCTCCAAGCTGGGTCATGAGTCCATTTCCTCCCACTTAGCCCGAGCTCCATCATCATGGCAGCGGACGAAAGAGGTAGCCGGCTTAAAGTCCACTCGTAGTACTTAAATGCACGTCTGCATACCTGCTATCCACATGGCTCGATCGCGTCCAACTGCCAGGCTGAGTAAGGCTAGGAGATATATTTATATCTGCGTGCCGGGAACGCGGTGCTCTGATCTTTCCCTCTTGTTCCTGAACTTCCAGCTATCCACCATCCTGGCTTAGCCCGTAGCTCCCTTTGTTCTACCTCAACCTAGCTAGACATAGCTCCCATCCGACCTCGACTACTTACTTCCTTCTTCCCCCGGTTTTCATCCAGCAACTCCTCATCCAAAAAAGTTCTCCAAAAAGGAACATTTTCTCCGACCTTCAACCCAAAGCTTGCGTCTGTCATAAGCAATTCAACATGCCGAGTGCCGAAACCATGGCCAGTAACCCAACCACTGCCCTTGGGCAGCTTAAAACAACCGGAAAACATGTCCTGTCCAAGCTTCAGCAGCAGACTTCGAATGCCGACATTATTGACATCCGCCGCGTTGCTGTGGAGATCAACCTCAAGACCGAGATCACCTCCATGTTCCGGCCTAAAAGTGGCCCCAGACAGCTTCCGACATTGCTTCTCTACAACGAGAGTGGCTTACAGTTGTTTGAGCGTGTAAGTCTGCATAGCTAAGGAACTGAAATCCGAGTCTTGAGCTAATACATCCCAGATCACCTATCTTGAAGAATATTATCTTACCAATGATGAGATCGAAATCCTCACCAAACATGCCACCGAGATGGCCGAGTTCATCCCCTCGGGCTCCATGGTCATTGAGCTTGGAAGCGGGTAAAGACCTACCAGTTCCGGGTTGAACCCGGCAAATGGAATAAGCTAACTCTTCTCCAGAAACTTGCGCAAAGTAAACCTTCTATTGCAAGCTTTGGATAATGCCGGCAAGGAAATCGATTACTATGCCCTTGATCTGTCTCGAGAGGAGCTGGAACGCACTCTCGCTCAGGTACCATCCTACAAGCACGTCAAGTGCCATGGTCTTCTCGGAACATATGACGATGGACGTGACTGGCTCAAGGCCGCAGAAAATACCAACAGACAGAAATGCATTTTGCACCTCGGATCAAGTATCGGTAAGCGTGGTTACGAACGGAACTGGCTGAGCCAAACCCTGACATAATCCTTTCTTCAGGCAACTTCAACCGCAGTGACGCCGCCGATTTTCTCAAGGGCTTTTCGGACGTCCTTGGACCCAATGACAAGATGCTTCTTGGCGTTGATGCTTGCAATGACCCGGCGAGGGTATAGTACGTATTGGACAAAACTTTTCGGGACGTCATCACGAACATCGCTAACCATATACTAGCCACGCTTATAACGGTTTGTGCTACTCATGTGACATGGAATAGGACCACATCAAGCTGACAATACCCACACAGACAAGGAAGGTATCACTCATGAGTATGTCATACCCTATTTCTGTCGCTCATGGCGGCTCTCACTTTCGGCCCAACACCAACACTGACAATTCTAGGTTCATTTTGAATGGCCTCCGTAACGCCAATGAGATCCTCGGAGAGACGGCTTTCATCGAGGGCGATTGGAGGGTCATTGGCGAATATGTGTATGACGAAGAGGGCGGGAGACACCAGGCCTTTTACGCCCCCATTCGCGACACTATGGTTATGGGCGAGTTGATCAGGTCACACGACAGGATCCAGGTCGAACAAAGCCTAAAGTACTCCAAAGAGGAGTCACAGAGGCTCTGGAGTAAGGCGGGATTGGAGGAAGTCACGGTTTGGACGTACGGCGACGAATACGGTAAGTTGCTTCCATAATCTTTCCTTGCTTGGGTTTTCCCAGCTTCTTCTGGGACTACCTGTTTGAGCCGTCTGACCGGTGTTACCGCACCTTCCCCACACCCTACGGACCAGTCGTATGATGACAAGATCTCGCGGCGTCTCCTGATGGGCACAGCTCCTACACCGGTACATGTTTACCGATACGCAGGTTGGCGCTGGGCTGCGGGGTTTAGGTAGCGTGTGCATGGGCTGGAGAGGATCGAGAATTTGTGCCATCAGTACCATCGATCCATGCTGACCTCCATTTGTCGTGCTGCAGGACTCCATCTGCTCGCCAAGTCAAGGATGTCATTCAGTCTCATTCCTTCGGTATACGCTCGCACCGCACTTCCATCTCTGGACGACTGGGAAGCCCTTTGGGCGACATGGGATATCGTCACACGTCAGATGCTTCCCCGGGAAGAGCTTCTGGAAAAGCCCATCAAGCTCCGAAACGCCTGCATCTTTTACCTCGGTCACATTCCGACCTTCCTCGACATCCAGCTCACAAAGACCACCAAGCAAGCCCCGTCGGAGCCAGCTTACTTTTACAAGATCTTCGAGAGGGGCATTGACCCTGATGTCGACAACCCGGAGCTGTGTCATGCACACTCGGAGATTCCTGACGAATGGCCGCCCGTCGAAGAAATCCTGGCCTATCAGGAGACGGTACGGTCCCGGTTGCGCGGTCTCTATGCAGGCGGCATGGAGAATATCCCGCGGAATGTGGGCCGGGCCATTTGGGTTGGGTTCGAGCACGAGCTCATGCATATCGAGACGCTGTTGTACATGATGCTACAGAGCGACAAGACGCTACCCCCGACCCATATTCCGCGCCCCGACTTCGAGAAGCTCGCCAGGAAGGCAGAGTCCGAGAGGATTCCCAGTCAGTGGTTCAAGATTCCGGCCCAGGAGATGACCATCGGTTTGGATGATCCTGAGGATGGAACGGATGTTAATACGCACTATGGCTGGTGAGTTGTCTGTGTTTAATGAAGATGAACAGGAGGCTAATTGTCAAATAGGGACAATGAGAAGCCCGTAAGACGCGTTCAAGTTGCTGCTTTTGAGGCTCAAGGAAGACCGATCACCAACGAAGAGGTACGTTTACCAGCCAGCAGAATAAGTATCGTTCAATGCTGACATGAACCATAGTACGCGCAATACATGCACAACAAAAACATCGACAAGCTACCAGCCTCTTGGGCCCGCCTAGATAACGACAATGTTACCAACGGAACAAACGGCGTAAACGGTCAGAGCAACGGGACTTCTTCCAAGATCCCATCTTCCTTCCTCGAGAAAACCGCAGTCCGCACCGTCTACGGCCTTGTACCTCTCAAGCTTGCTCTCGACTGGCCCGTCTTTGCCTCTTACGACGAACTTGTCGGTTGCGCAGCCTACATGGGTGGCCGTATCCCTACCTTTGAAGAGACGCGGAGCATCTACGCTTATGCCGAGGCTCTCAAGAAGAAGGAAGCCGAGAGACAATTGGGAAGGACCGTGCCGGCTGTTAATGCGTATGTCCTCTTTTCTCCCCCTTTCCAGAACGCTTACTAACATATATACCTCACCAAAACAGTCACCTAACCAACAACGGCGTGGAAATTACTCCCCCATCCTCTCCCTCCTCCGAGACTCCCTCCTCCGAGACTCCCTCCTCCGAGACTCCCTCCTCCGACTCTCACTCTGAACCCCCTTCCTCCGACAACAACACCACCACCACCACCACCACCACCACCACCACCACCCCAACAACATCAGACCTCTTCGCAGACCTAGACACCAACACCGCCAACGTCGGTTTCCACAACTGGCACCCCATGCCCATAACCTCCAAGCCCGACACCCTCCTCGGCCAAGCCGAGCTAGGCGGCGTATGGGAATGGACTTCTTCCGTCCTGCGCAAATGGGACGGGTTCCAGCCTATGGAGCTGTACCCGGGTTATACGGCGGATTTCTTTGACGAGAAGCATAATATTGTGCTGGGAGGCAGCTGGGCTACGCACCCAAGGATTGCGGGAAGGAAGAGCTTTGTTAATTGGTATCAGAGGAATTATCCTTATGCGTGGGTGGGGGGGAGGGTTGTTAGGGATTTGTGAGGAGGTGGATGAGTAGAGTAGGGGAAGGGGAGTAAAGTAAGGGGAGTAGAGGAAGGGGTGGTGTGGTGTGGTAGCCGTGGGTATGAGCTCTGTTGGTTCTGTTTTGTCGCATACACCTAACCACACTCCCACGGTTAGATACGTTGGGGAACAGCTAAAGGATTAGCTGAGGAAGGGTAAAGGGAAGAAGACCATCATTTTATCTATCTTATTTTGGTTATCAGTCCTCTGGGCGTTTTGTTTTGGTTAGGAAGCTGGTTAGCTGCATAGTCCCTTGAGATAGTCACGGATGTTGCTGCATACAACACAAGAGAATCGGATCTATTGGGCAAAAGCAATTTGCGAGCCCTTCTGTTTGAACATCGGTGCCAGTGTTTGTTGGTGTAAATGACAAAAGTTGGTATGAAATGACTTCCAGCTTCACCTGACACATTTGACTGTTGTTAAATAAGGAAGGTATCTACAAGTACGTTCCCGTGCCCGCCTGCGGTCTTCAATTGCGGCCATTTCTTCCAAGTCATTCATTGTCGTGATACCTGAAGTGGTCTTGCATGTTTATAAGACTTACATCACATATCATTTCATTTCAGTCTATAACCATTTCGGGCTCTCTCTCTAGCTTGCAAGTGACTCGTGACAACCGCGCCACCTAAGTAGTCTACTCATAACCAGCAACTTGAGATGACCCGATATCTATAACAGCGAGGTAAGTACCTAAGAAAAATACTAACCTCAACACCTCAATACTGAATCGTTCCCACCCCCTTCAACCTTAAATACACATCCGTCCCCCACCCATACAAACTCTGCACCGCAATCCCTCCCCCAAAGTACTCAGCATACGCCCTACTCAACGGCAGTCCATACCCGAGCCCAGCAATCGTGCTCCCGCCCACGCCCGTCGTCGAAATCAATCCCATGGCTTCCTCCCCCCACGCCCCTACCCCAGGCGGCTCATCCTCCTCACCTTCGTTAAATGTCGTAAACGAGTACCCCCAAATATGCGGCAGCACAGCCGGGTTGATGCCCCCTCCTCTATCCCTGATCCTAATCGTCACTCCCGGAGCGTGGTCATGTAGCGGGATAATGCCGTACGCCTTTGTTTTGCCTTCGTTGGAAGGCTTGGAAGGACAATCGGAGTATACACCCGGCGTCGCCGCGCTGGCGGGACTACTCACCGGCTCGGGCGCAATGGTTATGACGACCGGCTCGCGGCTCATGCCATTTTCTACCGTCGCGCGGAATGCGTTTTTGAGGAGTTCCGTGACGATGTACTCGAGGTGCATGGGCACGAAGGCGAAGCTAGCCTCTGGATCGCCGTCGAGGACCCATTCGGGCCGCACACCGTAGTTGAGCTCGCAGATGTCGGCTACGAAACCACCGCAGGAATCGATCACGTTCGCGGGCCGCAGGGCGGTGTCGATGACGCCGATGTAAGACGGGTGCGTCTCCGGTTCCGGGCAGGGGGTCGGAGAAGCTTCCGGGTCGAAATGGGGGGTGGAGCTGTAGTGCAGGGCTATGTGCTGCTCGGCTACTAGGCGGGTGCCGATGCGGGCGCGCAGGTGTTCATCGAGGAAGCGGGTGACTTCCTGGGAAGAAATGTACTTGCGGCATTCGATGAAGCCCTTGGCGAGGATGGGGATGGTGTCGGTGTGCGTCTGGACGAGCTCGGCGAGGACCTGGGTGAATTTGATTTCGTCGTCGAGGGTGGAGATGGTCTTGCCTTGCCAGGGGAGTAAGGTGGACAAGGAGTGCTGGTAGTTGTTGTAGATGCGCGAGATGTTGGGGTTGGACACGACGATGTAAGGGAGGTTGCGCAGGGCTTGGATGCGGTGGGCGAGGCGGATGGGGAGTAGGGAGAGGGTGAAGCGCGCTGAAGAGAGGAGGGCTTCGGCGGAGAGAGGGGGGCGGCCGTGTCTGGATGTTACCAACAATTGTTAGTTCCGATGCCTCTGCTGATGAACTCCAGGACATTTGAAGGACGAAGTAGTACTTGACGAGATCGGCCAGACTCAGCTGGTGTAGAGGCTGGTTAGCCAGCCATGGGACTTTGTCCTCTAGCTCATGGCGACTGCTGAGCGGGCGGTCGTACTGGGGTCTTTCCTGGTGGGTGTGAAAGAGGGAAAACGGTCTTCTTGAATAAGGAGATCTCAACAAGGAGGCCTTGAGAGGGCTGGGGAACCTCGATGGCCTCACGATGAATTTCATGTCGGCATGTTGTCCGGTAACGGGTTTCTGGTAACGAGAATTGATCGGGGACTTTTTGGTGCACGTAGGGTCCTCCCATCCTCCGGTCCGGTTGAGGTCCGGTGGAGAGTGCAGTGTGCTTCTGTCATCCAAACAGTGTGTGCGTGCGACTTGCGATCAGCGCCGTGACGGGATGACATAGTGGTTACCGCTGAAACAGGGTTATCGTGGCCCAATCGATAGGCCGATAAGGGGCTGCCCAGGCCCCAGGGCCGCTTGGAGCACCTTGAGGGCTGGCGGCGGCTGTTTTGGCTGCCGCTGCTTCCCGTTCTGTCTTACTGTTGGTTCATATTTCCTTCAACGTGAAGCACGCATCGCATTCATGCCTCGACTCGGTTGGATGCCCCTGGACTGTACTGTGTACAGTCAAGCGGTTTAAAGGCACAGCTACCTTTGGCAAGTTGGATATCTTTCTTTGAATTCATAACAATCATCAAATGACCGCCCCTCTATCTGACTGGAAATGCACAGCCGGTTTCAGTGGAGTGAGTGACTGCCGCTGAAACGACAACGAAGCCGCTGGCATGTAAGCCAGCCCTTGTCGCTGTCCAGAGGTAACCTCTCGCTCAGTGTTACCCCGCGATTGGTGCCCCGCATGCCCGAGATCCATCCAGATCAAGACGGGATGCCTCTCTCCAGCTTAGCGGGCAACTGTTGTTGTCTCATCCCATGTCCGTTCTTTCCGCTCAACTGTGTAATATCATGATTTCCCAATGTTCCGCCCCTTGACGCCTGATGCTTCAAACCATCTTGTTGAAATTGGATGCGCTCCTTTTACTGGGTCCTGACCTCCTGATCCGCCTCGACGTCCTTGACGTGCTCGTGGCTGGCAAGGCTGTGGACAGAGCCCTCGGGGAAAATGGCCCTGTAAAGGAAGAATGTGTAAGCACTTTGTCCCAAATCAGACAGAAAAGCTAGGTCTTACTGGAAGGCCTTGATGAGAGTATACTCGTGGCCGATCTCACCGCCCTGCTTCTTGACGTCCTCCTTGGTCTTGTTGATATCCGCGTCGCTGGCGTCGTCCTTGAGGGTGACCTGTCGTGATGGACAGGTTAGTAAGGGGGGCCACAGAAGCTGTTAGGTGCAACTGTGTGGGATGCTTACAATGTAGGAAGGCATGTTTGCGGTAGTGAGTGGTTGTGTGGTGTGAGAATGTAGAGAAACTGATTGTGATGTTTTGTCGTGAACTTGGAGAGTTGGTACTGCGTCTGGAGGAGCGGACGATGGAGCATCTTATACCTGACAGATCGGATACAAGTGGACTCGAACTACACTACGGTTGCACATGCGCCAGATAAGCGGCAATCATGCTACCTACCTAGATTGTCTTCCTGCTATCCCGTTGAGGAGACACAAGTGACGCGGCACCAGGGAATCATCAGCATCCTCTGGAGCGCATGATACGTCATATCCACTTGGTCTAGCTTTTACTGCGCCCGTGCCAGCAACAGCCTGCCGCCGGTCATTTGTGACTTGTGACACTCTTTTGGTTGCCAGGCGTGGGGACGACAGAGACAATCCTTTCATGCTCTCAGCGCCCAACAGGCCAACTTCAAAAACGAAACGAGGAGCGCTTAGGCGCGGGCTGAGACAACACTAACAGTAGGCAGATGGTTGCTCGCCCACTTGGTCCCCCTTTCCCGCGGAGAACCCGATCCAGTCATCTGTCGACCATCTCACTGTTCAAAGCCTTGGAATGTTACCTGCCTCTTGGATCTCTATTGCACGCCATATCCTCCTCAAATCACCCTCCCATCAACGCCAATTACGTATGTAACCCTCGTAATGGTGTGTTGTGCAAGATGGGATGCCATGGCTCGCTGTTTGACGTTGCGGGCCCATCCGGTATTCTTCGGTCGACGCCGTACTTCCATGTCAACAACTGTTTGTTGAGAGACTCGTAACAAAGAGTGGATTTCTCAGAGTGGTTGTCGACTTGGACGCAAGAGGTCCCTGAACAATTCAATGCATGCAGAGTCTCCACCAGTCACTCAGAGGGTTAACAGTCAAGGTCATGCTTGAGACAGAGAAAGACATCTCAACCAGTTAAGCCTATATTTCCGTACAAGTCTCGTGCATAGTTGCTCCGAAGAAGGACCCCAGGAGTTGATTGGAGATGTAAAATGTGACTATTCTGTTAGTTCCAGAGTTGAAAGCGCCCCTCAGCCTTCGGTTCGTCTGTTGTTGAAGGTTCCAAGACTTCAGGGTCATGACTGCCCTGTCAGGGTCTCGAACTCCCCGCATCATGCGCTTGCTTCACTCTTTCCCGCTCCAGGGCGATGCTGCCGGGTATCGCCTGCCGGGAGGCGGTCCCACCAGGTCCCTTATCTCTTATCGATAAGCCACTTGGCGCTCTATCAGAAAGTCGGCCACCCGAAAATTTCTGGAGCTTTTGGCAGTTGAATTGGAAGCGAGTCCCGTCGCATTTCCACTTGCACCTGCTGCCATCGCGACCGCGTATCCATCCATACTGAACTTGCAAAAAGTTCACGGACACCAGCCGTAATCATGGCCGACGTCCAAGCCCACAAACCCCATCGGGCTTCCAAGAAGTCCAAGGAGAAGACGGGTTCCAAGCATACAGGTGGTATGTTTATGCCATTTGTTTCTTTTTCTTGTTAATACTGACCGTCCCTGTAGAACAGAACCCCAAGGCCTTTGCCTTCTCCAACCCCGGTAAGCTTGCCAGACAAGCCGCCAGATCCCATGATGTAAGGAAGACAAACAGTCCATCAATCCATCTTTCCATGACCATCATCACTAACTGGTATCCCCCGACAGATCAAAGAGAAGCGTCTTCACGTCCCCGCCATCGACCGTGTCCCCGATGAACCGCCCCCAAGACTCGTTGCCATCGTTGGCCCCCCCGGTGTAGGAAAGACCACCCTCCTCAAGTCCTTCATTAGACGATATGCAAAGGAAACCATCCAAGACCCCGTGGGACCTATCACGGTCGTCACCTCCAAGAAGCAGAGATTGACCTTCATCGAATGCGCCAACGAACTCGAGGCCATGGTCGACATCGCAAAGGTCGCCGACATTGTCCTCCTGATGATCGATGGAAACTTCGGATTCGAGATGGAGACTATGGAGTTCCTCAACGTCCTTGCCGCCACCGGTATGCCCGGAAACGTCTTTGGCATCCTCACCCATCTCGACCTGTTCCGGAAACCACAGGCACTCAAGGACGCAAAGAAGAGGTTAAAGCACAGACTTTGGAGCGAACTCTACCAGGGCGCCCACCTTTTCTACCTTTCCGGTGTCCTCAACGGCCGTTACCCCGACCGCGAAATCCACAACCTCTCCCGCTTCTTGTCCGTCATGAAGAACCCCCGCCCGCTCATCTGGCGCAACACCCACCCTTATACCATCATCGACAACTACCGCGACGTCACCCACCCCACCCAGATCGAAGAAGACGAGAAATGCGACCGAACGATCGAGCTGTCCGGCTACCTCCGTGGTACAAATTTCTCCGCCGAGAACCAAAGAGTACATATTGCTGGCTTGGGCGACTTCACAATCAAAGAGATCGAACAATTACCTGATCCTTGCCCGACACCCGCTATGGAACAAGCACTGGCCAAGGCAGCTGGCAAGACCGGCAGGAGGCGACTCGACGAGAAGGACAAGAAGCTCTGGGCGCCCATGGCCGACCGCAGCGGCTTGAAGATTACTGGCGACCACATCGTTATCACTAGGGAGAACGGTTTCACATTCGACAAGGATGCTGTGGGTGTCGAGCGCGGTGAAGGAGAACAGCTTATTATCGACCTGCAGAGCGAGAGGCGTCTCCTCGGCCAGACAGACGACGGTGTCAAGCTGTTCGCAAGCGGACAAAAGATCAACCAGCTTCCTGAGGAGGATGAGGATGTTGGAAACACTGGTCGCAAGAGCGAAGAAATGCCAGACTTGCCGAGGGCGAGAGTGGAAATCCTCCCGAAGACGAGGGCTTCGAGAGCGGCGAGGACGACGATGAGATGGAGGACGGTTCCGATGTCGAGTCCGAGTTCAACGAGATGAAGTTGGGCAAGATGTTCAGGAAACAGGTCGACGAAGAGCAAGAAGACGATGTTGCCTTTGCCGACAGTGACTCCGACCTCGGTTCGATATCCGGCGACGAAGACCAAGGATCCGACTTCGACGACGATGAGGATGACGAGGAGGATCCTGAGCTCAAGTGGAAGGACAACATGATGGAGCGCGCAAGTAAGCTACACGGAAGGAGGAAACCCTTCCGCGCTGTCGACCTTGCGAGGTACATGTACGACGAGTCGTTGGCCCCCACAGAAGCCATCAAGAAGTGGGCGGGTCAAGATGAGGAGGAGGATATTGAGGAGGACATCGAAGAGGACGACGAGACCTTCTTCAGGAGGACTGGCAAGGAGAACAGCGAGGACAACTGGGAGGATCGCATGATTCCCAAGTTCGACTACGAACAACTAGAGGCCAAGTGGTCCGACAAGGACGCTGTCGAGGCTCTCCGGAACAAGTTCGCCACCGCCAACCTACTTGACGAGGCTGATGGTGAAGGTGGAGATGGTTCGGATTTCGAGGGTCTTGATGACGAAGACGAGGACGACGAAGGTGACGGTGCTTTCGAGGATCTCGAGGCAGAAGAGACGAACGGCGGAGATGAGGATGGAGAGGAGGAAGAAGACGAAGAGGAACCGCCAGCCGAAAGCCTAGAAGCCGAGCGTGAGAAAAACGCCCGCCGAAAGGAGGAGCTCAAGCTTCGCTTCGAGGAGGAAGATCGCGAAGGTTTCAAGAACGACAAGGCGATCGCCAGGCGAGAAGGTGGCAACGATGAGGAGTTTGGAGAGGACGACTGGTATGACGCTCAAAAGGCCATGATCCAGAAGCAGCTCGACATCAACAAGGCGGAATTTGAGAACCTTGATGAGAGTCAAAGAATTGCTGTCGAAGGCTACAAGGCCGGCAAGTACGCCAGGATGGTCATCGAGGGTGTCCCAGCAGAGTTCGTCAAGAACTTCAGGCCACGGATTCCCATCGTTGTCGGAGGTCTCTCGGCCACGGAGGACAGGTTCGGCTTTGTACAAGTCAGAATCAAGAAGCACCGTTGGCACAAGAAGATTCTCAAGACAGGAGATCCCCTCATCTTCTCCCTCGGCTGGCGCCGATTCCAGTCGCTCCCTATCTACTCCATCTCTGATTCTCGTACGAGAAACAGAATGTTGAAGTACACTCCGGAGCATATGCACTGCTTCGGTACCTTCTACGGCCCGCTGTGTGCCCCCCAACACTGGTTTCACAGTTTCCAGTCCTTCTCTTCCGCCAACCCCGGATTCCGTATCGCGGCTACCGGTACAGTATTGAGCGTAGACGAGTCTACCGAGATCGTCAAGAAGCTCAAGCTGGTATGTTACTCTTTATCTTCCATGATTGATGTTTCAAATGCTAACAGTTGTCCAGACTGGTACACCATACAAGATCTTCAAGAACACGGCCTTCATCAAGGACATGTTCAACTCGGCGCTGGAAATCGCCAAGTTCGAGGGTGCCTCCATCAAGACCGTCTCCGGTATCCGCGGTCAGATCAAGCGCGCACTCGCCAAGCCCGACGGCCACTTCCGTGCCACCTTCGAGGACAAGATCCTGCTCAGCGACATTGTCTTTTTGCGCGCCTGGTACCCCATCAAGCCGCACCGCTTCTACAACCCGGCGACCAACCTGGTCGGCTGGCAGAGTATGCGTCTCACGGGCGAGGTCCGCCGCGACCAGAACATCGCCACGCCGCTCGACAAGAACTCGGCCTACCGCAAGATCGAGCGCGAGACCCGTCGTTTCAACCCCCTCCGCGTGCCGCGTGCCCTCGCGGCCGAGCTGCCCTTCAAGTCCCAGATCATCCAGACCAAGAAGCAGAAGAAGGAGACGTACATGCAGAAGCGCGCGGTCGTCGTCCGCGGCGAGGAGAAGAAGGCGCGCGATCTTATGCAGAAGCTCACGACCATCCGCAAGGAGGTGGTGGAGAAGCGCAAGGCCAAGAAGGCGGAGCAGCACGAGAAGTACAGAAAGAGGCTGGAGGATGCCGAGGAGCGCATCCAGAGCAAGGAGAAGAAGGAGAAGAAGGCCTACTGGGAGAGGGAGGGTAAGAAGCGTGGTCCTAGCGGTGATCAGGGTGGTGGTGGTAAGAGGAGGAGGTAAATGTCTGGGGAGACATTGTAGAGGGGAAAAATAATTGTGTTTCTGTTGTTGTGTTAAGTCATCATCGTCATCATCATTACCTTGGGTTTTTCACTTTTGGGGAGTACTACTACTGCTGCTACTGCTACTACTGCTACTGCTACTGTATATAGAGGCATCATATCCACATGCACATCATATCCACATCCATCGATTCATACTAGGAAAAGTAGAGAAATTGTTTCCTTTTCGTCACAACTACCTAGTACGAGCGAAAAGTATCATCGGTTGAGATCCTCACTCATTACATGACCAACACAGCCTGCTTCCTGCCTGGAAGTTTACATACTCTGTGAAAAAAAGGTCTCACTGACTCACTCACTGAAGGGACGTGAGTGGGCACATAAACATACGAGAAAAAGGAAAAGAAAAAGACTGAACTGACCGGAGTGTTGCACTCAGCAGCATAGGAATAGTGGTCGAGTCGTTACTCGAAAACAGACAGACAGACAGACCCCCATTATAAGCATATCCATCATCCGTCATGTCCTTTTTGTCCGACCAATGGATAATGGAACAAATGGAGATGGGGATGGGATAGGATGGGATGGACCGACGATGGGGGCAGAGTAAACAGAGTAAACAGAGTAAACAGAGTGGTGAATTGCTGCGTGAGATATCTAGATAGATACCCAAGGTAGGTACCTAATTACGAGAGAGAGCCAAATCTACCTGAATGATCAAGGGGAGACTGACTGACTTCTTTGTTCCTGTGTACATATTACCCACACAACACCAAAACTCAACTCAATGCAGACGAAGCGAAGCGAGGCGAAGCCTTGGAAGTTGGGGTAGTCAAAGCAAAGCAATGGAAAATAGACAAACACACCAAAAAAATTCTTCCAAAATACTACCTATCCAGTATCCAGTATCCAGTATCCAGTATCCAGTATCCATTATCAACATGACTATGTAGTCTCTTCGCTTTTTTGCAAGTTCAATCAACGACATGATAAGCATGTGTGTGTCTGTACAACAATAAGAGCAACAAACGCTGATTCGATGATCAATGACGGACTGACTGACTATGGTACCATAATAACAAGCAGAAAAGCTGGCAAGCAAAACAGACAGACAAAACCAAACGCTGGTCTTTTCGATTCTCTTCTCTTCCAAAACCCTTTCGACAGCTTGATATGCAAATTAGATTATATTCTAGGACAAAAAATTGATGATCTTCCCCATATGAGTGTGTAAAAAAAAGAGAAAACTGATATGCCAAAAAAGCAAGAGTGCGTGTGATGTCTTTCCAAGAATCTTTTATCTTTCAGTTCAATAACCCATTGCCCATACGTGTATGTACGACATCAACATCCATCACAGCAAAGACTTCAACTGCAACTGCAACTGCAACAACTACAACTGGCCAGACAAGAGTGCTTCGGTAGCTGTTTTCATCGAGTTAGCTTTCATACTTTGACGGGGTGACGGTCAGCAGACAGGGATACATACCACTGTTGATATAAGCCCTCCTAGCATCCAGCGGGACGCCAAACCTCCTCTCCAGCTCCTGCTTGATTCCCTTCTTGGTAACCGTCATCAGATCTGCCGTCCTCAAGATCTCACGAATCTCCGCCAACAGCGCGTCATCGCTCGGCATACCCGCCAGGCTGGTCATTTCCAGCCCCTGCTGCGAGGGAGTATGGTCCATAAACTGGGACCCGCCGAACTGGGACTGGCGGTTACCGGCCATCATCATCTCAGAGTTGGCGAAAGACATGCGGCTAGCGTTGTTAACGGGCAGCGATGTCTTATCGGTGTAGCCTCCGAGGGGGTAGCCGACGGTCGAAGCGGGGCGGCTAGCGTAGTTGTAACCGCCGCCGCCGTACTCGGACATGGCAACGTTGTAGGGGTTCTTGGTGGCATAAGAGTATCCCGAGATCTCGGAGCGCATGTCGTCGTTGTTGCCGCCGTGAGAGGTCTGGGCCTCCCAGAGCTCGGCCTGGTACTCCTCCCACTTCTTCTTGGGGATGCTGGCGGGGTCGAACTTGCCCTCGTCAGAGATGACAATCTTCTGACCCGCTTCGCCGGCAACGACACGAGTGTTACCCCAGTTGAAGTCGTCCATGTGCCAGAAAGAGTAGAGAGGAAGGGCGAAACTGAAGACGGGAACGGCAATGATGTAGAGAACCATCCAGCCGATCATTTCCCACTTGCGACGGAGAGTGAAGATGATAGCTTGCAAACCGTAAATCGCACCAAGGAGAATGAAGGCTGTCATGGGCACCACAGTCGCGTTGCGCGCCACCAGGACGATCAAGTAAACGATATAGGCAATGGTGACAGGCTGAACAACCGTAGACAGCAAGTCGATGAACACTATGAATCTCATGCTGAAGCAGCAGAAACCGCAAAGCTGGTTCAAGGGGATAAGCTCGATCAAGTTGTGCACGGTAGAGTTGATCCAACGACGACGCTGGGAGAGGAAGACCTCCCATGAGTCAGGAGCAATAGTCCAGGCGTGGGCGGCGAAGATGTACTTGGTCTTGTAGGTCGAGTGGAACTTGAGGAGCAGTGTTGTCAGGTAACGATCCTCACCAAGGTGAAGAAGGTTCTTCATGTGCAGGGTGTCGACGCGAATGGTGGAATAAGCCTCAACAACCTCGCGACTGACGAACAGTGGCTTGCCAGAGTCGGCAGCGCGAATGCGGTACATGGAGAAACAGCCGGGAAGACAGGTGACGGAACCGAAGAGCGACTCGAAGGCCTTGGACAAGTTGTGCGAGATATAGTACTCGTATACCTGGATCATGGTAACGAAGGAGGCCTTGGCGTTGGTAAGAGCAGTCTCACCACAGCAGGCAATAAGACGGGTATCCTCGAGGAAGGCAGCGACGAAGCGCGTCGCCGAGTCGGGCGCCACAACCGTGTCGGCATCAATTTGCAGCATGTACTCGTAGAATGTCGGGTTCACGCCGATAATATTGCGGACCTGATGGTACATCTCCAACTCGAGCGGGCTCATGGGGAGGTTGTAGTGGACGCGGTTGAGGAAGCGCATCATGACCATCTGGGAGTCACGCTTGCCACGGTTACCGGGACGAGAGACCTCGGAAGGCTTGCCAACCTTGACGATGACCATGAAAGGAACGATATGGCCCTGTACCTCGTAAAGACCGGAGTAGACCTTGCCCATGTTGTGCTGCTTCTGGCCTTCACCGAGCGACTCGAAGCTGAGAGGCTCAGGATCAACCGTCTCCGAAACGCCCAGAATGTCAAGCACAATGCGGGGAGTAGGCCTATCGTTACCCTGACCAATAATCATACCGTCACAGACGATAATGAGAAGCTTGCGCTTATCATCGTACTGCATACGGGCGGCGGAATCGATGGCACGGCGCAGAGAGTCCTCGTCCTCGGTGTAGGCCGGAACCATGGCCATAATGAACTTGTCGAGATTCTCTGGCATATTCTTCTGGCCGAATTGCAGGGCAGCAAAGAACTTGAAGACGATGACAGCTGACAACATGATCGTGATAGCGAGCATGAGGTATTCGGAGAACTGGCAGCGGGCCGAGTTACGTGTATCGACGTCTCCAATATAGAAGAGGTTATCGAGACAGAGCTTCATATCGGCCTTCTTATTCGAGGGAAGATTCGAGGCGTCCCAGAGCTTACTGACGTCTTCGCCGGCCCTTCCTTCGAAGAGATCGACGACAGACTGTTCCATGAAGTTGACAGCATCGGGGTCCGTGGGATCAGGTTCGCCAGGAGCGGCGCGTTGGTGACGTCCACCCTTGAGATATTGAGTCATGTCATAGACACGGCCTTGGAGGATAGCAATTGATTGTTGCTTGCTAGCGAGCTTCTTGACATAGGATGGTGAGTAACCAATGTTGCCAACCTTGTAGCCATTACCCTTGAGGCGGATCAGCTCCTCCGCGTACCAGTCAGGACGACTGTCATTGGTCTGGTGACGGAAATCATGGTAGTGCGCGTGCCGGTCCTGGCTACTGATGACAGCAGCCGCGTTGGTGATGTTGTCCGACTTGTAGTCGAGGGTGACGGTGTCCGCGATCCTGCCATTTTTACCGCGGCACAAAGCCGACACCTGAACGGGAAAGAGGCCAGAAATATCAAGACCAGCGTACTGTGTGAATGACTTTGAATCCAACTTGGGGTAGTGGCGTGGCGCGAAAGCACCAATGTCGAAAATTTGACCGCGAATAGCCGCATAAGCAGGGTTCTTGCCCTTGCCGTCGTAGCTGGACAACTCCTCAGGACTGTAAACGTGCTGCCTGGGGCAGATGAGTAGCGGGAAAACGACAATGAAGAAAGCAGCAAACAAGCAGAAGAACCAGATGATGAAGTTGATGGCCACCTTTTCTCTCCAAGCCATGCGGACATCCTTGCGCGGCATCCTGCCGAGAAGGCGAATGGCGAAATCGGGAATGAACCAAGTCAAAAGATAGACCAAGAAGACCCAGCGCTTACGGCTAGGCTTGTCCTTGTACACCTCAACCTCGGCCATATCCTTCTCGTTGGCCTTCTCCGCCATCTGCTCACGGGTCTCGAATGTCTTGAACATGTCGCCCGCGCCGATAGCAGTACCGGCCTCCGATCGCGTATCCACATCGTTGCTTCCAAAGTAGCCGGCCTTCTTGTCGTACATCTGCGGCGTGGTGCTCGTCGAAGCGAACAGGCGCTCCTTCGGATCGCTGAATGGATCTGGCGTAGAACCATTATCCGACGGCAACGCGTATCGGCCGGAGGTCGAAGTGTTCTCCCCAAGCTGTGCCAGTTCCATCCAGCATCGCTCGCTCAAGAAGACACCAGTAGCGCCAATGGCGACCTCGTTGCTTGGCCACCTCTTGTCCTCAACAACCATCTCGACCTTTTCGCGTTCGGTTCCGACCAAAATGGTCTCAGCATCCGCCAAGCCCAGGAGCTCACCAAACGGCAGGAACAGACTGAAGTCAGCGGAGCGCAGGCGCTGGCTTATCTCAGCAATTCCGAACGTCTGAACCTGTGCCCTGACGCATTTGCTATCGAACTGGTTCGCAATACGCCGGTCATTGGGCTTGAGACAGAAGACGAAATAGCAATTTGTCCCGGGCGCGTTGAAGGATGTCTTGACATTTTCCAGCGCAGAGAGGAATTGGGCCGCCGCGCCTTGTTCTGAGCCCTTGCCGGACTTCCTGCTAGGCTCTCCCGACTCGCTGACCTCGTCAATTGCGATATCCGCATCTGACTTCTCTCCCCGTAGTCGCCGACCGGGGGCGGAACGTCCTTTCCGCGACAAAACACTAGGGGTGCGCATCGGCTTGGAGCTGACTGAGGCCTGCATGACCGTGGTCTTCTCTTGCGGGTGAACCACGGTCTGAAGGGCCTCTTGGCCGAAGAGGCGGATGACAAAGTTGCTCTTGCTGGAGTTGATAAGGTTCATGAGATCACCAGAGATAACCTCACCGTTCTCCTCCACCAAGCCCTTGACCGGGTAGTCGACCTCACCAGCGAAGTGCTTCACCGTGAATGTCGCAGCAGTGTTCTCGGTATAAAAGTTGCTTCCGGGCAGCTTGGCAGTCGCCGAACCAACCTCGATAGCCGGGTTCTTGCCCTCGAAGCGCTTGCGCAGACTCTCAAGCAATTGCATGTCAGTGCGATGACGGCGGGTCTGGTCATCCAAGATGCTGAGAAGACCATTTCCAGGCTTCAGCAATCCCTTCACGGCATCCGAATTGTCGAAGTAGCTTGTCGCGGGGACAGTAACCTCCTCCGTCTCGAGCAGCTCGGCCTTGCGGTCGAAGAAGTTCTGGAGGGTCAAGTTGTACAACTCCTCGGCAGCAGCATTGTTGAGCAGCTGATCAAGCGCGGAGCCGGTGGAAGACTGTTGCTGGAAACCGGGGAAATCGATAATCGAAACAGTGTTGGAGATGGCCTCCTCGGCGGCGCACAGCTTCTGGTTGACGTTCTCGATGATGTAAGCAACGAGAAGCGAGTACAAAGTCCGCGCCAACTCGTCGGCGTTCTCACGAGCACCCGCGGGATCCAACATAACCGTGACCCTTTCCTTATGGATCATCTTGGTCTTGTAACCCAACGTCGTCTGGAGGTCCTGAACGCCAACACCAAGGAAAGCAGCGACAACAGCCAGCACATCCTTGTTCTTGACGGCAGTGACGGTCTGGCCACCCTCATGGGAGAAGCCACCGCTGTCATCGCCAGTAGCGGCAGTGCTCGATGTCGTCTCGAATTCGAGCTGGCCGATATGAAGAATGGCGGCCAAGATCTGGCAGATCTCAGCGATCTCAGTCCTGGGAAACTCGAGTTTCCTTAAGGCCGTCTTGAAAAGCTGGAATCCCTCGGCGTCGTTGATGCCAACTTTGAGTTGCGTAGGGTGACCCAGATACTTCCACCGCTTACCCCCTGTGGTACTTTCCTCAAATCCCAAATGGGCCTTTTCCGCGGGACTTGTACCAGCCAGGAGGTAGTACAGCACGTGGAAGTTGCGTTCTCCGGTTGGTACAGCCGCTATCCTACTCCTTTCCAAGCGATGATCCAAGAGCTTGGCACCGATGAGTTGTGGGCTGGTGGTGGATGCTGTGTCGTATTGCAATTCGAAGAAGAGACCAGCCTTGGAGGCCGTCGGCGTTGTGGCTGTCTTGGTGGTAGTGAGCGTATCGAAGACATATGCGGCAAGGGACACCTTGCTGGAAAGGGGAGTTGAAGACTTGTTGAGGAGTGCGGTCAAGACGTGAGCACGGATAGTAGTCTTTCCTGAGCCCGATTCACCCCTATTGTCTCAGCCGTTAGTAACAAGGTCACGCCGCAGGGTTAACATGAGCAAGAGACGACATACAAGAAAAGTACAGCTTGGTTCTCAGACCGATGCCCAAGACGGATGTAGGCCCTCTCGGCCATGTCCTCGGCACCGCCCATGGCGGAAGACTCTTTGGTGCCATCTCCTTTCGTAGAGCTAGTGTATGTGTTGATGGAAACGAGTGCGTGGGATGAAAGTCGGGAAACAGGTAGCGAGACGTGGAATCGACTGGCCAGATGAGCCGTCAAGTGTGTATCCGACTGAAGATGGGCCGGCAACGAGGGTAACGAAGGTTGGGTATGGGCCCCTCCACCCGTCCCCCCTCCGGGAGGAAGGTTGAGCGCCATAGCGAGAGCGCTGCTGGGAGATTAGTATGTATATCTCGATATGTCTATTAGGACCTCTGGGTCGTCCGGAAGAAGATTGTATCGTCGTCGAAGTCGTCGGCGTCTGTCGTCGATCGAAGTGTTTGGAGTCGTTGTCAAGTCGTCGAGGGTAGGTTGACAATGGCGATTGGGAAGTGGTCGTCCGATGTCAATGCAAATGACAGCCTGCCTCAGCGGAATATGCGACGCGGCCAGGTGTGTGCCGTGGGATCCCAGACAGGACGAAACAGTGAAGACAGTCAGGCAAAACGAGGGTCCAGATGCGACAAAGGCGTCTTGGTAAACGAGCGTCAGAGAGGAGAGGAAAGATAGAACGGCAAGGCTAAGCAAATGTTGTTGGAGACGCTCGAAGCTTTTTCCGAATCTGCAATCCCCAGCGAGCGAGAGAAAGTGTACAGCGATGGGATGCCGTGGGTAGGAAACGGTGGGTAGGTTCACACCGGCGGCGTCGCCTGCTGTCTGATGGAGGCGGTTGACTGGGGAAAGGGGATTCGAATGCTTTCTCTCAGGAGAGGGCTACGGCGGTCTGGATAGGCCAGAGGCGCAGTTCAGCCATACGAAGTACCTGCCCTGTCCTGCATATGATTGGTCGGACTGGGGGACGACTTCTCCACGTCCAGAAGCCATGGGCTGTCCAAGGGGGGTGCGTGATTCAGAATGGAAAATATGTAAACAAGGGAACAAGGCGAGGAATGCAAAAGGCTTCAATTGTTCCACTTCAGCTTCCTCACCCTTCCAGTATAGGCTGGCCGTGATGCCCAGCAAATCTTTGATCAGATGGAGACCATCGCATATGGGTCAGGTCTGTTTGCAACTTTTCTGGACAGACGGTCCCGCTGTATTGTTGTCCTGACTGTCGGGACAAACTGGTGATCCTTTTCTTCTGAAGCCCTGTCGAACGGTTCCAGAACCACGACGGTGTACCAGCCTAACCACCAACAGCGGTCGGGTCGCCGCCCAGCTGGATTTTCTCTTCTTCCCTCTTCAGGGGCACGCTGACCCAGCTCGATTTTTCTTGCCCGTCCTTTTCCCATTGCGGTCAGCAACCAGGAGCCCCCCGGGGCGGATGGACGCCTTATGACAGCATTGCTTGCGGAAATCGAGGGCCCATGCCCGCGGAATTAAGCATACGATAGTGTGTGCGCCCCTCTGGGGGATGGAAACACAAGAGTTGTTATTGACATGCTTTGTCCTTTCAGCCTCCTATGCAGTTATTCGGCTGCTATGTTTATACCGAGGTTGGTTTGCAATGTCTCACCCCTACTGGCTTCTCTCCACTGCTGATGCCAAGGAAGGGGGCCGTTCAATCTCTGTTGGTTCGATGGTTTCTGCAAGACCTCTGCCTCGGAAATTGACAAACGTAATCGATGTCAGGCACCATCATACCAGGCTTGTTTGGACTTTGTTTTCGTCTCCTTCCTAGATGTCAAGGGATAGGGAGACCTCCCGCTCTTTGTCAAATGGGCAATTGACTGAAGATGTCGCGGATGACCATTTTGCTTGTCTTGTGAGATGTCCCTGTTGTACCCGTGGGGTGGCGTGCCCTGGGGAATACGAGAGTTGGAGAACAATGGTGGGTGGATTTTTCTGGCTGGTGTTGCCTCTGCGCCGCCAAATTCCTCGTATGAATTGGGAGTAGCGTACGGCACGTGCTAGGGATACCACCTTGTAGGGTTTGTGCGTTGGACCGTCTGCCGGTGTGCCGTAGTCCGGCGTAGTCGGTAGTATGACGCCGTTTTGAGTCTCGCCTTTTTGTTAGTGTTGAGTCTCGGAGATTGGGTCGACGATGCGGTGACGGTTTTTCAGCTTTCAACGCAATGGAAGATGGAGTTGAGGTGGCTCGATACCTTGATGAGGAGTTGATTTGATGAAAAATCTGTTCCCGTGGTTCAATCTCTCCAAGTTATTCGAGGAGGAACAGAAGGCGCAAAAGCAGAATTTGGAGTTCAATGCTGCAGTGATGGAAGGTGCCTGGAATCCAGACAAAAGAAAGACCCCGCCATGACTGCAGGAGCATTCGGACGCCTTTCCAGCGCGTGCTACAGGTGGGCGCCCGCCATCAGGAACAGGAAGGAGCGCGGTTGTCGCTTGCTCGGACGTGCCAATATCGCGCCTGCACAAACCTCCACCGAAATCTGCCTCTAACCATATTAGTGTGCGGCGGTAGGACGGGTTCATCCTTTCCTTTGGTTCTGCCCCTGAATGCATTCCCGCTATGCTTAAAAGTCATGATGCACATGATTTTCAGACATTTTCGTGGGGCACATATGATGTACAGCAAGATTGCATTTATGGGACCCTCAGCTGCTTTGTGTTTGAATTATTTACCGTGTGAATTGAGTTTATGAGTAAAAATTCAAGGTTGTGATCGTCCACAGATCCCCGTTGTTCACCTAATCACCAAGGTGACTAGGGCAATGCACATGTTCTAGAGCATCGGGCATCTGGTGATAGCTTCACGTTCCCACACACAAGCCTGAAGGCAACGTTAACACGACGGGCCATTGAGGCCGTCAGGCCGTCTAACAGAAAACTTTTATGTTTCTTCTACCGTAGAGTCTGACAGTGCAATACGAGCGCAGGCAAAAAGGGGTCGGCAAAAGGAGGACAAAAGACGACTAAAAAAAGAAACCGTCCGGTTGGAGGTGGCACATGGAGTGTGGAGCAGCCTCCTTTGAGAGTCTCATTTTCGCCGCATCTGCCTTGGCTGCCAAGGACAACTTTTCACTTTTGTTGAATATCAATAATTATCATCCTATCGGGGCTCAATGTCCAGTGTCACTCCAAGCGAGATGGCAGGGTACGCAATTGTACGTGCCAAGGCAGCGGAACATTTTCAATTAAGATCACGGTTTTGGGTTTACTGCCGACGGAATTCCAACAAGGTGGAAGCTGCTTGGAAGTTTCTATTCGCGACCTTTGAACTGTAGTATTCCTTTGTCCTATCGATCTGGGATGATTGCCAAGTTGCTTGTCGATGGTTGTCGACGGTGTGAAGTGACTTTCAAGAGGTCGCCAGAACGGGGCCATGTTGCACACATTCGCGGTCCGCTGCGTCGGGCGCTGAGGTGGTTGAACAAATCGAACGGGACCGGACGGGAATGTTTGTAACATGTCGCTGTGTCCAGACAAGACACAGCAACACCCTCCAGCCTTCTTCGTGTTCAGACACTCCAGACCCAATGGAGATATCCGTACTTACACCCAGCAGTGTATGTAACGTGCAACATATAGCGCGTGCTCGTGCTCCTGGTAGGGCGGCTGTGAATAAGCTTTTCTTGAAGTCTCCAGCCAGTCATGGACTTAGACCATACTTTTAGACGTCAACTTGCACACGTCCCATTCCCCATTCCCAATGCGAGGTGCTCAGCTCTGCCTCTGCGTGTGAGGATGTGCACACTGCACCATCATCCATCCACACACAATGACCGCAAATGGGGGAGCCAAGAACTTGCAGTTGTTGTGAGGGCTCGTATTCGACCGTCATCCAGCATTCCGTGGCCGTCCGGCACTCCGCCGAACGGAAGAGCCGTACCAACGCAGTGCTCCGTAATAAGCAAACGGGAATCAAAAGGCAAGAATCTCATTTGAGAAGTCCTGGCAAAGACCCGGTCAACCATCAATAACACGCATGGAGGCACTGCAATAATGAGTGCAACTTTGGGTGCATCTCGTTCTTCAAAAGCAGGCTTTTGAGTCAATCAAGTTTGGCCATCTCACACATCGACCAGCCTTTTCTTCTTCAATAGAAGCGCGAAAACAGGCGGATGCGGTACGGGGGACCCAATCATTGAGGCGAAAAGTGGTCGCAGATCCTGGCATGAAAATCGCTGGAAGAGGGAACGAGTTTCCATGGCCAAGCATAAACAGGCCTGATATATCCGATACAACCAAACTGAAGCAGTGCAACAACGCCTCGCGGCCTCACAAAGGGATCAGCACTCTGAATGCATAGAAGGATAGTTTAAAATGCACACATGGAGTGATGAAACCAAGCACGAGAAAGCTCATTGTGATACAGCAGGAAGGCGGTCGGCAAAAGCGGGAATGGAAGCAAGTTGAACAAAACAAAAGATCGCATATATGCATTTCTCCAATAAGCCCCCTTCCCCCTTGGCAGACAGGACAGGGAACAATCTCGTTGGTAATTACGTTCCAGATCGGCCTACCCAAACCAGGCCTGGGGTGATTTTCGCGGGCGCTCCGTAGGTACATCATGCACATCCTGCCTCCACTTGCGGGTGAATTGGGACTGAAATATCTTACAATAATCCTTGTAAACCGCCGTATGGACATAATTCCCCACCCATCACGGTGTTTCCATTGCTCTCTTCACGGTCCCTTGGAGACGGCTGCCAGTTGTGCGTGTGCTCGAATGTGGTGATCTTTTCAGCAACGGCGTCACATACGAGCCCCAGCAGCAACAAGCAGCGAAAATCCATTCATTCTACGCATTTCCACTTTGTATCGCCCCGTTTGGTGGTTCAGGTTGACCATTCAGAACGTTCCATTGGTGTGGTTCGAGCCGAACAAGCTGGAACTCTCTCTTGAGTCTGCCCGCTCTTGCCTGCACTCCAGAGTCTCCAGTTCTGCACTCCTGCAGCCTGCCACTAGCCTGTGGGAATCGTCGCTGTTTCCTTCCATTCCCACCACGCCGGCCGGCCTCCATCCATCCTTCCACCAAAACTTCACTCCATCCACATTGCTGGGGTGTTGCTTCCTCGTCGGGTCTCTCTGTCTCCTCCTGCCCATTCTCCCCCATTCTCTCTACGCCCCCCTCCCCCTTCGAGGCACTCGCTTTGCCCCTGTACCTTACCTACTTCCACCTGCTGCTACCGCTCCTGCTGCTACCGCTCCTGCTGCTCCTGCTAGCTGACGGGCAGCTAACCTGCAATTTTCCCGATTTTTTCGAATCTCGTTTCCTTTGCATCCCGAGGACTCCTCCTTGACACTGTCAACTC